TATCCAGGAATAGAACTCTTAGTAGAGACAAGTATGAGCTTTGTAAGCTTTTGGATTCTACTCATTAGAGCTGCTTTAGCTTCTTCTTCTTCCTCCAATCTTGATTGCATCTTCACTTGACCTTCTTGTAGCTGTTTAATAAAATTGGTAGTTCTGTTCATTCACCAAATAGGAACAAACTCAAATATTCATGTAACAAGGTCTCAGGGAGGTTCTAACCTGTTGCCTTAGGCTCAACAATTCTTCGTGACTGACACCAACAAGCACACCTCTTTTTAGCTGATCAAGTTCTACTTTCAGGGTCGATATTTCTTTCTGATATTTCTTAATCAGTGACTTCTCATCTATAATCTGTTTAAAGATAATAATAATAGTTAGCCGAGGTGAAGATTATACCCTAGAGAGAACCGAAGAATTTCAGGACCAAATGGCTTTGAAATCACCTTATTGCGTGAGGCATTAATTTCGATTCTCTTTGCTCTACTGGCAAACTTTAATGTATTATGAGTTTCCTCGGTACTGCTTGACGCAGGAGTCACGGTGCATATGAGCTATAAACATTTAAGGAAATAAAAAGTGAATTAGCTTCTGCTCATTGCTACTTTGTATAAATATCAGAGTGCAGCTTCTAGCAGATAGTCAATATACACAAACCAATATTTCACTAATATGCTGCTGAAGACATCACAGTTAAACAGTCTGAGAAAATCAACCATGGGAAAACCACCACACTAAAATGGGAAATATTCACCAGATACAGAAGAGTCGTACCGATACATGCCCATGCCCGCTCAATGAAGATTGAAGAAGACGAGTTAGCTTAGAGTCCCGAAATGGAACATGCGCTGTCTTGCCTTCAGTCAGTTTTCCAATCACCTATGTATTGAAACCATAAGAGAAAGTTATACTCCTCAAACTCATCCCCATGGTTATGTGACTAAAATCATATATAAAAACACCAAAAACAGAACAGACTTCTCGGGAAAAATAGAGGCATGAATCATAAAGATACACTAGCACGAGTACATCATGCACTGAAAAATAAATGCAACAAGAACCCAAAATCTATTTCCATAGCAACTGGAAACCCCTTTATGAGCCTCTGGTGCTAGCACACGAGTTGTCAGTTGTTCTTATACAGCAGATTTGAGTTATGAATTCGATGAAATTATGATTTACATTTTATCATTATTGAAAAGGAAACATCTGAAAAATCAAAAGAAAGAGAGACACCTACAGTTCCAAGAGTCAGAAGACTCTTGTTGATGAATGAACCCTCTTTCCTCCTCAGTCCAGTAGTCTCAGTTTTGGAACTCTCAGATCCAGCCAAGTCAATCAAATTCTATTGAGAAAGAGACAGTGTGAGAGATCTGTCTATAAGACAAGAGCGATCCTATATGAAAGAAGAAGGAAGGCCTTACTAGCTGCGAAAAAATAACTCCATCATACTGATCTCCATGAGCACTACTTTCAATCATCTGCAAACAAACATACCAAGGAAATTGTAAGACAAAAATTATCTTAAACGGACATTGAGAGGATCGGGAAGAAAACATGTGGTGTTCGAACGGTCGAAGTTATACCATTGTAAATATAGTGTGACTTCTGCTGCTCAACAAATTGAAATTATTTGAACCAACATGGCGATGTTCTGCCGTTAAAGATCAAAACATTAATAAGGAAAGGAGAAAAAATAATCTGTAAAAGATGAAAACAAGTTTCGGAAGTAATTCTTATAATTACCTTCCCCAGCTGCAATGAAAGATAGCGCATGACCAGGAGATAAAACAACTTCTTCCTTGATACCCTCAACGTAAGTTCCCTACAAACAACATCGACTCTAGATCAACTCAAGGTAATTAAAAAAATCAGGATGGATGCAACATGAACAATTCATCAAATGTTTTTTATTGTTCTCGTCCTTGTCAGAGAGAAAGTAATGAAATCAGACAAACAAGCAAATGCTCTTGTTAGATAAACATTTGTATTTGTGTGTGAGAGAGAAAGGACAAGGTTGAAACCTGGGAATCCTCTCTAACACGTAAATTTTGCCCTGTTGGATCGAGTAAGTCATTTATCACCTGATACAAGGACAATAGTAAGATAACTTGCTATACAGATGGGACATTTATCATCCAAAACTAAAGACATGATGAGTTATCTATCTATCACACAGGTTAACAGAACAAGGGGAGGTAGTCTTCTAAGTGAGACTACAGTGACAGTAAATGGTTTGCATCATGGATGAAATTTTTCACATACCTCATTATAAATTTCAAGATAAGAAACACGGAGCAGGAACTCTCTCCCAGTAGTCTGAAATTAAAATTTGATATAAGAAAGTAGCAAAATATGCCACTGTATGAAAAAGTGCATGAAGAACTATAAATCAGTAAAGGACCATATATGTTATAAGTAGAACAAGATCACTTACTTCCTGGATGATACTGAACACGTCTTTTATTGCTAATGGTATGATTCCAGGAAAATCTTGATCCCCCTGTGCATATTGCAAATGAACCAAATGCCCAAATAAGAACTTTGTTTAATAGAAGTCCAAGATGCATATGATCAAAATGATGATTTAACAGAATATAATTTTGGTCAATCCAAACAAGACTTATATACATCCCCATTAATACAAGTATGGCAATCAAACATCTATCAGCAGCTATAGTCTACGTCACACAGTCTTTGTATGATATCTATCGCAGCACAGTAAACGTTGTACTAATCAAGAACAACGAAGTGGTGTATCCCAAAGAAGTGGCACTTTAGATCACATGTAACCCGAGAGAAACGTCATATAGAAAACAAACTACACGGAGAAAACTTACATGCATTGTATGCGTCTTTCCACTGCTTGTAACACCATAAGCAAAAACGGTTCCTGTCAAATTGCCAACACAGTGTCAGAAACTTCCCTGCAACCAATGCTACTAGCAAATAAGTTGGGCTAAAAGGTATTTCGTTGACAAATACAAATCTAGTGTAATTGATAACGCAGCTATATTCCTTAGTCCTTACCATTAACTCCTTCCATTGCTGCCTTGACAACAGGTTTTGCAGCTACGTCATAGACCTCTACAGTTGTTGCTTGAGGTCCAAAAACTTTATCTGGCATCAACAAATTTGGAAGAACGTTTATTCTACCAGAGCTCTAATCAATGAACAGTTAACTGAATTATCTCTACTGGTAAATTCATCTCATACCGAATGCGTAAGCTGTGAGTGGATTGTATTCATTCCTGACCATCTTCTCCGCGTCAGGATACCAAACAATTTCGTCACCCTTTTGATACTCTCTCTCACTGAAAACAAACAAACAATGACGGAAATTTTGAGAATCCAATGGAAAAATTGACCGAGTTTTAATTCACAATCCATCAATCCCAATCTTGTAACGCATAACAATCGTGAAATTATGTCCGATAGATCCGCAATTCCATTCCCAGATCTACATTACCTCATCGGACGAAACCGAACGGTGACGGAGATGCTATCTCGCTCAGAGGTAATAGTCGGCACAGGCTCACCAATCAACCCCTCTGATGGGTAAGGGACCGGCGATTGAGCTCCATAATTTCCGGAGCCGCTGATGGGACCGGGATCGGAAATGGTACGACTAGTCGCCATAGATCGGGACCCGCTTACGCCGCCGGAATTGTAAATTGTAGAAGCAGATGTGGAACAAGAGCGGGGTAATAGACGGTTGTTTATATGAGACGAACAAGTCGAGGAAGCCGAAGAGTAAGGGCTCGGAGGTCTACGGTGCGAGAAAGGAGAACGGCTCCTAGTTCTAGATGACGATGAAGCCATCCACTCCCTTGGCACTCCGCCGGAGATTAATTCGTTCAACTCGGCGACTCGGTTTCCGAATCGGTGAAAATCTGAAGAAAGAATCAAGCAAAAACTTCCAAATGTGAAGATGCAGGGAATGTGTCAGTGGAAGCTCACATGGCTGGGGACAGAGAAAAGCAATATGCTCTTACTTTTCTCTCTCTCTATTCTCTCTCTCTCCTCCTAGCTCTGCGAAGGTGTGAAAGAGATAGTGAGACCACAAGGAGAGAGCGATTGTTTCGTCTTCTTCACGCGATGGTGGTGAAGAGAGAGAGCATCCGGAGATATTTTTTTTGTTGAAGAAAGAGGCTTCAATTTTTTTTTCAGATTTTGAATTTCTGATTAATAAAATGATTTTTACTGTGTGCTGACTTGGCTCGAGGTCGCGGATTAAAACTTTAAAAGATAACCGCGAACCGGGAAAAGGATTTTCGAAATTAAAACTTAAGGAGCCGAACGAGCGGGAAGATCGACGGGTCAGTAAAAATAGTGATTTGTCCTTTATACCCTTAAATTCAATAAATATTTGGTTCCGATTCAACCTTACCAAACAGAATCGAAATTCTCTATGAGAAAATACCCAATTTTAACCGGTGGTTAGTTATTTTCTATTATCCATCTTCAATTCCAATGCAATGGAACATTTATTTGTGACATTATATCCTCCCTAGATTCTACTAAACTGCAAATACTTCTATAACATGTCCAATAGATTTAGTACTGAATTAAATAATGGCTAAATGAAATGAAACAAGTTCCTCAAATAGATGACGTATAGGGCTATCAAATCCTGCAAAAGACAAATATTACGTACTTATAAAATAAATTTAATCCAACAGTATGGAGTTATTACAAGCACGTATATCTTATTTTTGTAGTAAAAGCTTTTATCATCATAAGCTTATGTTAACATTTAATCAGCATGTGTGGGGTCCTTAACCTTAATTTAAGTAATTACGTATTAGAGAGTGTTTGCTTCTAGAAGCTTAAGTACAGACGACGAGTAATTGTCCCACTTTTTGAGCTCCACCGCACATCTGGCTCTCACGTGCATTCTTTTTCATCCCTCACGTGTCATGTGGAAGACAGGATAATTGTCATTATTACTCCTGGGCCGAAACTGAAATGGGCCAGGCGAAAATGGTAAAATCGGTTACAACATGGTCTTTCAAATCAAGCAATCCAACGGTCACGAAATTGCAAACTCTCTTATCTATGGAGTTGGAAGGGAAGAAAGACAGGCCTCAGAAGGAAAAGAGAGCGAAAGAAAGAAAGAGAGAGAGATGCTGATGCTCCGTCAATGCCATATCTTCTCGTTTGAGCTCTTCCAATCTCCAAAACAACCAGGTAAATGATATATGTTTACTCTCTGCGTTAAGTTGATTACGATGTGGGTTTGATTTAGTGGCTTTTCCGGAGAAATGTGTAAGTATATAAGAGCTGAATCGGGATGAGTTTAAATCTCAGGGTGTTCTAGTTCAAGGAGTGTCCCTCTACCCAGAGCTCGTTTTCGCTGTAATCTAGTCAGGAGCTCTGGTTTTAGAGCTATGAGTGGCAATGGAGAAACGAACTTAGGAAAACTCTATCTGGGTATGGACTTTGGTACTTCAGGAGCTCGATTTACAGTCATTGATGAGGAAGGAAGGATTAGAGCGGAAGGGAATAGAGAATATCCTCGATTCATGGTAACGAAACTTGCATTATACTCAAAATGATATGCTTGATTCGTGGTTTGTGTTGGATAAGTCTTTGTCAATGCAAGCTAGTTTTGGTTAATATGCTCAGTATTTGGGTTTTATTTGTGGTTTTGCTTATATTTTTATGGACTGAGACGTTTAGTATTTGTCATCTAGATAGAAGGAAGAAAGCATGGATTGGGCAAGCTCATGGAAAGCAACTCTTTTTGCTTTGCTAGAGGACATTCCCATTACTGTTCGCTCCCTCGTCTCATCCATTTCGCTTGATGGAACTTCTGCAACAACTCTCATCTTAAACAGGCTTGTGTTCCCTTTTTCTGTTACTCTATTCTCATTATGAAATAGTAACGATGCTGTTAAAAACCCCTTTGCTTATTTCTAACAGTGAGAGTGGAGAAGTTCTGTGTGAGCCTTTTCTCTACAACCAGAGCTGCCCTGATGCTCTGCCTGAGGTTAAGTCTATAGCGCCAGCCAACCACACAGTCTGCTCTGGTTCCTCTACCTTGTGCAAACTCGTCTCATGGTGGAATCTTAAGCTTCCCAACAGAGAATCGGCGGTTTTGCTGCATCAGGCAGATTGGTTGTTGTGGTTACTTCATGACAGACTCGGAGTGTCTGATTACAACAATGCCTTGAAGGTAATGCCGTGTGAAGTATTCTCTATCTTGCAAATACATGTGGATTAGTCAACAGTCAACAATTTAAAAAAAAATGCTGCGCATAATTGATTTTCTATGTTGGATTTGAGTGCAGGTGGGGTATGATCCTGAGAGTGAATCATATCCATCTTGGTTGCTAAGTCAACCTTATTCTCAATTATTACCTGTGGTACAAGCTCCTGGAACGTCAATAGGCAACCTGAAAGAAAGCATTACAAGGCAATTCGGTAAGTTTTTCTTGAATCTAACAAAATTCAGTGACAGAAAGTTTCAGTTTTCCTTTTGGCCAGGATTTCCGGATGATTGCATCGTCTGCACCGGTACTACTGATAGCATAGCTGCATTTCTTGCAGCACGCGCCACAGAACATGGGAAAGCAGTGAGAACTCTGCAATACTTTCTATGTGATAATTCTGTACCACATCTTTGATTGGGGTTTTGTTTGTTTTCCAAAGGTAACTTCATTGGGTTCGACTTTAGCCATCAAACTTCTCAGCACCACAAGGGTTGATGATGCCAGGTATGGAGTCTACAGCCACCGCCTGGATGACAAATGGTTGGTCGGAGGAGCTTCCAACACTGGTGGAGCCATTCTCAGACAGCTCTTCAGCGACGAGAAACTAGAGAGACTTAGCCGAGAAATCAATCCTATGGTCGCATCTCCTCTAGATTACTATCCTCTGCAAAGCAGCGGTGAAAGATTTCCTATAGCTGATCCCAACTTGGCTCCCAGGTTTGTCTGCCTTTCTCATCTTCTCTCAACAAAACACTTTTCTTTTATGTATAGATTCATTTGAAAACACGTATACATATTGCAGACTGCTTCCACGCCCAGAAAGCGACGTTGAATACTTGCATGGTCTATTGGAATCAATTGCACGTATAGAGGTACGAAACTACGAATAATTTCTAGGTGGTTAGTACCAAGTTTCACATAATCTTACGCTCAGAAGACTTGGTACAAAATGGTTACGAAGCAACCAAAAGCCTGATATAGTTTAATAATTGTATTGAAGCTTGATATAGTTATTAGTGAACAAAAAGAGCTTGCTGAGAGGAATTTGATATGAACATAACAGGGGAAAGGCTACAAGTTGCTGAAAGAGATGGGAGCAACGGAGGCTAAGGAAGTGTTGACAGCAGGAGGTGGGGCTAAGAATGACAAGTGGATAAAGATAAGGCAGCGAGTTCTTGGTTTGCCTGTGAAGAAAGCTGTCCACACGGAAGCTTCGTATGGAGCTTCTCTTCTTGCGTTGAAGGGCGCCAAACAAAACAGTGGTTTGTGAAAAAAAAAAAGACAAGAAGATGTTCCTGCTCTGTTTGAGAACAAAATGCTTGTTTGAACACATTGTATTGTTAATGGTGTGTATACTAAAATAGGAACGACTTTTGTTGTGGCTTGTGAAAATGACTCTGCAAGGGGTGTTCCGAGAATCGAACTCGGGACCTCTCGCACCCGAAGCGAGAATCATACCACTAGACCAAACACCCACTTTGTTCGATTTAGCAAAACATTTTACTTAGCGAAATAGTATTACTTAATGCAAACTCCTGGAACGTCAATAGGTACAAGGCAAACCTAACCCGAATGCCCAGCACACCTTTACGGGCTTTCATTTAGGCCCATTAGTCTGGTGTATAAACATATATAAAGAACAGTGAACACATCAAACTTAAAAAGAAAGCTTGCGGATCAAGGAACTTGTGTGTGTGTGTCTGTGCTGTGAGATTTGTTTAGGTTTGGAGGATGTTTAGGAGGTATGGTAACCCCGCGGCGGAGCCTGAATACGCGACAGCTCCAATAGGTGTGTGGTGGGACATGGACGACTGTCCGATTCCCGAGGGTTATGATGCTCGCCAGGTCCGTGCGAGTATAGAAGCTGCGTTCAAGAAACTAGGCTACTCTGGTCCTGTCTCCATCACTGCCTATGGCGACCATAAACAGACCCCTGATGACCACCTGCGAGGGCTGTCTTCCACTGGAGTCGCTCTTGCACAGACCATTCCCGGTTAGTCCTTAGTCCTAGTCCATACGTTTCAAAATAACTATCAACTGAAATGCTTTCCTTTTCACTGAAAAACAGAAGTCACATACAAGCGCATGGGTTCAGACATGAGGGAATGGCGAGATCAAAATCCTCCCCCGGCTACAATGATGCTCATATCCGATTATGCGGAACATGTCTTCTCAGGTAGTCTTGTCCGGCTCCTACAAAGGACGAAATACAAGCTTTGTATGGCTTATTCATATAGGCCTTACAAAATGTCAGTCCTGCTCACTTGTGCCGAGTGGCTTTGGGAAAGCTTACTTGCAGAGACAAGAAGACACCTTCTTCGCAAGTGCAGTGAAAGTGAAAGGGGTGGTGAATCTACCGAAATGTTCTATTGCAAATTGTGCTTTTGTGATTGCAAAAGCCTTGATGGTTTCAGGAACCATCTCTCAATTGGTGCCCAACATGAATGGAAAGTAAGCATCCTGATCCTCTCTCTCTCTCTCTCTCTCTCTCTCTCTCTCTCTCTCTCTCTCTCGTTGTTTCAATACCATTTCTGTCTTAACTTTCTTTTTCGCATTCCCTGTCAAGCAGGAGCGTGCTATTAGAGAGAATATTGAATCACACAACTACGATCGAGAGCAATGTCAAAAGGCAAGTTTTGCTTAATGATAATTATAGATTGAAAAATGCATACAAGATCCGCTTTCTTATAAATAATTGGTTGTTTTTTTTGGTACTCATGTTTCATATACATCTTGTTTGTAGGCGGAAATACTTGAAAATTTTCCAAAGAGCAAACGTTTGAGGAGAGCATACCGGACGGGTTTTGGTCATCTTCATAAGCATTTACGTCTTACTCATCCTTGAGTGATGGATCAGCTCTTTTTTTTTTCGTTTCTGCTTATGCTTTCAGTTTGAACTATTTATTTTTCATTTCTTTTTGCTTGTTTAAGAAAATAATTATATAAAGTAAAATTTAATCGTATTATTCTCTCATGTACTACAATGATTCTTGTACACAATCCCTTCAGAAGAAAACACAAATATGAGATGTGAAAGGGTAGATCTTGAAACACATGCTCTCAAGTAGTAACACATGCTCTATTATCGAAGAAAAATGTTACTTGTGATGAATAGTGTAAAAAAGGAACCCCGGCTTTATACTACCAACTTTCAAACAAAAAATGAGAATTCTACATACTCGTTTGCTTTGCTTATTAGAAAAAAAACATCATTTTAATAGGTTGTTAGCCACTTAGCCTAGTTTATGTCACAATCGTTTTCACAACTTTATTTGGCTTATGTTTCAATGATTTTCGTTCAAATGACACAAACTTTGATAAAGCTTGAAGATAAATGGATTGAAAGGCAGGTTGAATCAGAAAACGGCTTTATCGTATCAGGTGACAAAGGTTTCAAAAAACCTTTGTAAAGTTGAATGCCAATGGTCATAGCACATTTGCTATCATTGTGAAGGGAAAAACCATGACACACCTACGAAAATCACTAGGGTTTTAATAGGTTGTTAGCCACTTAGCCTAGTTTCTTTGTTAATATTTCATTGAAGTGCAATTTTTGAGCAATGTTATTATTTGTAGTAGTGGACTAACTCAGTTTTGTAATCTAGTTAATTTATGTCACAATCGTTTTCACAACTTTATTTGGCTTATGTTTCGATGATTTTCGTTCAAATGACACAAAATTTGATAAAACTTGAAGATAAAGAAAACAGTTCTATTTTTTATTCAACCTTGATCCGCAAGGTGGCTTTTAAGTTTGTCTTTTGTAGGATTGGATAGTCTTATACGTATCTATTTGAGGAAATTGTTTCCTTCCATTTAGCCATTATCTAATGTTAGATGTATTTTTCAGTTAAGTAGAATCTTATACAAATTGTCAATATATAATTTTTTATTGCATACATATACAAGAGAAATACATTCCCGATTATTAGAAAAATAAAGATGAGAAATAGAACATAACTTACTGTCGGTTGGAATGGGGTCGATAATATTGATTTTGTTTGGTTAGGTTAGAAATTGTAAATAGAAAGTAACTTAGTAGGAAACTCATAATAATACATTAAAGTTTGCCACATTACTCTCGTGTGTAATGAATGAAGCTGTTTTCTATTCCACATTAAAGTTTACTCATAATACATTAAAGTTTGCCACATTATACATTAAACTCATAAGCCATATCATTGTGAAGGGAAAAGACCATGACACAACTACGAAAATCACTAGGGTTTTAATAGGTTGTTAGCCACTTAGCCTAGTTTCTTTGTTAATATTTCATTGAAGTGCAATTTTTGAGCTATGTTATTATTTGTAGTAGTGGACTAACTCAGTTTTGTAATCTAGTTAATTTATGTCACAATCGTTTTCACAACTTTATTTGGCTTATGTTTCGATGATTTTCGTTCAAATGACACAAAATTTGATAAAACTTGAAGATAGAGAAAACACTTTTATTCAACCTTGATCCGCAAGGTGGCTTTTAAGTTTGTCTTTTGTAGAATTGGATAGTCTTATACGTATCTATTTGAGGAAATTGTTTCATTCCATTTAGCCATTATCTAATGTTAGATGTATTTTTCAGTTAAGTAGAATCTTGTACAAATTGTCAATATATAATTTTTTATTGCATACATATACAAGAGAAATACATTCCCGATTATTAGAAAAATAACTTACCGTCCGTTGAAATGGGGTCGATTTTCTCTTAGAATATCGATTTTGTTTGGTTAGGTTAGAAATTGTAAATAGAAAGTAACTTAGTAAACTCATAATACATTAAAGTTTGACACATTACTCTAGTGTGTAATGAATGAAGCTGTTTTCTATTCCACATTAAAGTTTACTCATAATACATTAAAGTTTGCCACATTATACATTAAACTCATAAGCCATTGATCTGCAACTAAATGAAAGAAGCTGTTTTCTATTCCTTATACTGAGGTACGTATATGGTGACTTTCTGAGCTAAGCAGCTTTCACTTTCTCCGCTGTGTATCGGCTTGTATCTTCCGAGTAAAGCACACCGTCCCGCGATAAAAGACGGACAAGGGCTAGAGAAAACCGAGCCTGAAACAATTCATATATGTCAGATTCAACAAGAGCCAAACAACTCATATGGCTTTAGCAAAGGTGTAGCATTTTCTTTACCCATTGGAATCCCACGAGAGCGTACCAGCAGCCTCTCAACCCAAATCCTCCGTTGCTCACAAGCTTTTAGTCAAATGCAAAGAGGAGAGAGTGAGTTACAGAAATCTATTTAGGAGAGAGTAATGAAGACTGAGGCTAAGAGGAGTGATTACCATAAGTACAAGCCCTGCAACGGCGAAGCATCCAGTCATTGACAAGCTGATATACCTAAGATCTCTTCCAGCCTTCATTTAGCATTAACACATTTCTTTATTCTTTTGGATCAGGTTTGCAGGTGAACATATCTATCATTACAGGGAAATTATGAAAGAGACACACAAGTCTAAATTACCAGTAAGGTGCCTTCGAGACTGTGGGTACTTGGTGTGATGGATAAAGCAACGAAATATGGTATGATGACCTTGTGCATCTGTCACAATATGCAACGGAAAAAAACTGTTTAGAAACATGTGTTGCCGGAAACATATGAGACAAAGGCAAAAGAAATACCTGGGATATGACAACCTTGTCGTGCGTGAAGATGCCAGGGAACAGCCATGGTACCGCTGTGCCAATGCTTCCCACTACTATTCCTAACGTAGCACCGATGATAACAAGTGACTTGAGAAGCATTCTAGCCTACAACACACAACAGTCAATACAGAGAGTTGCTTTAGGCAACTGTAAAGGCAAAACTGCAGTCCCTATAGGATATTATCACCAACGGCCTTACTTTAGGTAAGTTGCGATTGATTCCGAATAGCAACTCGGGCATAAAGGACTGCGCAGTTTGAGAGAGAGGCTCCCCCCAAACTGTACACATGGTAAACGTCTGAAGCATAACCTAGAGACCACAAGAGCCAGACAAGTTACAGAGAAAGAAACTTAAACCAGGAGACATGGTTAGTGCCTGAAATATACAAGGACGTCTCACCTGATGAGCAGCTATGACGCTTGTACCCATTGATGTTGCAAAATACACAAGGAGCGTGTAGAACAAAACCTAAAGGAGAAGACAACAAAAATATCAGATGCGAAAGGGAAGATCCTGTTGGAACTGAGTGTCTCAAGTAGTAACCTTTGACATCATAGTTATAAAGACTGGGGCAGCGAGCCCAAAGATTGTCAAGAGTTCACTTGGAGAAGGAACACAGAGTGAGAAGGCGCTGTATCCTTTCTTGTTCAACGCGTCCATCATCATATAAGCTGCAACAACCTAAAACCATATCGAATTAAAACCATAGTTGATATTGTATTGAACCAGCCAAGAAGATTTCCGAGAACTTTGATAGGAACCTTAAGGATTTCAGCTTACTTGTGACACCATCGTTGCCCAAGCGGCACCTGCTATACCATATCCTAGAAAGGTGCATAAGATCACATCACCAACACCGTTTATTGCACTAGCGACTGCCAGTGCCTTTAAAGGTCCCCATGAGTCTTTCATACCAAGACTGAGACAAAACAAACAAAGGATGTAACAATGTTAGACCATTATAACAGTGATATACAATCCTCACAGTAGTAAAGATCCGACGGTCTGAATTGTGCTACAATGCTGAAACTTTGGAAGTAAGAAAATGCAACTTGCAGAGGAAAATGACCTTGCACTTTGAGCAACCCATCCAATGAGAACAGCTGGCCATGCCAAACCACGGATCTGAGAATAGAAGAGAAAAAAAAGAGGAAAGTGACTTAAAATTCAAGTTTTCGCCAATGCTCAAGGTCAAAGCATGGTTAAAAACTTAATATAAGTTGAACCTATCTAAACATATTATTTGACTATTACGCATAGAGCCAACACACTCCAATCTAAAACTTAACAACTACAAAAGGGTTCATCAAGGTAGAGTATGAACCTGAACATATGTATTTGCCGCCGGGACAATCTCAGCATTCTTCGCCCCTGTGAAAGCTGAAAGGAGACTAAACAGTCAACAGCCTGTTCATGTACTACGTAGTCTAGTCACAACTGGTCAGATACAAGTATTCCTTGTTACCAGTTAGTGCCCAGGAACCAAACAGCCTTGTAAACACCATCATCATGACTCCACAGGCCAACCCAATAAAAAGCAAGATCGATATCTGATGTTGTACTTCATCTTTGTCCTGCCCAAGGACTTGTTTGTTAGCAAGTTGCTAATAACGTGCACTTTGCCATAAAGAAAAATCTTGAATAAACTGACCCGTCGAGCAAGAGAGGTGGCGACAAGATTTGATGTGGCGACCGAGAGGAACATGAAGGTATAACACAAATAATCACAGACGACGGTTGCAGGACCTGTTGAAATTTGGATTATTGTTACTTGAATCAGAATCAAACCACATGTTCTAAGGTGGAGAGTAACGAATTCAACATATATTCTTTCAAGTCAGATTCTTTGGTACCAACCTAAAGCAGCGAGTTCGAGTGAGCTTCCTTGACCAATCACCGCCGTGTCGATGAGACTCATCAACGGCCCACATAGCCACAGTCCCGCCGCAGGTCCTGTAAACATGACGATCTCTTTCATCTGTCCCCATATGCTCTGATTCGCCAAGTCATCTTTCTTCACTTCAACCGCAGAAATCGAAACGTCGTCTGCGTCTCCACCTACCAGCTCAATCACTTCCTCCGTCGCCGGAGAAACCGGCCCATTTCCGCTTCCTCCATGAACAACAATCTCCTGACTCGGAATCGAACAGTTTCTGATAAACCTGTTCAAATTCAGAGACTTTGCTTCGGAAACAGAGCTCCTGAAACTTGGGAATGGAGGCTTACATGACCGTAAAGTGATTGAAGATCGGAATGGTAGCTTTGGGTTAGAAGAAATCGAAGAAACTGTAAAAGTTAGGGGTTTACATTGAATTTGCATTCTTTCTTCTTCTTCCTCCTCCTAGTTTAGTTATCAAAAATCAGAAGAAGAAAATTCAAAAGAAATGGGAAAATTGCGGCTTGTAAAGCTTTCAGGCGATTAACTGATAAAAGACAACGCACCAACTCGTCGTCAAGCATTCGGTTTAACAATTGGTACAATAAACCGGTTCACCAAATTGAGATCAAACCAACTATTGATTTTCTTATTGTTGTTTTCCCCCACAAATTTGACGGCCCAAAAGCAAAGAGGACGGAAATTATGAGAAAGAGAAAAGGAGAAATTTTGATAAGGCAAATGTGTGACCTTAACAAGTCCAAGTGTTATTTTCGTGTCGGTGACAGAGGACAAGAAGATACACACACTCACTAATGACCCTACTACTTTGTATGTTTGTGACGATAAATTTTATAAACCGTACGCAATTTGCAAACAGTGATTTATTTCATTTTTGTGGGCTTTTCTGGTTAGCCTTGTGCACATTTTGTCAGGTCTTTGAAATCCCTCTCGAGCCTGGTCCAGGCCCAAACAGCAATCCAATATTGCCAGGTGGCGAGGAGATTTTAGCGTGAGAGATGACATGGCAGTCTATGCACCGTTGATGTAGACTTCACAATATCTGATGAAAATCTCAAAACATAACCTCAGCCTTAAAAACCACTGACAAAGTCATCACCACCTCATAAACTCATCTCTGAAAAATGTATTTTCACTGCGATTTAAATCTTAATTAACGACTATGAATGAGTGAGTACCTTATATTGTTAGAATACTAAGCTTTTTGAATATCCAGAGACTTTCTTTTGGTCATTTGCATTGGAAATATTATCGTCCAGGTGGCAAATCCTCGTCAGCCGGCTCACGAGAGCCTCAATTTCCCCATCTTTGTGTTCACTCTGTTTCTCTATATATCCACTGAAACGCACGATCGTTGTGGTAGTGAGAGCGTTACAAGCGTTTTATACACTCTACTATAGTTGAAGAAGAAGAAGAAGAAGATAGCAACAATGGCGTCAAGCTCTGCGACTCTACTCAAAGCCTCGCCGGTGAAATCTGATTGGGTTAAGGGACAGAGTCTCCTCATCCGCCAACCTTCCTCCGTCGCTGCTATTCGCAGCCACGTGGCACCTTCTGCTCTCACCGTCCGTGCCGCCTCTGCTTACGCCGACGAGCTCGTCAAAACAGCTGTAACTATAATCAAAATATAATTATCAACATTTCTTTTATCCATTCATTCACTCACTAGTTAATGATTGAAATGGTGGCAGAAAACAATCGCGTCTCCGGGACGCGGAATTCTGGCCATGGACGAGTCAAACGCGACTTGCGGGAAGCGTTTGGCCTCAATTGGGCTAGAGAACACGGAGGCTAACCGTCAAGCTTACCGGACGCTACTTGTGTCGGCACCGGGACTGGGACAGTACATCTCCGGAGCAATCCTGTTCGAGGAAACTCTGTACCAATCCACCGTCGACGGCAAGAAAATGGTCGATGTTCTCGTTGAGCAGAACATCGTCCCTGGCATCAAAGTCGACAAGGTATTATTTACTAATCAATCGGTTTACAGACAAGTTTTGGTTTAGGTTTGATTTGTTAAGGTTCGGTTTAAATGTCCAAATTTTAGGTGTAAATGTAATGATGAAACTAGACTCATGATGGGTTTGTATATAAACATGAAACAGGGTTTGGTGCCACTAGTTGGGTCAAACGACGAGTCATGGTGCCAAGGACTCGACGGTTTAGCCTCTCGTACCGCTGCGTACTACCAACAAGGTGCTCGTTTCGCCAAATGGTACGTGACGTTCATCTTATTCTCATCACACATAACACTGACTCGGTAACATACATTTATGGCAAGTTGTGTGTTTGAATGAACTCACTCCATGTACTTATATTACTAGGCGTACTGTTGTGAGCATTCCAAATGGACCCTCTGCTTTGGCTGTTAAAGAAGCAGCTTGGGGACTTGCCCGCTACGCCGCCATTTCTCAGGTACTATATTTCTCATCTACATAACACACTACACACCTCTGTTTCTCATCTAACATTGTTTGTATACATTACTTAGGCATTTTGCGTTTTGCGTTCTGCAGGACAGCGGTCTGGTGCCGATTGTGGAGCCTGAGATTATGTTGGATGGAGAACACGGCATTGACAGGACATACGAGGTTGCAGAGAAGGTCTGGGCTGAGGTCTTCTTCTACCTCGCTCAGAACAACGTCATGTTCGAAGGTAAACATTATAAATAAACAAAAACATGAATGCTAGAAACTTACAGCTTTTGGTAACAGGTATTCTCTTGAAGCCGAGCATGGTCACTCCTGGTGCTGAGGCCAAAGACAAAGCTACTCCTGAGCAGGTTGCTTCCTACACTCTCAAGCTCCTCCGCAACAGAATCCCTCCCGCTGTCCCCGGAATCATGGCAAGTTTTCTCATTTTTACTCTTTTTAAGTATTTTGTTTTCTTGCGGCTAAAGCTAAAGAAACTACTGTATGCTTGAGATTTGATTTTATATATGATGTATGCAGTTCCTGTCTGGTGGACAGTCTGAGCTAGAGGCGACCCTGAACCTGAACGCAATGAACCAGGGATCAAACCCATGGCACGTTTCCTTCTCCTACGCACGTGCTCTGCAGAACACTTGCTTGAAGACATGGGGAGGTAGAGAAGAGAACGTCAAGGCTGCTCAGGACACACTCTTGACCAGAGCCAAAGCTAACTCGCTGGCTCAGCTCGGGAAATACACTGGAGAAGGCGAGTCCGAGGATGCCAAGGAAGGCATGTTTGTAAAAGGCTACACCTATTAAGCTAATGGTTTCCACATAGATCAAAACTCAAAACCTGAGCTTGATTCTCTTGTTTTGAGTTGTTATTATTATAACGAGTATAAAAGCCAGTTCGTGCTTTATGTGACTGGTTTTGCTTCTACAATGTGGTCGTTTTGTTATATTTTGTACCCTACTACAGTACTACTAATAATTGAGTTACGTCCGTTTATACCATTGTTAAAAAACACATAATAACCTCTGGAACAGAGGAAGAGAGATGGTGTTTCTTTGTGAGTCGTTGGCGATAGAGACTCAGACCAGTGGCCAAGAATGTTCGTTAATGGCTACACTTACTGAAATCTTGTGTTAAACTAGGTGAGACGGTTGATTCAGTTCAACCAGCTGTTAGCAAATGCATCTCCCAAGGGAATGGTAAGCTGTGTAATGAGGAGACTTGTTTCTCATGCAATAGCGTTAAAGAAGCAAGATCACAGACTATGAGAGGAACAATCTTGGTAAGAAATTGCATCTAAATGGGACGTATCTTGATCTTGGTGTATCTATGTGATCACTTCTTAGACGCTCCAACGGGTACTAGGCCTACATGTTCGTGACCGTTTGCTCTATTTACATCAATACCTTGCTCCTTAAAAGAAAGAGAGAAAAAGAAAAACAACCGTTGAGAAACATGAAAGAAAAACTGAGCCAAGATTTAGGTTCATCCTATAAAAAACGTACTTGGTGATTTGATCCAGGCTCATGTACTCTTTCAGGGTTGGAGTTAAGATCAATCATATCATGATCACCATTTGCATTTGATTCTTGACCGCGACGTGAGGAAACCTTTTGACGGTTTGCCTCCTTACACCGTAATCCCAGATCATCAGCGTGATTAGGCTTATCTCCTGGAAACTACAAGACAGATTTAAAACTCAAGATCACAAATCAGAGAATGCTTCAAGATCCTGAAGTTGAGAAGATAGAAATATTTCAAAACATAAACCTCAATTCTCTGTCTGAGCAATAGAAACCGCTTGTGAGTTTTCTTGCCGCCAACATGTACAACCATGTCACATTGTAGACAAAGGGAACTACCGTCTATCTCACAGTAGAAGAATGCTGCGAAACAAAACATATCAAAAACCGGAGAGAGAGGAGTGGAGTCATAGTCAATTAGTCATTACCAGGTGCATTTTCGCATATGTCGCAGCTTGGCGCATTGCTCGGATCAGCCAAGCCTACACGTACATGCCGACTAGCAAGCTTGTTGCACATATGAACCTAAAGACATCAAACACAAATGTTTCTACCTTACTATAAGTTATAAAGACAATTTGATATCTGATTCACTTCCTACTCTTATGACCATTCTCCTCAATTAAACCATACGCAACTAGAACAACATCCACTTTTGAATACTAAGATTTTCAGGTAAAGTTGGTTACTTTTTCGTCGCAGGAGCAACAGAGGGCGGCTTCGTCGGCGGCGCAGAAGACGATAGCGGCGGCGCTCTCACACGCATCACACAGAATTCGCATGTTTTTTTTTCTTGTCAAACTCACGATTCTGGCTATTGTTGAATGAATAATCACACTTTCAAAGTTAGCAACTTTCTCCAAAACCAGATTCCGATTGGTGACGCCGAGGAAACTTCGATTGGTTTAAGCCTTAAAGGGGATATCGAAGTGAAGAAGAGGACGAAGATTTATGAATCTATATCTTCTTTCTTTTATGGCAATGGAGAGAGAGAGAGCAGATAGCAGAGAAATATGATGGACTGTTAAATTTATTTAGCCAGAAATATCTTTTACGATATAAATTTCTATCAAATGCATATGAAAATATTTGTTGCGTAACTGAGAAGTCAATCAAATGCAAAAAGAAAATGGTACAGTAGAATCTAAGTTAAGTCTAACGGTAAAGGAGAGACTTGAGTAGACAAAAGACTTGTAAGTGTTGTTTCCTTCGTTTTGTTAGTAGAATGTTCGAGCTCGTCTCTTCTCGTCCATGGAAATGTCTGCATTTTTGGTAATTCGTAAATCGTTATCAATTCCAAGTTTTTTTTATGATTGGTTGAACAGAAATGGAGTGTTGTACGATAGGCTAGTTTTAGGTAATAATTGTGGAAAAGTATACGTTGGCGGAATAATAAGGGCCACACGAAAAATTGAAAACAGGAAAAAGGTAGGGTCAAAAGAATCAACAGCCATTGAATTCGGTGGTCAAGAAGTAATTGTCGTTTCCAAGTAGGTTTGTTTTCCTCAGTTTCCATTTTGTGTCCCATATATTCGATTTTGACTAGTTTCTAAAACCCAATCTACTGGAGAAGATTTTTTCTTGCGTCTGTCCGATTAATGATCTAGATATTTTCATAGGCTGAGTTCAATATATTCATAGAATCACTATACTTTTGGAAAACGATTGAGTTAAGTACATCTTTCGGTGGACATATAGCAAATCTATATGAATGATGAACCAACAAAGTTTCCAAGACATTTTACCGTAAACACACATAAAACAAAAGAAGTCGTTCATGAAAACAAAGATTTTGCCTACAAATATATACTCTTTCAGTATCATTTTAGGCTTTTTTCTGAACAAATCAAAATTCCCAACGAATTCGAAAAAAAAATGAAAACACTACGTTAGTTACAACTTACAACCATAATAGTCAAAATTTCTTTTGTTATCGTTGTGTAACCAAAGGGATCCCAACTACAATGGGCTTATGTATAGGCCCACAAACGAAGTAACCAATTAACTTTACCAAAAAGTCAAAAACTAACTATTGCTAGCAATATACAAGTGTTTGTAACTTAATTTTCAAGTCATAATGTTACCAATTCATAGTCAAATGGTATAAGTTATGTTACCAAGTTAGGACATGGGTTTAAGAAAATTAAGAGGTGTGGTTTAGGGCTTTTGACTTTATCTTTTTTTTAAAACTAGTAGTATATCTCATATCTTCAAATGCTTTCTATGATAAATGGACCGACAAAAATAGAAAAGCGATCCGTGATTTTCGCTATTTTACTAATTTCACGTCTGCTCGGTAAAATGGGATGTCAGTACTTCGGTCCATACATTTGATTTTATATACTCTTTTTGAAGGAATTGTTAGAAATCAAAAAATAGTTAGAAGTCTCTTTGTGATGGGGAGAGTCTCTAACCCTTGGGCTGTGGACGGACGAACCTTTCAACGGCTATAAAGCAGCGGTCCTCAATCCACGTGTCAAAGGGAGTAACCGAGAAGATCGAGACAATAAATTTAAGGAAGGCAAAATTAAAGCGAACGGCCATTGAGTTTAATGCACGTGGCAGCTTTCTCAGATTCCCGACAACGTTATAGGGGTAATAGAGGAATTTCATGGTATCTTCCTTCCACCGCACTCTCGGCTCGACAAATAGAAAAGAGTGTGTGTGAGAGAGAGAGAGGCGCTTCCCTACGAGATTTGCGGGACCAAATCAATGCCCATTGGTCCCTCCGAGAGAGTGAGAGAGAGGCGATGGAGAATTTTTAGAGAGTGAGAGTGAGAGGAAATCATCAAGCAGAGGAAGAAGAAGACGCGCGCAGGATGGAGTAGAAGCCGAAGAATAAGGGTACTTTGATTTTATCTCTTTCTCTCCGGATATTTCGCACTACTGATATAGATATAGATTCAGGGTTCGCCATCGAGTTTCCGATTCCACTGTTTCATCGACACCCAGATTTCTCCTCCAATTTCTAGTTTATTGGCTAGTTCCTTTACCTTCAAATCCAGCTCGAAGTGCTAGGAATTTATCTCCGCTTTAATTACTTCTCCCCTAAATTTTAGATCGAGATTGCTATTTTTGGTAACAATTGGGGAGAACACTTCAGCATTTTATCTAGATTTGCTTGATAGATTCATAAACTATATTTCGGGGTTATTAAATTTCCGATGCCACTCTCAAAATCAGCTCTGTGTGTTCACTAATGCTGAAATCTGTGGTCGATGATGTTTCAGATTAGAGCTTCTGTTGAAACGGCATCACTTTGGGGGGAAGAAGACCAACACTCACAAGGTAAACCCCTCTCTGTATGTAAATGCATACATCTAGACACCAATATATATATATATATATATTTGTTTATGCGCATATGCGAACAAGAGAAGATTTAGGGTTTAGTTTCAAGATGGAGATGCTTTTTTTTTGTATATTACATTCAAGTCAAATCACTTCTAGTATTATTTTAAATTATCACGATTTTTTAATGTTAACTGATACTTTTGTTTTCCTTAGTTACATTTTGGATTGTTAAAGAGAAAACTCAAGTGCACTTGGTGAGAAAGACTTACGAATACAACTTTAAAATATATATTCAATCTTTTTCTGTTTGCTTTTGCGTGTGTAAGATTACAATCAAAGTACTTGGAATATGATCACTTTTCCTTTATTGCCTTCTTTCTTTTCCCTTAAAATATTTGCATTTCAAGTTTTCAACACAGAAGGATGGTTGTGGGGCCGTTTATTACTTATTTTTTCATTAAAGAAACTTTAGATTGATGATGCATGACTTCGTTTTCAAGCATAGTGGGTGACCACCACTGAAAAAAAGTCGGTTCTCTTTTTTTGTTTGTTCTTCAGTTAAAGGTTGATTACCTTCTAAGTAAACTATGTTTTGTTATCTAAAAACCAACATCCATGTTAATAAGTAATAAGTCATATCTCTTTCGGTTTCTTTTTCTTTCTGTTTAAGTAGTGTATTGAGTAAATCTGAATTGATGTTTAGTTACAGTGTTATCGGCATTCTCTGATATCCCATGAGATGTCCGCGCTTTATCATTTCTTTATTGTTGTGTTTGTTAAAAAGTAAAGACTCTTTTGGTCTCTTCTCAGAGAGATTCTGTTCTTTAAAGCTTTCAGCAGTCGTTAAAATAAGCAAATACATCAATCTTAACGTCTGCACCGTTTCAGGAAAACAATTTCGAGTTTCCTCTGCTTAAAGAGCTCACTGTTCATCATTGTGATCTGAATAGTGAGCAATGGGAGCGATTGCTGGAGAAGAGCTGAAGAAAATGGAGAAGACACAGGTGCCTGTAGCCCGGGAAGAGAAGATTTTGGTTCTGGTGAGACTGAGACCTCTGAACGAGAAAGAGATCTTGGCTAATGAAACTGCAGACTGGGAATGCATCAACGACACCACCGTATTGTACAGAAACACGTTGCGTGAAGGCTCAACTTTTCCTTCTGCATACTCATTTGGTAAGAATTGCTCTGGTGTTTTTAGTTTGGATATCTTCTGTGTACTGAAATTAGTTTCAGTTTTTTGGTTTCTTTATAACATCAAACACGGATCACAAAAATCTTACATTTCATCTAAAACCATGCTGTGCGGTGTATATTGTTCATCTTTTGCACCGTCCCAAACTCTTCAATAAACTTAATTCTACTTGGTCTTGTCTCCTTGCATTTCAAGCTTTTACATCACATCTACGAGTTGATTAGTGGATGCTCATTTTTCTTTTGACATTTTGATGACAGATAGAGTGTACCGAGGTGAATGCCCAACCAGACAAGTTTACGAGGATGGCCCCAAGGAAGTTGCTCTCTCGGTTGTCAAAGGAATCAACTGTAAGTTTCCTTGATTGCTGTGATGATTTGGCATTGATGGCATCAAAAGCTAAATGTTTCAATAATATTGTTTTCCAGCTAGCATTTTCGCATATGGTCAGACGAGCAGTGGAAAGACATACACCATGACTGGTATCACTGAGTTTGCTGTGGCTGACATATTTGACTATATATTTAAGGTACTGCTAAAAATTTAAGTCTGATAATTTCTCCATATTATTTTGATATGTATTCTTCGTTTTCACTAATTGCACTGAATGCTGCAGCATGAAGATAGGGCCTTTGTTGTAAAATTTTCGGCTATAGAGATTTACAATGAAGCCATTCGAGATCTTCTCAGCCCGGATAGTACACCACTGAGACTACGAGATGACCCTGAGGTAAAAGATTGTTGTTTTCTCCTTACAGCGAACTCTTTTAATTGATACTCTTGTCTAACTCTTCTCGTGATTTTTTTCTTCCATTTAGAAAGGGGCCGTCGTTGAAAAAACTACAGAGGAAACTCTGAGAGACTGGAACCATTTGAAGGATCTTATCTCTGTTTGTGAAGGTAATAAGCTCATAAAGTCCACCGGTTTTCCATTAGTACGAACCAGTTGATGATAGTTATGTAGTTTGCTCATGATTTGCTACTCAGGTTATTCTGTGTAAAAAGTTGTCTGAAAATAATCTCATCACGTTTCCTTGTTGTACTTATTGCAGCTCAGCGGAAAATTGGTGAAACCTCATTGAATGAGAGAAGTTCAAGATCTCATCAAATTATCAAACTGGTAAAGCCCTTCTCTGTCACTGGATCTATGGGACAATGATTCCCCTCCTTTTTGCTTAGTGCCTTATCTAAATTGTGAATTTTTACAGACAGTTGAAAGCTCTGCTCGTGAGTTCTTAGGCAAAGAAAACTCGACCACTCTTATGGCGAGTGTGGTATGTAATCATCTGCTTTATCTACTTTGGGTCATAAGGTTCTAATCATTGCCGAGTCATGTTGTTTGTGCTCACTGTTTCTTATGTACAGAATTTTATTGATTTGGCGGGGAGCGAGCGCGCATCTCAGGCCTTATCAGCTGGTGCAAGACTTAAGGAAGGATGCCATATCAATCGTAGTTTGCTGACTCTAGGAACTGTGATACGCAAACTCAGGTGTGAAAGTGATACTTTGGTTGACACTTTAAACCGTACTTTTGTTAGCATATGCAACCGATTATTATTGACAAAACAAAAGACGGGTTTTACAAGCATCTCTACTTATCTTTCGGAAACTTAGTGTGTATTAAATTATTGATACAAGAATGTCAACATGATGCAGCAATGGAAGACAAGGACACATCAACTATAGAGACTCCAAGCTCACACGCATTCTTCAGCCATGCTTAGGGGGCAATGCCAGAACTGCCATAGTCTGCACGCTGAGTCCAGCAAGGAGCCATGTGGAGCAGACTAGAAACACACTCTTGTTTGCCTGCTGTGCCAAGGAAGTAACCACGAAGGCACAGATCAATGTTGTCATGTCAGACAAGGCTTTGGTGAAGCAACTACAGCGTGAGCTAGCCAGGCTCGAGAGCGAGCTAAGAAACCCAGCCCCTGCCACCTCAAGCTGTGACTGTGGGGTTTCGCTTAGAAAGAAAGATCTTCAGATACAAAAGGTCTGCGCTTTAATGAAAATCCAGAAGTATTCCACAGCCTCTTTGATTGGAGTTTGATTGATTTTTGGATAATTGGGGTTATTCTGATTAAGGTTTGATGTTGTGCAGATAGAGAAGCAGCTCGCAGAAATGACTAAGCAGCGGGATCTTGCTCAATCTCGGCTAGAAGATTTCATGAGGATGGTCGAGCACGATGAGTCTTCTAAGGTATCTCAGTTCAGTCCACAGATAATTCAATAATCCACCATTTTTTAAAAAAATTTGATGGCATTTTTAGCTCAATCGATTACTTTTATTTTTTGCCACTTTCAAAGGCTGGAACTCCACATTTCCGCAACCGAACCAACAACTGGGAGGATGGTTCAGTGTCAGAGACATCAGGCGTGGTTGATCCAGACAGGACCAGTTTCATATCAGATGGGACGTCAACGCCTCTGTCGACTGCAAGAGCTCCTGTTAGGTCTCACTCTGACGAGGATCTGGAGGAGGAATCACCGCCTTGTCGTTCAGGAGATCAATCGGAAGAATACTGCAAAGAAGTACAATGCATTGAGATGGAAGAATCAGCCAGTGACATTATTAACAACGATGAAGAAAGGACAGACGCAGAAACACATCAGAGCCACAGTGCAGCGGCAAACGGTGGAACAGGTCTTGCTCAAAACAGGAATCCGTCAAGTGTTAGAAGCGTCAGGGTGAGGAAGAGTTGGAGCCGCGGAGATACCATGCAGGGCACAAGCACTCCTCCTGATGCTCTGGAGATAGACTACCCTGGAAGGCCGGAGGGTCATGGTATTGCGTTTCCTGATTTAGAGTTCGGTTCTGATAACAAGTTGTTGAGGAATGATTCGATGTCTTCTCGCGGAAGCGATTCCACTGAGGCTCACAGCGTTGGAACACCGATGATGGGAGAAGATGGAGGTATCACCAGCATCCGGTCATTTGTTGAAGGGCTCAAGGAGATGGTAAAGGATATTCAACTTCTTATGCCAGACTATGTGTTGAGGTTTTGGTTCCCAGTATGGTTAAAACTAGATGAGATGATTCAACTTCTTACATCAAGCTTTGTATTCAGGTATCCGATCCTGAGAATTCAGGGAAAATGGGGAAGGACATTGGTCTGGACGCTATGGAGAAAGAGGTGTCTGGGACAATGACCAACTGGTCAGATGAATTCGATAGACAGAGGGAACAGATCCTGGAACTTTGGCAGACATGTAATGTCTCGTTGGTGCACAGAACGTACTTCTTCTTGCTCTTCAAGGGCGATCAAGCGGATTCGATATACATTGGAGTAGAGCTAAGAAGGCTCTCTTTTATGAAAGAAAGCTTCTCTCATGGAAATCAAGCCTTCGAAAGAGGACAAACACTCACAGTTGCTTCAAGGTTAGTACTTGTAGCATTTGCGTTTGCATCCGCAGCAAACAGCTGATGTTTTTGCTAACCGCTCGTGTGGTTTTGGTTGTAGCCTGAAGGCACTTCAGAGGGAGAGACGGATGCTAAGCAAGCTGGTTGGGAAGAGGTTTTCAGTAGAAGAAAGGAAGAGACTCTACGAGAAGTTTGGGATCGCTGTGAACTCGAAACGCAGGAGGTTGCAACTGGCGAATCAGCTCTGGAGTAACCCCAGAGACATAACCCATGTGGTCGACAGCGCAGCCGTGGTGGCAAAGCTAGTTAGGTTCGTGGAGCAAGGAAGAGCTATGAAGGAGATGTTTGGTCTGAGCTTCACGCCTCCGCTTCTGACAAGTCGGAGATCGCATAGCTGGAGAAAAAGCATGGCCGGACTTTTCTAATAGCCACGTCACGTTTATATAATGGTTTTTTTGACTTGTGAGGTTGTATGTGTAAATCTTCTAGGTGGGTTCTTGGTTTTAGAGTGTTTGATGAAAAAGTTTCAAGGAGATGTTTCTATTCCTCTTGCTTTTGATTTGGAAACAGACATTGTGACTGATATATGATGATTCTCGACTCTTGTCCTAATTTAGCGCAACTACAAATCTCTTCAAGTGTGAGTGACACTGGTCAAAAATCTCAACTTGTGTTTTGCACTGAATCGAACTGGAACCGTATTTGTTGAATCGGAAAGGAGTGAGACAAAACAGGAAGAAATCTGTCGAATGATAAGAAGTTTTAAAACCCGGCTTGCATATCACACTGGATAACTCTCGTCTAATTTCGTTGCATGTTTGGCAAAAGGTATCATGGATCAATAAAAGAATATGCAATTGAAGATTTAGTTCCAAGATAGATAGATAATCGTATTCAGTAAAACTGGCGACTGTTCTCTAAGCCTACACTCAACCATCGATTTCATCCGAACAAACACGACTCAACATTCGTTTCACACATATTCATGCCAAAGCACCAGATGTGCTTCAGTTATAGTCTTCCTAGTTCCTACAGCCAACTACACTAGAAAACAATCTACAAGAGTCACAGATGAATGATTCTCTAACTCACAACAGAGAGAAGGTAAATCGTTTATAACAAAGAAATAAATCAAACAGCTTACACAAAAGCTATCTATCTATCTGTAGCTGATAAGACTAGTTACTCTAGGTTTGAACAAAAAGCTAAAAACCAAATAACTCAGTGAGAATCAACAATCTTGTGCATAAATTGGCGTTCCCCAACTGTAATTTTTTATTCGTTTTGGATTCAAATTCCCAATTGAATGCTGGAGCATTAAAAAAAGAAAGATGGGAAATTTAAGCTCGTGAAATCGCCAAAACAAAGAGGAAACACAGATCACGAACGAAGACTGAGCCTTTTTAGTTGCAAACGAGAGAGAGGAGAGAAAACATTTAAACTGTTTATTATTTCAGATGAGCTTGAAAGGGAGAGGCCAAGGAGTAGACCTGGGAACCTCGAGCTTGTCTTTGATCCGCTCAATCATCTTCTGCTTCTTCCCTCTCGAATTCCCGTACGATCCTATGAACCTCTTCCCTTTCTTCGTCTTCTTATCCCCTCTTCCGCACAAATCCATTTCCGATACCGCCGGAGCTGCAGACGCCGGAGATAACCTCGCCGAACCATTCACTGCTGCCGACGTACGCTGCGTCATCATAATCCGTCGCGTCATCGCGCCGCACCACTGCATCGCCGCCATCGCTCTCTCTCTCTCTCTTTCCTTGCTTTCTTCTCCGTCTCTCACACCAGACAGAAACACCTCAAGACACTCTCGAAACTGGGTATATTTATTAATGGGCCGTCTCAAATATAGAAAGCCCAAATATATATCCGAAAACCCGAATGCCGAGCACACCTTTACGGGCTTTAATTTGGGCCCATTAGTATGGTGTGTGTTTATAGATACAGAGACGGATCAAGGAACTTGTGTGTGTGTGTCTGTGCTGTGAGATTTGTTTAGGTTTGGAGGATGTTTAGGAGGTATGGTAACCCGGCGGCGGAGGCTGAAAACGCGACAGCTCCGATAGAGGTGTGGTGGGACATGAAGGGCTGTCCGGTTCCCGAGGGTTATGATGCTGGTCGGGTGCGTCCCAGTTTAGAAGCTGCGTTCAAGAAGCTAGGCTACTCTGGTCCTGTCTCCATCACTGCCTATGGCGACCATAAACAGACCCCTGATGACCACCTGCGAGGGCTCTCTTCGACCGGAGTCTCTATTGCACATACCAAACCCGGTTAGTCCAATTGCTATCGCCATCTCTGGAATTTAATTTGGATTTTGTTCAACTCTCTCTCTCAATTCCTTTTTGACTGAAACATGCAGAAAGCATATGCTCACTCATGTATTCTGACATGCTGGAGTGGCGAGCTCAGAATCCTCCTCCGGCGACAATGATGCTCATATCCGATCAGGTGGAAGAGGTCTTCTCTTGGGATCTGGCCAGGCTACAACAAGCCACCATGTACAACCTTTTCGTGGCTTATCCATCCAAGCCTCAAGCTTTTTTCTCATCTTCAGATCTGGAGACTGGTGCAGATTGGCTCTGGAATGAATTACTTGAGCTCGGAATCAGTACGGAATCGTGCAGTGAATTATCAGCCGCCATGTTTTATTGCAAATCGTGCTGTTTCCGTGGCCAAAGCCTCAAGGGTTTCAGGAAGCATCTCTCCAGTAGAAAGCATGCAGTGCAAGTAAGAGAAACCCTAAACCCAACAACCATTAACCATCTCTCTCTCTCTCTCTCGCAACAACAACCTAACCTGTTTGCTTGTTTGTTTGTTTCCACTCGACTCGCAGGAGGTTCTAAACCGTACGCATCCAGACCTTGACCAGGTAACGAGGAAGTGGGGAAAGAACTACGCGGCGGAGCCTGAATACGCGACAGCTCCAATAGGTGTGTGGTGGGACATGGACGACTGTCCGATTCCCGAGGGTTATGATGCTCGCCAGGTCCGTGCGAGTATAGAAGCTGCGTTCAAGAAACTAGGCTACTCTGGTCCTGTCTCCATCACTGCCTATGGCGACCATAAACAGACCCCTGATGACCACCTGCGAGGGCTGTCTTCCACTGGAGTCGCTCTTGCACAGACCATTCCCGGTTAGTCCTTAGTCCTAGTCCATACGTTTCAAAATAACTATCAACTGAAATGCTTTCCTTTTCACTGAAAAACAGAAGTCACATACAAGCGCATGGGTTCAGACATGAGGGAATGGCGAGATCAAAATCCTCCCCCGGCTACAATGATGCTCATATCCGATTATGCGGAACATGTCTTCTCAGGTAGTCTTGTCCGGCTCCTACAAAGGACGAAATACAAGCTTTGTATGGCTTATTCATATAGGCCTTACAAAATGTCAGTCCTGCTCACTTGTGCCGAGTGGCTTTGGGAAAGCTTACTTGCAGAGACAAGAAGACACCTTCTTCGCAAGTGCAGTGAAAGTGAAAGGGGTGGTGAATCTACCGAAATGTTCTATTGCAAATTGTGCTTTTGTGATTGCAAAAGCCTTGATGGTTTCAGGAACCATCTCTCAATTGGTGCCCAACATGAATGGAAAGTAAGCATCCTGATCCTCTCTCTCTCTCTCTCTCTCTCTCTCTCTCTCTCTCTCTCTCTCTCGTTGTTTCAATACCATTTCTGTCTTAACTTTCTTTTTCGCATTCCCTGTCAAGCAGGAGCGTGCTATTAGAGAGAATATTGAATCACACAACTACGATCGAGAGCAATGTCAAAAGGCAAGTTTTGCTTAATGATAATTATAGATTGAAAAATGCATACAAGATCCGCTTTCTTATAAATAATTGGTTGTTTTTTTTGGTACTCATGTTTCATATACATCTTGTTTGTAGGCGGAAATACTTGAAAATTTTCCAAAGAGCAAACGTTTGAGGAGAGCATACCGGACGGGTTTTGGTCATCTTCATAAGCATTTACGTCTTACTCATCCTTGAGTGATGGATCAGCTCTTTTTTTTTTCGTTTCTGCTTATGCTTTCAGTTTGAACTATTTATTTTTCATTTCTTTTTGCTTGTTTAAGAAAATAATTATATAAAGTAAAATTTAATCGTATTATTCTCTCATGTACTACAATTATTCTTGTACACAATCCCAATATCAGATGCGAAAGGGTAGATCCTGTTGAAACTGAGTGTCTCAAGTAGTAACCTTTGACATCATAGTTATAAAGACTGGGGCAGCGAGCCCAAAGATTGTCAAGAGTTCACTTGGAGAAGGAACACAGAGTGAGAAGGCGCTGTATCCTTTCTTGTTCAACGCGTCCATCATCATATAAGCTGCAACAACCTAAAACCTTATCGAATTAAAACCATAGTTGATATGGCATTGTGCCAGCCAAGAAGATTTCCGCTCCAGAATCAAAACTTTGATAGGAACCTTAAGAGATTTCAGCTTACTTGTGACACCATAGTTGCCTAAGCGGCACCAGCTATACCATATCCTAGAAATGTGCATAAGACCACATCACTAACACCGTTCATTGCACTAGCAACTGCAGTGCCTTGCCATACCAAGACTGAGACAAAGAAAAAAAGGGTCTAATAATGTTAGACCATAATAACAGTGACATACAATCCTTGTGGTGCTATTAAGATCCCACGGTCAGAATCGTGCAATAATGCTGAAAAACTTTGGAAGTGAAAAAATGCAACGTGCAGAGGAAAATGGGGTATAAAGGGACCTTGCACTTTGAGCAACCCATCCAATGAGAACAGCTGGCCATGCCAAACCAAGGATCTGAGAATAGAAGAAAAAAGCTTGGTAAATCAAAGGAAGACAGAGGAAAGTGCCTTACAAAAATTCAAGTATTCGCTAAGAAATTAACAATGATCAAGGTCATAGCATGGTTAAAAACTTAATATAAGCTGTACATCTTGGACAGGCTCACATGGAATAAACATATTATTTGACTATTACGCATAGGGCCAACACACTCAGCAAAACATAATAATCTAAAACTGAACAAACACACAAAAGGGTTTATCAAGTTAGAGTATGAACCTGAACATTTGTATTTGCCGCCGGGACAATCTCAGCATTCTTCGCCCCTGTAAAAGCTGAAAGGAGACTAAACAGTCAACAGCCTGTTCATGTACATGTACTACTTAGTCTAGTCATAACTAGAAATATCCAGTGTTACCAGTTAGTGCCCAGGAACCAAACAGCCTTGTAAACACCATCATCATGACTCCACAGGCCAACCCAATAAAAAGCAAGATTGATATCTGATGTTGTACTTCATCTTTATCCTGCCCAAGGACTTCTCTGTTAGCAAGTTGCTAATAACGTGCACTTTGCCATAGATAAAGAAAATTCTTGAATAAACTGACCCGTCGAGCAAGAGAAGTGGCGACCGAGAGGAACATGAAGGTATAACACAAATAAGATGGTGGCGACAGCGCAGCCGTGGTGGCGAAGCTAGTGAGGTTCGTGGAGCAAGGAAGAGCTATGAAGGAGATGTTTGGTCTGAGCTTCACGCCTCCGCTTCTGACGACTCGGAGATCGCAGAGCTGGAGAAAAAGCATGGCCGGACTTTTCTAATAGTCACGTCACGTTTATATAATGGTTTTTGACTTGTGAGGTTGTATTGTATGTGTAAATCTTCTAGGTGGGTTCTTGGTTTTAGAGTATTTGATGAAAAAGTTTCAAGAGATGTTTCTGTTCCTCTTGCTTTTGATTTGGAAACAGACATTGTGACTGATATATGATGATTCTCGACTCTTGTCCTAATTTAGCGCAAAGACAAAATTTTGGATGGTCAAATCCCTAAAAATTTCGAAAGCAACACAGAGAAGAAAGAGAAGAAAGCAATCAGTTATTACTGAAACCTGATTTCCAATTCGGCAACTAAACAAGCGACTATGAAGAGAAAGGTAAAAGAAAGATCTTTTCACAAGTTCAACAGATGCTCTATTATCACTGTTCTTCCTCTCTTTTCTTCCTCTTCTTTATCTGCTCCTTCTTGAGCTTCTTCTCCTTTGCCTTCTCCTTCTTCTCATTATCAATGGAACTCTTGAAAAAGGATCGGTCATTCTTCCTCTTTTTAGCATTAACCTTGACTTCAACTCCTCTCTTTTCCTCCAAAGGGAGTATGTCCCCTCTCCACATCCAATATTGTTTCACGACACGTGTGATGTCCGTTGGTGTATCGTCGTTTTCTCCTTTCTCAATGATGGAAAAACTGCTGTGACCATTCTGATTCAGCTTTACGAATGATTTTTCAAATCCAGTATCACCTGAAATGATAAACCCATTGCCAGGTTTACGCTGCTCTTCAAGCCATTCATCAACCAACTCTTCTATTTTCTCATCAGCTGCTTGGTTATTACGGGTAACAATGTCCTTAGGCCCTGTAAGTTAGGTAACAAAAAATTGTTTTACTTTTTTAGCAGTAATGTTAAAACAAAAACCTAGATTTACTTTACTTACTTGGCTCATTTTTTGCGACAACAACAGTAATATCATCTCCAAGACAGGGCCGAAAGGAATCACTATATGCTACGACGGCCGTAATAGTGATTGAGCCCTTGAAGCCTTGTTGTCTTAATTTCTTGACAATCATGTCATACAATTGATGAGATGATGATTTGAGATGATGTGGGACTGGAGCATTCTCCAAGTCCCACCAGATTTCATTATGGTTCTTTTTCTCTGCAAAAGATAGAGGTAAGGATCATACCTCTGTGTAAACACAAACAAAAAAAGTTGTTTCTCAAGCCTCAACGATCATACCTTTTTTGGTTAAAGCGTAGATAGGACGTTCTTTCTCAAGTCTAAACACCATGAAACCATTATCATGTCCTGCTGCAAGCAAGTCAATCTCAGGGTGAACTGCAAGAATCAAGAACCCATCACGTACACGGGTATGGGTTTGGATTCCAGCTCTGGTGTTATCATCCCAGACACGAATGCTTCTATCCTTAGAGCTGGATACAATCATGTCCTGTTTCGTATGGAACATAACTGACGAAACGTTCTTCCTATGGCCCTGCAGTGTAGCCTCCTCCTCCCAAGCTTTAGTTTCAGCTACACCATTACAAAGATTGCAGTTCAGAGTACAAACGATGGTTCATCAAAACTAAATTTATGTGAAAAAGAGGGATTTCCGTACCATTCATACGCCACAGCTTTACTTGACCGTCAGTTGCACCAGAGACAATGAGAGGAAGGGTGGGATGAATACAGACCCAGTTTACTCCATTATCATGGCCTCGAAGCTCATTCATGGGTTTGATGTCTTTAGGAGGAGACACCGACTTGCTCGCAAGAGAAGCAGTATCCCAGACACGCACAGTCCTATCCAATGAGGCTGATACAATAGTTGACTGATACGCTGACGCACACATAACCGCTTCGGTGTGACCATTTAAGATGGAAATACACTTTTTTTTTCTCCAGTTCCATATTCTGATGCTCTTGTCGTCACTAGCACTCACAATCCATGGGTTTTCGTGGTGGAATTGGACAGTCCGGATACAAGCACCATGCCCAGTAAGAGTGAAAAGGCTGCTGACTGGTTTCTTTTTGTGTTTGCGGACTTGTTTTGTTCTGGCATTAGTTGCAACTTCTGGGGGAGCTTGAGAAGGTGTGTTCCAAACTCTAATAATGCCATCTTCACCTGCAACAAATGCCAGCAACTACATATGAGAAATGATCAGGAAGAGCATTCAGATATTTGTAATAAAGAAGAATCCAATTCCAAGCCATTTGCATTTACAGGTTTTCAGTTGTTGTTTTAAGTAAAAACACTCTACTAAAAATCATTTATCACTCAGCTTGGACTACAGGAGCTTAAGCATTCAGTAAACCGAAGTTGGGACATATCAACACAAGGATTCTCTGCCAAGACCACAAGCTAGATCTAGAAACAAAGCTCATATATATATATATATCTATATACGGGATTCATTGTAGCTCAAATTATAGCTCAAATCACAGGAGCTTGGGCTACATGAGCATAAGGATTCAGTAAACCGAGGTTGGGACAAATCAACCTCTGCGCAAGATCTAGAAACCGAGCACGCTAAGATTTCCAGAATTATGTAGCTCAAATTAAAGATGAGGCGTAATGTTGAGAAGAAATCGTACCTCCTGACACGAAATAAGATTTTGAAATGTGGAAATGAACACCACGAACAGGTCCTTCGTGCTCCTCAAATCTATCGATCAAAGTACCCTTGCGATAATCCCAGAGCTGGATCACACCAGTGTCTAAAGCGGCGAGGATCCATGGTTCTGTAGGGTGGAAGCTGAGTCCATAAACTCTACTAGAGTTTCTCTCGTACTTCGTCAACAACATTTTCCCAGATTACGAAACAGAAACAGCTCTACGCAAACCAGATCACAGAGAAGGAGAGAACAAACGAGTCAGTCGAGAGAAAACCGGAACAAAAAACGTAATCCAAGCGAAATTGCAAACGGATCTTAAAGGCACCGAGTAGTGAGATCTAAAATAGCGAGATTCGTGTAGCGAAGAGGAGGAGAGACGGGGATTCACCTCAGATTAGAAAAGGGAAGCGGTCAAGCACAGCTCCACGGTGACGATCATTAGCTTTACCGGAGAAGCGTGGCTGCGAGATGGAGAGAAACCGAGAGATTGAGAAAGCGATCGTGGAGAAGAATCGAAGAAGACGACGGTGGTTTTCAATAACTGCTCGCTTTGCTCTCTGTTGCTCTTGCTAGTTTTAACTTTTAGCGGAAATGAATTACATTTATATTTATTTTTATTTTCTTAAGTTTTTGAAATTTTAGGCGGAAGAAGCATGATTATTTCAAAAAAACTCTCCAACTTCGCCACCTCATCATCTAGAAAGCCCATTAACTAGAAAGCCCATTAAGGGCGTCTCTTGTTCCAACCATGTCTCCACCACTCACCAGTGTTGAAGATCAAATTCGCGAAACGATGGAGCTTCTCTGCTCAGCAACGTCTCTTTCCTCCTCCTCCGCTCTCTCCTCTGCTCTTTTCGTTCCTCCATCTTTCCACGTACGAATTTCTAGCTTCTGTTTTTTTTTGTTTCTAGCTTCTAATTTGTTTGGGATGATCAAATTTTGGAGGTTTAGATGCCAGGGGCAAGGAGGTTCATGGTTGTGTGCAGCTCCGAGAAATCCCACAAGGTATTTCATTCAATTTCTCCCTTTTTTCCTGACCCCATTGCATTGGATTATACATGTGAACTATTCGAACTATTTCATTAAACTAACTGTTTCAATGGGTTAATTTTGTTTTCGAGGAAAAATCAGATGACAGTGTCAGTAACTGGAGCAACTGGATTTATTGGGAGACGATTGGTCCAGAGACTTGGTGCTGGTATTCTTCTTCTTATTCTTCTTATGTTTTCAACACACATTCGACTTAGTTAAGAGTTATGACTTTAAAACCATTGTTCAAATCCAGTCAGACATTTTTCCGATTTGATGTAAATGAGAGTTCGTTCAAAATTCTTCGCTCTCTCTTCATTCTGCAGAGAATCACTCAATCAGGGTCTTGACACGCTCTAAATCCAAAGCTGAGCAAATATTTCCGGGTAAGAAGGTAATGAGTAATTCTGCTTGTATTTGGCAAAGGATCCTAAATATACACTTGTATTGTATGTGTTTAATTATCTCATCTGATTCATCTACTTGTTGATGCTCTTCTTCAGCCAAGGACTTCCCAGGTATCGTGATTGCAGAAGAACCCGAGTGGAGAAACTGCGTACAAGGCTCAACTGCTGTTGTGAACTTGGCAGGACTGCCTATCAGTACGAGGTGGTCTCCCGAGGTCAGTCTCTTCTTTCACGCACCTCCTCTGCTGCGTCCTCTACTCTAAACGTTGATGCTTCTTCTTTTATCTGCTGATATCTTTGCAGATCAAGAAAGAGATTAAGGACAGCCGAATCCGTGTCACCTCCAAAGTTAGTTATGATTATGATTGCAGCTCCAAGCTTCACATTTTGAGTAGCTTTTGTGATTAAAAAGTTCCATTTTTTTTTTTTGAAACTTGATCAAGGTTGTTGAGTTGATAAATACATCACCAGTGGAGGCTCGACCTACTGTTCTAGTTAGCGCCACAGCTGTTGGTTACTATGGTCTGTTACACTCTTATGCAGACCCACCCAAGTTTCATACTTGTAAATCTCATCATCCCAACAAGAATCCTAATGAGCTTTAACTTTAACACTGTCAGGTACTAGTGAGACTGGAGTATTCGATGAAAAGAGTCCATCAGGGAATGATTATCTTTCAGAGGTAAACATAGACTTCCTTGAAAAGCCTGAATCTCTTTCTGCGGTGCTAGATTTCAATCTAACTCTTATGTTCAAAGAGTATTGTTGCTTAGATGAGATATGTACTTGTTTGCTTAGGTTTGCAGAGAATGGGAAGGAACCGCGCTGAAAGCGAATAAAGATGTAAGAGTGGCACTTATCCGCATTGGTGTTGTTTTGGGAAAAGACGGTGGGGCTTTAGGTGCGTTTGCTCTCTCGTTTTTACACTCTAATGAAATGCGTTCGCGAAGGACTTAGAACCTCTGCTGATCATGCTAAACTCTTGTTGTGCATTGTAGCCATGATGATACCCTTTTTCCAAATGTTTGCTGGAGGACCTCTGGGTTCAGGACAACAATGGTATAGTTGAACACTTTCCCTGGTGATGCTCTTGCTGCCTCTCTGCGAATTTAACCATCACTCTTGCATAATTTACTGAGTTAGGTTCTCTTGGATTCACGTGGATGACTTGGTGAATCTGATCTACGAGGCCCTCACTAAACCATCCTATCAAGGTAACAGCATACGTACATACATTCATGCATATCCCCTCTATGTTACATGTTAATAATTACTAGACTGGAATAGGTCAAAGGCTAAAGCAGAATTCTATTGGTATTGGTTGTTGCAGGAGTTATAAATGGGACAGCGCCAAACCCGGTTAGGCTTGGGGAGATGTGTCAGCAGCTAGGCAGCGTTCTTAGTCGACCATCGTGGCTACCGGTTCCTGACTTTGCTCTCAAAGCTCTGCTCGGAGAAGGTGCCACTGTGGTTTTGGAAGGACAAAAGGTTTTGCCTGCAAGAGCCAAAGAGCTTGGCTTTGAATTCAAGTACAAATATGTGAAAGATGCACTCAGAGCCATTATGCAATAATGTTATACAGAGCATCGTTCTAGCAGTGGATTTGGTCACAGCAAAACAAGAGATTCTTTCTTTTCGTTTATTTGTTCTTTTTGAGTAAACTTGAGGGATGTATCTATGGTCGGTCTCAGAAATCAGAGGTCTCACATCAAGAAGACATGACTTGGTTCAAATCTATCTCCTCCTCTCCTAATATATATTGTTCTTGGTTCATAGGTGAATTAAGTTTCCAAATCACACGGCTTTGAAATCATGAACAAATATAAAGATAAGTTAAGAGGAGCTCAGAGTCTTATAATCTGCAGTATAAGAAAATAAAAGAGCAGAGAATTGTAGAAAGTGGCATTGAATATGAGAAAACAAGCGATTCATCTCCTCCTCTTGCAAAGCCAGAGAAGAAGCCAAAAGCTTTATTGAATTATTTGTTTTCCTGGTTTGATTTGAAACACTAGTACTTATATAATACACAACATGAGAAGGATCATAAATAGACTGCGCAGAAACTGATTGTGCGAGTTTGATCAACCCCTCAACGAATACTTCTTCCCAGTGAAAGCTTCGAACTTGGGATCTTCCTTCTTCTCTTGTTCCTCTTGTTTTGTCTCTTTTCCAGGTCCAACCTGAAAGAAAAATTAAGAGAGGAATCATCATTATGCATTTGTCTCTCAATTCCAATCCCATAGCAGTTTCTGTATTGAATTATGTATCAATAAAGTTCGTATTCAGTACTTTAGGAGCTTCTTTCGGAGCACGGTTTGAGTTGGCCCCAAAGACAAGCTTCCCTTGAGCCTGTCGGGCAGCTTTCTCTGAGCTACTTGCTGCAGAGGACTGACCATTACCTTTAGCAACAACAGGCTGCTTGTCTTTTGAGCTAGAGGCAGGCGCCGGCTCATAGGAAAGAGGTCTCCCATCTAACCGTCTTCCAGATCCTGTGAAGGGGTTGAACTTTGGTTCGGGTTCAGCCACAACCTCCTCAGCTGTGAAATTTGGAAAGAAACAAACCAATGAAAATCTAATAACTTGAAGCTAATAGAAACTCCACGTCCATGGATACATACCTTTTGCCACACCCTTAGCTGCAACAGGTGCTGTGGGACGCTCAGGCTCCTTGTAATCAAGGGGAGGTGCGAAATCAACCTCACAGTCTGTTTCTATGATGCTGATTCCATTGGCAGGCTTTGTTTCAACTATGTCTATAAAGTACTTCTTGTTGTTGTATGGAACCATAATGCTGTCCCCAGTAGTCAGGCAAGAGTAATTCCTCAAAGCAGTCTCCAAGCTGTAAGGTTCAATCATTCATCAGCAAGACACATACGAACATTGAGAGCAACAACAACAACAAACAAGTGTCATCAGGTAATTACGAGCCAGAAATCAGGAAGAACTTCAATACAGTCTCCAAGCAATGATCAACATGACATGGAAGAAAGAGAAGTACATGAGGACTCAAAGACGAAAGGGGAGATTTAAGTCAGACTCACATGGCTTTTGGGTTGGATATATCCAGGAAGTCCGTAGTGTGGGGCTGTAGTTTGACGTAAGTTCCCTTTGGAAGAGTGACATTTCTAACTCTCACAATGTCTCCTTCTTGCAACAGCAGATTCTGCATCATCTGGATAAGATCAAAGCAGCAAACAATCAGTCTGGTATAAGCGCATGATCCCGAGTGTTTGAATGGACAATCAAATAGGAAACTGATATTTACCCAATATGGCATGTAAATCATGCCTTCTTCTGCAATGAACTCAAGGACTCCACAGTGCGAAACACGTTCAATTCCAGAATTACGAAGCTCAAACAGCATGGGATAGTCAATATGCAAAGAGGCTGTAAAGTTTCTCCAATGTTAGCACTATGATGTTTTTCCAAGTTAAAAGCATATTAAACCAAATCCAAAACAGAAAGCCAGTAGTAGCATACCTAGACGATCAAGGGCTGATGGTGGCATTATAACTGCAACAGATTTAACAATAAAACAAAATTCAGGCTTGAAACGATATACATTTGTAACATTGACAGGAAACACATAAGTGTCTAGATAAAAAGACTTACTCTTGTCACCACTTTCAATTTGCGGCTACACAAAGAGAGAAGGAAAAGAGAAATTAGAAACTAGAATTCAATCTGAGTTTTATTGCTATAGATTTCAGTTAGTAAAACATGGAAATGACTGAGATTTTAACATTAAATCAATAAGCAGAGCACTCTCAGATTTACTGATCAGGATATTAAACGAAAAGTAAACAGATGAAATCTCAAACCTTGTCAATAAAAGATGCAGGATAACACCGATAGCTCTGCTCAAAGGTTGTTCCATGATAATGGTATCCCTCAAAAAACTGCATCGAAGTAAGTCCCAAAGGTGATTGATTTTTCAAGCTAGAATGAAGATTAATGGTTAAAAAAGAAAGCTTTGTGGATAAAAGCTGAAGAGGAGACTTACCATAGTTTTGCTGGTAGAGTAAGTTAACGCGGGCAACCAACTTCCGAGCTACCGAAAAAGGAAATAAGAGAAAGAGAGACGAGTCAATTAGAGAAATTACAAAGAGATCGAAAGCAGAAGGGCATAATCCTAAATCCAAAGTTGCAAATTTTAGATGAAAAAACAGCCAATTCATTGTGGGCAACAATTCAACCAAGCTGGGAATTCAAAATTCGGAGACTTTCCAGATAACTAAAGTAAAGCTTTTTCTAACTCAAATTCGAATCTCAGGAGGAGATAAGAAACCTAAATTCGAAGAATGTCAACAATATCTAGAGCTCAAACAATCCAACCTTTCTGAAACCTACCCGCAGAGATCCTTGGAAACGAAGCTTAATCACTAAATCCCTATACGAATCACACTAATTGGGAATCGATCGCGAATTCTGCTAATTCGTAAGAGAGTGAAGAGATCGACAGAAAACCAAAGCGAAAACCGTAAGATAGCTCGGCTTGAGACTATCAGAAAGAGAAAAACAAGCCCAAAAGTAGCCGATTGAGCTACCGACCGACCATTAAAATTACCTGTGAGGAAGAAAGGAACCAATTTGATGCCGGGACCAGAAAAAAAAAAAAAAAAAAAAGGTAACTTGGAAGTTGAAACTCTCTCTGTGTTCACGTTTGATAGATTAGATATATATACGATACGGTGCGTATTGGTCTAAGAAATTGGTTGGCCCATTGGACCCGAGTATTTGGTTTGATCATTGGGCTTAGGTGTAAAGTTTATGTATCATGATTCTCATCTCTTAATAACGTTGTGCATTTTAAGCAAAACATTGGCACTCAGAAACTCTCAATCTGAGCAGATATTTACACTTTGAGTAAAAAAGCAGAAGAGAATGGAGATAACACTGAACAGTGGCTACAAGATGCCGATCGTCGGCTTAGGAGTGTGGAGGATGGAGAAAGAAGGGATTCGAGACCTTATCACCAATGCCATCAAGATCGGCTATCGCCATCTCGACTGTGCTGGTATACTCTTCACTCGAAATGATTTTGTTTTTGTTTCTTATTTTAACAGCCTCTGGAGAGATTTAAGTTCGAATGAATTTTGGGTTTGTTTAAACTGGTTGAAAGCTGGAATTTTTATAGGAAAATATCTAAGATTTGGGTTTTCTACAACTGAATCCTCCTGAGCTAAGCTCTCTGTAGATCTTGGGATTTATCTGCATCTGCTTCTGCAGTTTTAAGTATTTGGAAAAAATGCAAGTCTTTGCTGTGTTGTGTAGACGACTGATAGTTTTATTCGTGGCTGTTTTTGTTTGTTTGTTATATATATGAAAGTTAGCCCACAGAAATGCATTTTACTTTGAATTGTTTTTGGGGATTTGATTTGTTCTGTGTCTTGACTCTTGAGTTTAGTAGGTTTATGAGTCTTTTTTTTTTTCATCTTGTTATGTAAACAGCTGATTACAAGAACGAAGCCGAAGTTGGTGAGGTTCTTACGGAAGCTTTCAAGACTGGTTTAGTCAAGAGGGAGGAACTCTTCATTACGACCAAGGTCCAAACTGAATTCTTGTAAATTATAATGAAAAAGTGAGAAAGGTCTTGGCTCTTGGCTCTTGGCTTCTGAATTATGTGTTTGGTTTTGCAGCTATGGAATTCAGACCATGGGCATGTGGTTGAGGCGTGCAAAGACAGTCTCAAGAAACTCCAACTGGATTACCTCGACCTTTTCCTTGTTCATTTTCCCGTAGCAACCAAGCACACAGGTGAGACCTCTGCCTTATTCATGTGTAATATTATAAGTCAAAGTCTTGTGAATGATAAGCTGTGAGCCTGTAAGCCTTTCCCTTTATTTGCATATACTTGCAGGAGTTGGAACAACAGATAGTGCTATGGGCGAGGATGGGGTATTGGACATTGATACAACCATCTCTCTGGAAACTACATGGCATGACATGGAAACGCTTGTTTCTATGGGTTTGGTCCGCAGCATTGGAATCAGGTATTTCAATAAGGCTATCAACAACGATAATCATCTAAGATCATTGGTTTTTTTTATTGACCAACATTTGTGTTTTGTGGCAGTAACTATGATGTCTTTCTAACGAGAGATTGCTTGGCTTACTCCAAAATCAAGCCTGCAGTGAATCAGATTGAGACACATCCTTACTTCCAAAGAGATTCTCTTGTCAAGTTCTGCCAGAAGCATGGCGTTTGTGTCACCGCTCATACGCCTCTCGGAGGTGCCACGGCCAACGCAGAGTTGTTTGGTACCGTGTCATGTCTAGATGACCCAGCTCTCAAAGTAAGCCCATCATCTATAAGATTGAACCTTTAATTAACAGCTAAGAAAGGAATATATGTTACTGAATTTCTTCTTCTTCCTCTTGGTCTTGTTTCTTGGTTTTAAAACAGCAAGTGGCCGACAAGTACAAAAAGACAGTGGCGCAGGTTGTCCTGAGGTGGGGAATCCAGAGGAACACAGTGGTGATACCAAAGACGTCGAAACCTGAGAGATTGGGACAGAATTTTCAGGTTTTCGACTTCGAGCTGAAGAAAGAGGACATGGAGCTGATCAAAACCATGGACAGAAAGTACCGTACGAACCAACCAGCCAAGTTTTGGGGCATTGATCTCTACGCTTGAGTTCATCATCATCACCATCACCATCATCACACTCTCTTATCCCCCTCTCTCTACCTATTATGAATAAGAGAAGTTTCTCAATATGTTGTGCGCCTATTTAAAAACTCTTTTGTTAAAAAACTGATTACGATTTCCCAAGTCCAGTCATCACATTTGTTAAAACATAAAACATACAGACTACAGTAGAGTTTACTTTTTGTACTTTCGACGATGACAAAGAAAGATCCTCCTTGTAAACGTGTGCTCTCTTGTGCACTGAAAGAGGGAATCGAGAAAAGACGATTACGCCCTTGACCCTTGTGTCTGTTTAGAAGAATATGGGACGAGGGTATTATAGTAAATGAGAGATTAAGTGTTGAACTCTTTGTGCTTCTCTTCCCTTGTCATTCGGCTTTTCAGACACTATCTTTCTCTTCTTCTTCTTCTTCTTCTTCTGATTAGATCTTTCTTCTTCTCAACACCCATTTCTTCCCACAAGCTCCTCTAATTCGTAAGCTTTCGCGCCTTTTTTCTTATCTTCGTCTGTTTGATTTTGTCTGTCTTCCAATTTGAAACTGTTTGTTTACTCTTTAGGGTTTTAATATTTTCGCGGAATTTTTTTTCGGTTATTATAGGAAACTGATGAAACAAGCTTTAGATTGATTCGACCTCGTTAAATCGTGACCTAATCCATGCTAAATTTTCGTAATTGTTCATTTGAGCCTGGTTTCTGATGAATTTAGATTGAATTTGGTATTTGACGGAACCCTAACTGGGAAATGATACGAGAAATCAGAATTTTGGATTTCATTTCTTCATTATGTCTTCCAATTTGATGATTTCAAGGTTAGAAGAAAGTAAAGAGATCAATTGTGCAGTTGTGTGATTGTGAATTCTAACTCTTCAACCTTGTTTCAGAGATCGAATCGCAATGATTGATCAGTATTGCTGAGTGTGGACGAGAAAGCAATCCCTTTTTCTTTCTTTCCGTTTTCTCTTATTTGAAGATAAAGAGAATGGAGAATGGTGGACAGTACGAAAACGGGAGGTACAAGCCAGATTACTTCAAAGGAGCTCAGTCTGTGGTAACACCTTTGGTTTCCTTTCCTTTTCTTTCCTTAAAGTGTTTTGATTGGTTGAATGATTGAATGATGGAAGCTGAGCAAAGAAAGCGTGTGTACAGTGGAATATGTTGCCACAGCATCAGATAAAGGAGCAGCACAACGCGTTGGTGATGAACAAGAAGATCATGTCCATCCTTGCCGAGAGGGACGCTGCTGTACAGGAGAGAAACCAAGCCGTCTCTGCCAAAAAGGAAGCCATCGCAGCTCGCGACGAAGCGCTTCAGCAACGCGACAAGGCTCTCACTGAAAGAGACAAGGCTTTGATTGAGAGAGACAACGCCTTTGCTGCGCTTCAACACCATGAGAACAGCCTCAACTTCGCTCTCTCCGGTGGGAAGCGCTACGAAGGAGATGCTGATGGCTTCAACATCGGAGAAACCCACAAACTTGCTGCCTTTCCTATATCTACAATTCCCCCTGAGGTAAAGGGGACGTCGAAAAGGAAGAAGCAGGGGCAGGGAAAGGGAAAGAAAGTGGGTGAAGATCTGAACAGGGGAGTGGCTGCGCCTGGAAAGAAATCAAGAAAAGATTGGGACAGTAGCGATGTTAGTTTAAACTTGGTGACCTTCGACGAGACGACGATGCCAGTGCCTGTGTGCACATGCACGGGCTCTGCTCACCAGTGTTACAAGTGGGGAAGCGGTGGTTGGCAATCGTCTTGCTGCACGACCACCTTGTCGCAGTACCCGTTGCCGCAGATGCCAAACAAGAGGCATTCTCGGATGGGCGGGAGGAAGATGAGCGGAAGCGTCTTCTCCAGGTTACTCAGCCGTTTGGCAGTGGAAGGATTCGATCTCTCGTGCCCTGTTGATCTTAAAGACTATTGGGCTAGGCACGGGACTAACCGCTACATCACTATCAAGTAGTCTCTCTAATGGAGTCTACACTACTTTACAGTCCACCAAAGTACCTCTTCTCTTCTACTTCTTCTTATGGTTTAGGTGTTGTCTTTTGTCTGTATTGTCCATAGTTCTTCCTTGTAATTGTTAAGTTAACTCTCTTTTAATTGTCAAAAAAATTGTTTGTTTTGAATTTCAAAAATAAAATCTTAACAGTATTACGATATCTTTTTTTAACCCTACAGAATCTTGTAGCTATTTAAACGTAAACATGAGATAAGTGATTTTGTTAACAAGTTTGCCATTCACTTATTTAGCCTATCTCTCTCTCTGCACTGAGAGAAAACAAAAAAAATAAACATTCTAAGATGATGCCGGAGAAAGCCACTGTGACACCGCCAGTGATGGGTTGGCTCGCCACTGTGAGAAGATTTGTAGAAATTCCGAATCCAGGGATACTCAAAGTTTTTGTCATAAGCAATTTCGCAACGCTCATCTCAGGACTTGCCTTAGCCATTGAATGGCTCTCTCACGGCAAGAACCATACCGAGTTCGTCTGGATCATTTACTACTCGTTGTTCTTGATCTGTCTTCCTCTTCTCATCTGGATCCTCATGGCCATTTGTTCCTCTAGCCGCTGTTCAAGTCAGATTGCAGACTCGGTCGTGGCTGAAGAACCGTCTGCTGTCGTTTCCAATGCTAAGCGAACTGAAGAAGAAACGGAGAGAAACAGTTGCCGGAGTTTAGCCGTTGTGGTTGATTCTGATGAAAGGAGGAGCAAAGAGGACAAGACGCCGAGGATGAAACGCGCTGTCTCGTTCCCGTCGCATGGCAAAGTAAGATCGTGTCGCACTCGTTAGCAAGATGATAACTAGAGATGTGTTTAGTACTCATATCGTTTTTCGTGAATTTAATAATCTTTTATGTGTTTTGCAATGTTCTTCTTCTTCTTAACGTTGTATCTTTTTCCATTGCTGAATGATCTTTCTAAAAAAAAATCGAATAAAGATTTTGTTCCCCGAGTGATTCAAAAATTCAAATCTGTTTTGGTTCTTGGATATTGCCACGTGTCATGACGATTCCAATAAACCAGGATTAGAATTCGTGGGTCCCATGTGCTGACTCACTGTCAGTTACATCTATCCCGGAATAAGAAAGAGTATCTGAATTTTGTTTGGACTTTGAAGATTGATAGAAAAAGGAATTTGTCAGGTAACGTACATCTTTTTTGGACTTTTCATGTAACGTATATTTCCTCAAACCTCAATAGGTAAAGTATCTTTCCCTTTGTACCAAGATTTTAGTATTGCTGTCAATACAATACAAATTAAATGGAAATCATTTAATGGAAAAAAGTTAGAATAAAAAAGTTAAATGGAAAGATTTTAATGTGTAAATTACAGGCTGTTTGTTCTAAACAGATTAAAATGAAAACTTAGTCAGGTTGTAATTAGCCGTTTATCAAAAGAGAAGGTTTCACACAAGTATTAATTGCTAATGTAAATTAAATTTCAATGATTTAAATTTGTTAGTTGTATAAATTTGTATTTATATACATTTAATGCACCTTTCCTCCACTGCACCACATAAATTACTAGTTTTGTAGTATACAAAAAGACAATAATACTCTTTACAACGTTTTATTTCTATAAAATTCTATGAAACAGATGTGTACCAAATCAAACAAGTTAGGTGTTTTTACTGTTTTTCACATATATTAAAAAAAAAACTTGTTCGAAACTATATAACATTATATTATTAATTCATATTTTAATTAATATATATAATGTTCTATTAAAAATCTAAAAGACATGTCTGCTTGAAACGAATCTAAATCAGTTTTTAGCTCTTTAAAACAAAATCTAAATCAGCTTTTAGCTCTTTAATTTTCATACCTACAAGTATATGATTTTTTTGTATTAAACTTTCGAAATTGATATTGCTTTGTTGATAAGAATTACATAGGAAATTGTGGACATAAAAACAAAATGTAGAATTAGCTAGAAGACAAAAGTCGTTAATGAAAATAACTGGAAATAATTTGCCACCCTATCATGAAACAAATGCATGCATGTCGTCGTGGTTGATTTTTGTTCTTACAATTTTACAATACATGACTGAAAATGCATATAAAAGGCAGGGCAGCACTAGTGCTAGAGATTATCGAAACCAATTTGTAAAAGAGAGAGAGAGAGAGAGAGAGAGAGAGAGAGAGAGAGAGAGAGAGAGAGGGAGTGGTGAGTATCTAGATTTTCCCCAACTCTTGTCTTCGATTGCCTCCATTGTTGTAGCTGCGATAGTCTTTCGTATTGTTTACTGCAATTTTCTTATGTATTAGTTTGTTACTCAAAGTTTTACGCAAAGGAGTATTCTTTTGTTTTTCTCTCTCTAAAAAAGTGATAACATTCAGCTTTAATCTTCTCTTTACAAACCTCTAAAAATCTCCATTTGCAAACCTCTAAAAATCTTCTCTTTCGCCATAGTATGTAATCTATTGGTTTTGAGCTTTACTTTCAACCCTCAAAACTCGAAGCATTCTTTGTAACAAAGCCTATTTTTTTGTTTGAATAAATTTAACATTCAATTAAAAAAAAAAAAAAAAAAAAAAAGTGATAATACCTTTTTCAACGGAATCTGATATTATTCTCTGCTGAAAACGAAAGACGCTTTTTATGATTCTAATGATTGTAAAGGGTTTTCGTTGGTTTCTCCGACCAACCTTATCTTATTTTGTTTCGTTGACATGGTTTTGTAAGAAACGGAGTGATACTGACAGTTCTAACTCCGATGTGATGATGCAGAGATTCCATCGCTTGTCTTCTTCGGATCCCAACAAAAGCCCTAACCATGGACCAACACCTCGATTTCGATTCCTTGATCAACACCCAATTCCCGAATCCATCCGGCGGCGAAACTTCCAACGGAGCCTACCTGACGACGCCGTCTCGCCAGAGCTTTTTGCCACCAGTTCCCTCGTATCCTGAGATCCCAGCGACCTATCAGCCATTTGGGACGCAGGATTTCAGCCCTCTCTCGCGAGCCTTGTCTGAGCCGGTTCCTGAATTCAGCATGGACATGTTTCTGCCGCAGGTGAGCCCTTCTCCGTCGCCGTTCCCAAATTCACCACCACCATCTCTGGGGGGTGACTACACCGTGGGGCTGCCTCCGCGTCCGACCGTGGGGGGCATCTCGGTGAGAGGCTCCGGCAGTGGTCAGCCGCCGATAAATACTCACAGTGTGGTCATGCCTGGGTTGAATTTGGGTGACAATTCACGGAACATGATGTATCCGAAGGCGGTTGGCGAAACTAATTTGGTTGTTGGAGAAAACCAATCTGCTTTATTCAGCAGCGGTTCCGATGGGAACAAACGTAAGAGAGAAGCAGGCAAAGCGGTTGCTCCGTCAAGCAATGATCAGTTAACTGCCTCTGAAATGAAACGGGTTATGGCCTGTGAAAAACTCTCAGGGATTGCTCAAACAGATGTTGGGAAAGCCAGAAGGTTTGCCTCCAGATTTGCGTCACCCACTCTTAGTTTTAATTACCAATGTGTTTTTTTTTTGTCACTACTTTTTAATAATCCATATCCTCTTTTCAGGATCTTGTCTAACCGCCAATCAGCTGCACGTTCAAAGTTAAGGAAGGCCGAGTACCATGCCTCCTTGGAAGAAAAAGTAAAGACTCATGCGGCTGAATCTCAGGCATCCAAGGTTCTCATCACACAGTTGGAGGTATGAGATATCACGTTACACCAACCATGCATTTATCTATCACTACTTACTCATCATCTCTGAATGCTTCCTAGCTTGTACAGTTTAAGATATTTTGCTGAGTTTTGTTGTTGCATGCAGAGTGATAAACTGGAGATGGCCATCCAGATCAAGCAACTCACGGTTCGTCTCCAGGAATCGACTACGGAAAAACGACTTTCTTCTTGTACGTCACCTTCACTCTTTTCTCGATACTTTAGCTACTCATTTGGTCTTTCACAATCTTTAGTGAGTGAATGATGATAGGTATTTTAGGTTTTTTACGAATCATCACCCTGCTACTTGCTTGATCATTGCTTAGGATCATTAACTAGAACTGCTAGTTCTTCCATTCATTAAATGCGAAACTGGTTAATTGCTTGATCTTCTCACTCATCATGATTAAATGTTACTAGATCCCTTGACCGTAAAATCTGTTTATTTTTCTTTGTTATACTCAAGAAAATTGATGTTTAGAACATAAACACATATTCCTATGTGTAGTGGTTTTAAATTAAAGGAGGATATATGCTGGTTTTCTATAGGGAAATATGTAAATAGTATTTTGTCTCTTGTCTCTTTGCTATATGCCAAAGACTTAAATGTTTTCTCCTGGAATATATAGTTACATTTGTATGTAAGATTGTAACTCTAATTTTGATGCAGCCTTGGTCCAAGCACTGAGTGACCAAGTCCGAAGGCTGAATGGGTTGCTATTTGGCGGAGGGAGCTACAATGGCGCCAGCGGACCAAACATGCAGCCACTGAACCCAGACATGAACCAGAAGTTGGACAACAGCCAGTTTCATCAGCCGCAGATCAATCCTGGTCATTTCCAGTGAAGAGATCATGTGCATCTAAAGGAAGTTGAGACTTGAGAGAGGTGGTGGCGTTGGTTTATCCTGTTGGATGAAGGGATTCAAAGTTATTTATCGTTTTTTTTTTCTTTGAATTCAATAAATTTGTTTCAGATTTATCTATTTGATTTATTTGCAGGGTCATATACAGTAGTCATATTGAGTAAACATATCTATCTAGACAAAATTCATTTGGTCGTGATCTCTTGTAATGGTGAGGCTCTTTGAAAAGAGAGCTTCAGACAGTGTGATCTCTTGTAATTTGTTTTATTTATTATTTATCATTATTTAAACTTTGAAAGAGAGTTGATTCTCTTCTTTTTCTTTTCTCTTCAATTTTTAATTATCCAAATGTGAAAAATCAGAGAAAACAACAACATAAATAGACGAAAGTGGTCTTCTCGGGTGTTCCTTTTTCCGACCAGTCGATGATTGCTTTGGTCAACGGTTTCAAAGAGACTTTGGTTATTTGCGCCATTGATTGTCAAAGAGAGAAGTTACAGAAACGGGAGAGATTCGCTTTTCATTTCCTTCCTTGCTGGGCAAATTTCTTTCTTCTTAACCATTCTTCCATTTGGAAATTCAATTATTGGGCGTTGATCTTTTTGTTTCCCCCTCTCTTTTTATTTCAACACCAAACACCATTTCTCAAGTGCAAGCTTCCAACTTTTAGGGTTTTGACTTCTTCTTCAAAGTTGTTGCAAATTTCTTCCCCAGAATCGAAGGTAAAATGGGTGATATGGATACCAATCTGATGCAGAGAGCTTCTTCGTCTTCTGATACATCGTCTTCGTCGATCCCGAAACACTCTGTGCCTTTAAGCCCTAATCACCACTTGACTCCTGCTCTCGTCCCGCAATTTCCCCACTTCCGACAGCCCTTCACCGGCATCAACGGCGCCGGCGCCGGGAATAGAGTCGGAGCTCCGCCGCTGATTCCCCCAATTTCTCCCTACTCTCAGATCCCGGCGACCTTACAGCCCAGGCATTCCCGGTCCATGTCGCAGCCGTCGTCCTTCTTCTCCTTGGATTCCTTGCCGCCGTTTAATCCTTCCCCGCCGATTTCGGATGAGAGAAACGGCGCCGTATTCAGCCCTTCGCTGCCTCCTTCACCGTTCGCGATGCCAAGGATGGCCGGCGATGGCGAGAATCTGCCGCCGAGGAAGTCTCACAGGCGTTCCAACAGCGATGTCACTTTCGGGTTAAGCTCGATGATGAGTCAGAGCCAAAAGTCTCCTCCTTTGATCCCTTTGAGGTCTCTGGAGAGATCAGTCTCCGGCGGAGAGGTTTCAGACTGGTCCAATTGGGTCAAGGAAGAGCCAAGCTCCGATAGACAAGGCTTCCTCAGGGGGAAGAAGCCAGAGAGTGAAGCTGAAGATGCTTTCAATGCTTACATGAATCTTGACAACATTGATCTCTTGAATTCCTTGGGAGGAGAAGATGGCAAGAACGCTAACAATGAGGAAATGGAGAGCAGCAGAGGCAGTGGGACGAAGAAGACCAACGGCGGAGGAAGCAGCAGTGATTCCGAAGGAGAAAGCAGTGCGAGTGGGAATGTCAAGGCTCCGGTGAGCTCTTCTTCAGGGGTGAAGCGAAGAGCCGGCGGAGGAGACATTGCCCCACCGGGAAGGCACCAACGGAGTCTTTCCATGGACAGTGGTTTCATGGGGAAGTTGAACTTCGGGGAGCTAAGGCTTCCGCCTTCATTGGCTAGAGTGTCCCCAACGGATTCAGGTGAAGGGAATTCGAGTTTGGCTTATGGTTTGGAATTTGGGAACAGTGAGTTTAGTGCAGATGAGATGAAGAAGATTGCAGCCGATGAGAAACTCGCAGAGATTGTGATGGCTGACCCCAAGCGTGTCAAAAGGTAATTAGAGTAGAGTGGTGCTTGTAAGTTGTGCTTCATTTTGGCCTGTTTTGATTGTTGTGGCTTTTGACTGTTTTGATTTTCGCTAGGATATTGGCGAATCGTGTGTCAGCTGCACGCTCCAAGGAGCGGAAGACGCGGTACATGGCAGAGTTGGAGCACAAGGTGCAGACGCTGCAGACGGAAGCTACTACATTATCAGCTCAGGTCACGCATTTGCAGGTGAGAGAGAGACAAGACTGTGTGTCCTGTCCTGTTTGGATAAGTGAGTCTCAGTGGTCTTATGTTACTTGGTGTTTTTGCTTTGGGTTCAGAGGGAGGCAGTGGGGTTGACGAACGAGAACAGGGAGCTCAAGTTTCGTCTGCAAGCAATGGAGCAGCAAGCACAACTCCGCGATGGTACGCTCTTTGCCTTTATCTACACGAAATAGGTCTTTGTTGTGAAAAGCTTTTACATGTTTCTCCTGGGAATCTGAATCTCTGGCAACTGCATCTTTTTTATTCTTTAGAGAAATAACATTTTGTTTTTGGTTTCCTTACTGCTCCAATTTTCTTGCTTTCTTTCTTTCTTTGCTGTGTGCAGCTCTGTCTGAGAAACTGAATGAAGAAGTGCAGCGACTGAAGCTGGTGACTGGGGAGCCGAGTCGCAGGCAAGGTGGAGGCAGCAGCAGCAGCGAATCAAAGACGTCACTAAACCCGGAGATGTTTCAGCAGCTTAGCATTAGCCAGTTACAGCAGTCCAATCAGAATAGCAAGCACTCGTCAGATGAATAGAGTAAGAGTCTTATGTGCAGAGTCTTCTTTTTGGGATCTTTTTTTTAAAGGAAACATATAAAGATGATGCTGGATCATATATATTTCTTGAAACAAGAGACAGATACATCATATTATGACTATTTAGTGGTAAAATGAGGCTCTGCTTCTGGACAGAGTCATCTTCTGTCGTTTTTGGTCATTATACAGTTTGTATTTTTGGATTTTCATATCCGATAGCATCTTCTCCCTTTTTGACACTGCTCCTCTCTCAAGTCTTACCTATTAACATTAACACTGCTTAAAACCGTGCTCATCAAGCTTCCTCTTCTCCTTTGTCTCTATCCCTGTCTCGGGATACATTTCCAGTTCCAGTGCAGCCGAACAATCTTTAAAACCCGTACGATAGGTAAGGAGACGCTTCCCGTTAACGTCAAAACGCAAATCTCCTCTTCTTTTTCTTTGGTCCAAGAAAGTAAGAAACGTACGTTTTTTAAGGTGGAGGAGGGGAAAAGGGTATTCTCGGTAATTTCGTTGGGTGTATGAAGAGATCAATTCAATACACAGCAAAGCTTTACACTTTCTTCAAGATGTTATTAACTTAGTTGGTGAATTAACAAGGAATCTTTGGTGAAGCCACATTCTATAGCTCAATGATATGCGTGTAACTGTGGATACTATGGGAGGCTTACTATAACTAATTAAACTGTGCAGCATTAACGCGATAACGTTCCTAGCAATAACACTATTGACAGTTTAACACATGTATGTATGTACTGATTTTCTAACTATTACCTATTTCCCTAAGCTAATACACACAGTTTCTGGATCTTTTATTTACAGTGAAATGTTGACTGTGGGGTTTTTCCTTCCAATAAATTCACTTTTTGTTTTTTTGTTTACTCTGCCATAACAAAAACCAAATAATAATATATATATATTGGAAGGTGTGTAGCTTCAAAAACAGTCGACAGAAGAAAAATCGACGTGTACGGAATGGGACGAAAACGAAAGATTCTGCAGTTTTGTTAGCTATTCATCTAATTGACACATCCATCTTTGTCCTTTATCGACGGCTCTTCTTCTGTCCATTCATTTTCCAATTTCATTATATATATACTATTACGGTAAAAGGCTATAAAAAGGCTAAAATTTATTGACCGTTAACTCTATATCTCTGAATTGGCCTCAAACCGAGCTAAAATTTATAATAACTTAGAACAATCTAACTTTTTATACCAATAAGCCTAAATTGAATAGAATGAAATTGATGCAGTTTGCTCCAACCAAAATAAATTGTATATGAGCCAAAAAAAAAAAAAAAATTCTTGAGAGATAGATGAAAAAACAAAATATGTGCATTAGCCAAGAAGAATAGTGCTATCGTATACTATACAAAAACGTTTGTGGCTAGTAAGGAAAGGAAAAGAGGGAAGGTACGTGCATTGAATTTATGTGTATAAACTATATAGGTCTTTAAAATGTAGACATATATATATTCAGCACCATGCATGTAACTACTAGAGACAATGCTTTGCCTCACCTACCCCTTCTTAATATTTTGCTTTCTCACTCGAGACAACAAAATTAAAAACACTTTGTTCATTAATTAAATGGTCCCATATGTTATCACCTATAGTATAGAGTCTCTAGATAATGGGAAGCATTTCAAGTTTGTAGTATATGTTTATGTATACTTCATAAATAAAATTAAAGGAAAAAAAAAAAAATCTTGCGTCATATCCCGAAATTTGAAATGAGTGCTTATAACTCAATCAACATTCCACAATGCAACATATAAAAACGCTTAAACATATTATAAACAAAAAAAGGATCAATACAAAATTGACCTTTCGATCAACATTTTATTGGTTCCAAATCTAGGTTAAAAGAGAATTGATCGATAATTTTATTACATTGAACAAGAATATGACCATAAATAGACAATACAATATAGTTCTTATTAGCGCAAGCCATCACTAAGATTTATTAATTATGTAGCTCGCAAAAATTAGGTTTAGATTTCGAACGCAAAACAGACACTTGGTAATTAACAAACTAAAACCCAGGTTTTACATAATCCGCGTTAAAGGGTCCCTTTGGCCTTTAGGTGGATTTTATGGGTTTATAGTTCGTAAAAAGAACCTTTGAATACAATATTCATCCAAAGGTAGCAAAAAAAACTAATATATAGAGAAATATGTATATATATATATAGTCGCACGCTATCTCTCTCTCTCGCTCATCTGATCATGGATGTTAGAGAGCGGAAAACAACTTCTTCACAAGGAATAGTGAGTCCCATGTCGTGATTGAATCCAAACTCTTCCTCTGCTCGTTGAAGCAAGCTCTTGAACTTAGGATGAGTCAGGATGGAGATGGGTACGATGTAACGACTCCTCTTTTCGCCGACGTAGACCACAAAATGACCCTTTGGTACGTCTAGAGGCAGGCCATCCTCGTCATAGCATTGTTTCTTGGCTAAGCTCGAGCATCTCTTGAGGATTTGCTTCAGCATTGCGGTTTGTGTTAGCTTTGAAGATCTATTTACCGCCATTGTTACAAGTTTCTTGAGAGAATTCTAAGAAGGCGTTGAGGTTTAGATGGCGGAGAGAAGTGAGAGATGGTGAAAGGGTTATTTATGGCTGAGAATGAGGATGGGGATGGGATGCAATTACATCAATATTTTCATTTTCTTGATTTTTTCAAATATTAGATATATGGTCAATTCGGCTGGATGGATTCGTCTAGTAGTGATAGAAACAATTTAGGGTAATGTCGTAAACTCAACTACTCTTGAATTTAAAATTTTCAACATGTGTTTAGACCTATATATATGTTTTAGTGCTCTATTGGTGGTGGATTTACACTTAACGTTTTGCCATAAATCACGTCACCCAAAACTAATCAGATTCCCCCAAAACCGTATTAAACATTGGGCATAACAAAAAGTGCTATGAATCCCAAGCAATGTGGTCTAGTGGTAGTTGAATAAATAAATTTTGATATTGCCGCTTAATACGACTCTTTTAAAACCCCTATAAAGAATGATATAGTCCTCAGAAATTTCAACAGACCCCATTAATTATTTCAGAGCAAGTGATATCGTTTAAAGATTGATCTTGCGTGCATACAATTATCAACTACTTTTGGCCCCTCGTCTCTTCTCTCTCCGAATTTATAGTATTTTATAAGAATAAATGATATCATTTGCTAACTAGATTTCATTATAAAGGAAGAATGTAGATGTATGTACTAAAAGTACAAAGGGCATGTACTTATCAATTCTTATATTGCTGTCTAGATTTGGTTAACGCATAGTCGAATGTAAAGTTAACTCTCCACAAGTGCAACATTGAACATCTAGCTTATGAATACATCTAGCATTTTGTGTTTCTATACATATTCAAATAATATATCTAGTGGTTTTTGAGTGTACTCAACACTACTATAGTTTAAGTCGACTGAATAGGAGTGAATTACGTCTTTAAAACGATATTATCAATGGTTAGTACTTAGTAATAAACCTAGAATGTCAGCTAAAATGACAACTTCATTTACATTTAAACATTTTAATATCACTTTCTGTTCTTTCCCGCGTAATTACGTACGTTTCTGTCTTTTGGGTTGTGACTTGTAAGCAATCAAATCCCAAGTTTTTTTTTGTTATGGTAGTAAAAGGCAACAAATACGAATTAATTTTTCTAAAATGGCAATGTAAACCCTAAATTACAAAAAGACCTACACAGGTTTCTTATTGCACAAGAAACGCTAAACGCTGCAGGTTTGTTCATTCTTTCTTTGATCTCAAAGTTTTTAACAATAATCAAGTCTTGAATCCTGAAAGATCTTTCCTCATTTTGATCTCACGATTACGTCCACAGAGAGAGAGAGAGAGAGAGTTTGCTGTAGAACTCGTCGTTGTCAGGAGGAGAAAGCTCGCATGTTCTGTGAAGGAGATTAGTTGTGAGGAATGAATTGATGAAAAATGAGAAAAAGAAGAGTCGTTAGGACAATTCGCCTAGAGCTAAGACAAAGACATGTCTCTTTAGGTAGCCACATGAACTCCATGTTACTCTTGTCTTGCCTCTTTCCCTGAGCTGTCCTGTCTCTACAATCTTTCCTTTTTCTTACATAATTTTTGAAAGAAAGAAAACAAATAAACAGAGTCCTTCTCAGACATTTGTATTGCCCCAGACAGCTCATCTCCCAAAACTCATGTCTGCTTCTTTTTGGAAATCCCTAGTTTAGCTAATCTAATTTCCTTCAACCATGTGAAAAGAGATAATATATAAAACTCTTAACCTGTCCTGTTTTTCGTACGGCTCTGTTTTTTTCATTCCTAATATCAGAAAAGAACATAGCATGTCAATTCAATGAAAATCTCTCGAGACTTTTAATATTGATCCAGACGTCTCATCTCTCAAAAATCATTTCTATTTATAACTGAGACAATCCGTATTTATTTTCTTCAACCATGTGAAAATATATTTGACTGTTCGTTTCCTCTTGTAACTCTTTTTGTTTATGTTTATATCTTCTCCAAAGCTCGGAAAATAAACAGAGCATGTATATGTTCGTTAACACTTAAAATGCTAATAAGAGAAGCTTTTATAACTTCGGATATGATAATCTTCAAGATTAAATTATTGAAGGGAATGTAAGGTCTTTTCATTCACATGGGTTGAAGGAAAATAACGAAGAAAGTGGACCCTTGCATTTGCATAGACAAGAAACTGCAAGCAAATAAAAAAGATACTACTATTGCAAGTTAACACGGCATTGTACGATGATCAATAGTTGAAGTGATAATGACAACATCACTCCTCACTCATCAGCACTGTGGGGGTGATTGATTGTGGCTGTAGAAGCTGTAGAGAGCAAAAAAAAAATCTAAAGCCAAATAGATCACCAATCATGCTCTATACTTTTTTTTTAAACCTACAACCTTCTTTCATTTCTTTCATTTTTCCTTCCTTTTTTTATTTTGCAGAGCAAAATTTCTAGAGCATAATTTTAAAGACTCTGAATTTCTTTTTTCTCTCTCTTTCATTCTTTCCAAATATATTGTTTTTTTCTTTATTTTTTTCCTTATTATTATTTTCCATATTTACCTATTTCCTTTTTACTAAAATCCTGCAATCAATATCCTAAAGCAACAATTTCACAACCACAGCCATAAAACATAAATCAAAAACTCTACAGCAAAAATAAAAAGCTAGAGCAACAACCAATCACCCCCATAAAAAAACAGAGTGGCATCTTGAGAATGAGACGGCTCAAAGAAAATGTGTATGGTTCTTTTTATCACATTATATAGATGGAGGGGTTTAGGGTTTTTTTTTTTAACGTATAAGCCAGCGATTTTTTTTTTTATATTTAAAAGTGGCCCAATCAGTTAAGAAAAAAAAAAACATATCAAAACTAAACAAACTTTTTTTTCAGCCACATTCCTTTTTCTTTTTTTCCTCTTGCTATTATCTTCTTTGGCTCCTACAAAAAAGAATATTATAGAGTTTTGACTTTTGACGCATTTCTTGGTAATGGGGGAGAATAATCATTAAAGCCTTAACTTGGGGGGGAAGGCTATTCATCTCTATTAGGAAAGGTAGGTCTATCATTATTCTTGGCCGAAAAGAAAACACTAGACCATGACTATGAGGTCTCTGCTTCTACTAAGTAGGGCTTTCTTCACCGAGGAAATCACCTGCGCTTTCTTCTCTTTCTATGTTTTATGGATTTGGAAAGGCTGCTTTTCACCTTAGTTCGGAATCTACCTCGACACGCAGCTCATGTCAAAGCCCCCAAGACGCTGTTGAATGTACATGCTGTAATATATAGAAGCAATCAAACTCTTGTTGCAGCTTGTGTTGTTTTTATGACACAGGGAACTTCTTCTTATTACATACATACCCTAAGCCTTAAGCATATTGGAGTGTTCTGATTTCGAGAGTGAGATCATAATTGTTCCTCCCAACAAACTAAGCCTTAAGCTAGATATATACTACCATTATCTCTCATTGCCAATCAAACAAGTTTATTTGCTTCACTTAGTATCAGTTTGGTGTGTTTGAAATACTGAACTTTTGCTGGTGAAAACTCACTTAATGTATGTGTTTGGTTATTTACAATGATCAGAATTATGAATGTATAATCTTTATGGTGTGCGGTTAACTGTTGTTCCAAATCATAAATGCAGATTGGGGTCTATAGATTAGCTGAAAGGAAGAAGACTAAACTTTGATTATTTGAAGCAGCTAGCTTATCTTAGGATCAGATCAGAGCTGACAAGAATGAGGAAAATGAAAATGTTGTTCACTCCACAAGACTCAAATCTGAATGATGTAGTTGAGAGGCAACCAAGAAGATAGATCTTAAATAGCAGTAACCAGCTGAGTTTATATAAATTAAGTGGCAAGACATTGTGAAAGCTAATCCATAAAACATAGAAAGAGAAGATATTTCATTGAGGTGGAATGAAGTAAGGGGCAGGTGAAGGTCTAATTTCCTTAGACATAACAAGACGATGGGCGATATTGGCTTCTCCAAAGTCAGAGCTGCCAAGGAAATAGATGCAGTTTCTGGAGAGGCCATACAAGCTAGCCTGGAGACAGAAAGGTTCACCTTTTGAGGAGAGAAATATACAGAGGTCTCCAAGCCAATTTGTCTCGTTAAACACCCTCAACACCAAGAACCGCTCCGTAAGCGCCTTCCCACTACTCAAGCAGCGTTGCGTGTACCACTTGACATAAAAAAAAGTCTGACCTGTGGGTGACTCCACCAAGTGCTCGCTTCTGCAACATTTACACAACCGATCCCACTGCGACTGCACAAACTCTGGATAGAAGGAAAAGTAGGAGTTGTGTTTTTCAAGATCCCAAGATCCTGTGTGCAAGCCTCCGGCACCGGGCATGGAGAACAACATATCTATATAAATGAGGGAAAGATCTTTCAGGATTCAAGACAACAAGATTAATGTTAATGGCTTTGAGATCAAAGAAAGAGTGAATAAAGCTGCGGCGTTTACTGTTTCTTGTGCAATAAGAAACCGATGTGGGTTTTAAAGGTAATTTAAGGTTTACATTGTCATGTTAAGAATTGTGTGAGAAGCTCAAAGGGTTGAAACGGCAATGTCAATTCGTGTTTGTTCCCTTTTATTACCATGACAAAATATTTATGATTCGATTGCTTACAACTTACAAGTAACAATGCAAAAGACAGAAACGTAATTACGCGGGAAAAAAAAAACAGAAACTGTGATATTAAAATGTTTTAGAGTAAATGAAGTTTAGTTGCAAGTTGTCATTTTGGCTGATATTCTAGGTTTAGTACTAACCATCATTGATAATATATTTTTTAAGACGTAATTCACTCCTCCTAAGTGGACTTAAACTATAGTAATGTTGACTAGCTACACTAAAAAACCTCTAGATCAATACCCACTTGGTCTCAGAAATTATTTGAAATAGATATTGAAACACAAAAGGCTAGCTATATTCATAAGCAGGTGTGAGATAACTTATGAATGGAAATCTTGATATTAACATTGTACAAGAGAACTATTTATACAAGAGTAGAGATCCTTATCTAGATACAAATATATTCCTAATAGAACTAGTATAAACTAAAGTCATATTTATCTAAATTAATGTAGTTATTATCTATCTAATGTAGTCTTTATCTCAATAAGGTGCTTAAAGATCCGACAGTTTCGAAGGATGTTCTTCGAGCTGGTGCCATAGGACTGAGGAAACTTGGAACGATCTTCCAGGTGAGCAAGAACAAAAGGGTTAGTAACTTAAACATAACAGAAAAGCTCACTGCGTTTAGATTAAAAAAAACTATTGCTTTTGAATCTTGAGAGTCAAAACTAAGTTTAATACAACAAAAGAAGTAATTACTGATTGTGAATCTCTCTGTTTCTCTTTGAAGGGAGCAGCTTGCGTCGCGACCCTGACGTGAAACTAGACAGCGGAAGTTCTTCAAAGAAGAAGACGTCTTGAAACTTCGATCAGTGTCATTGGACGCACCAAAAACAGAGAAACCAGAATCGAATTATTATAAAAAGATCGTTTTTTTAAGATAAAATTTCACCAGTCTTGATTGTGTCCTCTGTTTTTCTTTACTTTTACCAGTCTTGTAGAGATTGTTTTCTAAGATGAAATTTTGTTCGTGTAGATGTTTCATTGATAGATCAAGACAACTTAATAATAAACGTTTAAACTTATTTCCACAGTGGTTAATTAGGTGAGCTCATCAATTAGACATCAACAGTTACTTATATATATTAGGAACAAAACTACAAACATCGTTTTAAAAATTGTTATCTCATGAATAATTAACTGTTTGGAAGTAGTGATTCTGTGATTGTCGTTTATTTGTTTAAGTGTGTAGCCATATGTTTTGTTCGCGTTATTATGCCCTTTGATATTTTCTCGTTGGCCTCACAAAGCTTCAAGCGATTCTGACATGCAGAGAAGTTAAGTTATAAATTTCCTATTTTAGTCCTACGAAAAATATAAATATCTCAATTTGGCAACCCAGCTTGAATTTTTCAAGATTATTAGAGTATGTTTAACGCAGGGCGCTTCATAGGGCGCTTCATAGGGCGCTAAGGTAAAGTTGGGATTTAAATAAATCAAAACAAAAATAAAACAGAAAAGCTGACGCTTAGAGCATGTTTAACGCAGGGCGCTTAATGCAGCGCTAAGCCCAAATTTAATTCAAAAGTAAATAAAAAGAGAGAATCCGACGCTTATTCAGGCGTGAGAAGCGTCGAAGCTTACCTGCCATGTGGCAGGAGTTTATTGGCTCGTCGTTAATGAGAAGAAACAAAACGCGTTTTCTTTGTCATTTTTCTCTTTCGATTCTCTCTCCTCCCTCTCTCTTCTCCGATGGCGATTTTGGCGATTTGATTTTGATTGGAAAGCTTCATCGATTTCTGCTGCTGATCTCAATCGACAATTGTTTCTCCTTTGTGCATGGTAAGTTTTCTTCCACAATCGGCTGTATATCGTGGTTAATTAGGGTTTAGATGTTCACTCAAGCACTGAAAATGGTGTTTCTTCTGCTTGTATCTTGTTGATTGAGTTTAGGAAATTTAGTTTAATTTTGATCTCCCCCCCCCACATCATTCTCTTTCCATAATTCCTTAGATTTCTTTCAAATTTCATCTCAGTGATTATGTGTGTTGATTCTGTGTTGATAGATTGAGGAGCAGCATAAGAAAGCCTCAGAGGAAGCTCCTTCTGCTTTTGCATACGATGAAGTTTAGGAGTGAAAGCTGAGTGGTGATCCATGGACGAGATTGCTAAAGCTCGGAAATCAGGGCATAAGGTTATTGGAGAGTCTGTTGTGTATGGACTAATCCTTGATGATCACTGGTTTTGGGATCCTGACCGGTTCTTTTCTTTGCTCTTCATAAAGTAGAGAAACATCATGACCTATAGCATAAGATCTCGCTAACATTCTATCTCTCCTTTTCTTGGTATTATCTCTGCAGCTTGTAGGAACTGATCACTGCACCTTCAATTCAACACAAAAAGCTCTAGGACTTGATGTTTTCCGCAAAATAATGGTGTTAATGGTAATACATGACCTGACTTGTTTCTTTCTTTATGTGCTCATTGTCTCTGCTGCTCTACTTTATAAGTACTTTGAACTTGTCCGTATTTAGGCCTTGAAGTCAGCTTTTGGTCGACTATAACAGACATTGAGGCTCAGCGTAAGAGGTTGATAAAGCTATGGACTCTCAAAGAAGCATATGTGAAAGCTTCAGGCAAAGACTTCTCTGCTTCACCTTTCAATACCTTTTCAATCATCCAAACAGAAGAAAGCTATAATCTTCTCCAAGCAGAGAAGGGAAGTTTAAGCTTCTGGAATTGGCTGCTTCTTCTCATTATGCTGCAATCTGCGAGAGTTGGAGAATGGAAGTCACAGTGAATGTGATTGTCCACAAAACCATTCCATTCTTAGAAGATGAACTTATCTTTGATTGGAATTTGCTCTAGTGTTTGGTGATTTCTAGATTGTACAATGTGCTTACTCCACTTTCCTTGACAAAATGTTGAAATCCTTGCAGAAAATATGCATAGTTTTGTATAGGGGTGCTTGTAAGAGTCTCCCATTAAAACAGAAAAATCTGAAATTTTTTATAAAGGTGCTTAAAACAACTTTTATATTATGATATTAGATAAGCACCCATTAAGCGCTTACCGTTAAGCATGCTCTTACATTGGCGTTACAAGCGTCGACGCCAACGGGTCACGTGGCAGAAGATGATTGGCTGTCATTTTTCTTCTTCATTATTCTGTTTTGTTTCTCTCTCCTCCCTCTCTCTTCGCCGTTGCTCTCCTATGGCGGATTCGCGATTCCACGGTAATTCGAATGATTCATCGATTTCGCACAAAAAATCGGTCCAATTATCATGCCTTCGGTGGTGGGTCTTTCCTAATCTCCGTGAAACGGTGCGAATCGGCGAAGAACACCGGAAGATCAACAGTTCTCAATCAGCGATTGTTTCTCCTCTATGCATGGTAACTTTTTCTTCCACAATCGGCCTTATATGGTGGTCAATTAGGGTTTAGGAGTTTATTCAAGTTCATGTCTGATTCGAATTGATCTTCTTTTCATTCGTTCCTTTTACTTATTAGCTCATGTTTTGTCCTAAAATTTTGGCTTGTGTTGTTGTTTATTTTGGTTTCTGGTGGGCACAGAGATGGAGCTGTTGACAACGACAACAACAACAAGGACGTGTTTACAGCTGTTGACCAAGCTGAGATTACAAAAGATGTTTGCTTGATGTATGATTTTGTGAATCAGCATTTACAGGAGGCCACAAGGTCGTTACATCAGCTTGAAAGAGAAGTGAGAATTTCTTGTGATCAAGTGATCTTTTGTTAAAACCTTTCTCTGTCCATATCTTGTTTTGAATCCAGGGTTTCCGACCTAAGCTTGGAGGAAGATGATGTTCTGAAGCTAGTAAGTGAAAAGAGTGAGAACAGAGTTGTAAGGAATATAAAGGCTTCAATGAAATGCAGTGATAGAGAAGTTTCCAAGCCTGCAACCGAGAGCTTCTCTTTCAGAATTCCTCCATCAGAAAACATTGAATCTCAAGGAAGGTCGGATCTTCCGGGAATAGATGTGTTGGTCTCAGCTGCAAAGAGAAAGAGCCGCCTCTGGTCACAGCCAACTGTCAGATTGATGTTAAGATAGAAACTGTGTTTTGTTTTGCAGGTTTGTTTCATGTCTCAACCGTTGATGCTACCTCATCGATCTTAATCAGCAAGCAAATAAAGGACACCAGAGCATTGTCAAGGCAAGCCATATGCTCTCAGATGCAATAAAAGCATTGTGCTTATTACCAATCGATCATACATATATAAGTATGTAACATACCACAAGCAGCTGAAAATTGTAACAAAAGTTTCCTCTCTTGATACGCATTTCTCCTCCTCTTTTTTTGTTTGTTTTGTTTTGGTTTGACAAACATACACATCTATCTCCCTCCACTAATAGATTAATCAAAACACATCTCTTGTTTCTCTAAGCAAGAACTGTGTTTTTTTTACTTGGAAATTGCAGTGGTGGATGATAAGTTTGTCAAGGAACCAGTGAAAATGCAGATGCATATTGAAAATGCTAACAGGTGCAGGAGACTCTATAAGCACCCCTATAAGCACTCTCCATTAGAGGAGAGAAAACAGAGAATTTTTAATAGTGTTGCTTAACCCAATTTTAATAATAAAAAATCTTGTAAGCACTTTTATAAGCTCCGTGCGTTAAGCATTCTCTTATAAACACTCCCATATAACGACGTCGCTTCGTTAAAAAATTGACGGTCCATTATTCCCTCCCCCAACGTCAACATGACGTGGCACCGTCGGGTCAAATTTCGGTTCTATTAAACCGAAGACCACACAAACTGGTCCATTTGTTAATCCTACATCTAACTGTTGAGCTTTATGCAAGATACATTGAAATTATGATGAAATATCTGTAGTTTTTCAGGGGCTTAACAGTTAACAACTTAACATTTATCGAATTGTTTGATTTCGGGGACAAGAAAAGACTGGTGGGACCTGATGACTAAAACAGCAAACCTTTCTACTACCAAAAGTCAAAGTCGTCAAATTACAAAGCAGCGAAATTCTCGTCACTACTGTGATTCTGCAATAACATTTGAGCATATAATTTAGTTGACACTAACGATTTCACTTCATGAAGAATTGAAGATTATAAGTGTGCAACGCTAAGCAACTAACTGAAAGTGAATCTCAACTACAACCGAAGAACAAACATTAATTTCAATGGAGATTGAAAGGGAACAACACTCTTAGAGAAACATGGGATTATCAACCTGACGAAAGAAGACAGAGATAGTGCTATGTTCTGAATCTTTATCCCAAAGTAGAATTTTGAAACCTTAGTTTATTTGGCCTCCTAAATTTCAAAGAAACTGTACAAAACTCATTGAGACCGAGCAAAAGAGATGGGGCAAAAAGAAGAAGAAGCAGGATTATGGATGGGTGATGATTAAACAATAGCGAGAAAGATAGTTTTACTTTTATTCATTATCATAAAAGTGGCTTAAAGCCTTACATAGGATGGATTTAAACATTAAAAGAAACAAACACTCAACCATAGGTCCATAACCTAAACATGAAACCAAACACTAAACCGGATGGATTTTAAACTAAAGATAGTAGTCTAGATAGATAACTTAAACATTACACCAAACACTAAACCATAACCGGATGGATTTTAAACCTACTAAGTAAATATAGATAGATAGCTAAAACATTAAATCATAACCGGTTGGATTTAAATAGAGAAACAGATTATTGTAATAGATAAACCAAACCTAACCGCCGACCTAGATGCCGGAGCTGTCTGAGCTGCCTGAGAAGCCTCTCTTCTTCTCGGCCTTTTTCATGGCTTCACGCTTGGCCTCAAGCGACTGCAGGTGCGTCTCTTGCTTGGTGGATCGCTTGTTGATTTTTTGGTAAGTTGCAATCTCTTTTTCAAGTTCGGCACTTGGGTCTATCTTAATATCAATTAAAAAGCAGTCTATAAATTTCGACATGAAAACAAAAACAGTCTATAAACAAAATGAAAACAAAATTTCATGCATTTCTTAAATTGTTGATTGATTTATTCCGTGCACAATTCGTTCATAGTTTGGAGATTTTTTTGCTTTCAACATGACAACATTTATAATTTTTACATATCCGTTTATCAATTCACAAGTCAAGTTATTCTTATCTTTTTTTTTCCTAAAGCTTTCATGAATTAGAAATGAAAAAATAATACGCATGAGCATACAAACATAATTACATGAAATTTATCTAAAATGAAGTAGTCATAAACTAGCTAAAGGATTAACCCAAATTTACATGGAATCAGGAAACTTTAATTCTATCATGAGGGGTAAAATGTGACATTTCTTATTTAGAAATTATATTAGGACAACAATTAATAGACAAGTTTAGATGGGTGTTTTTTTTTCCCTTTTTTTGCCAAATTTCGCCTTTAACTTGTAAAATAAGATCTCATCAATAGCATATCATGAGTATTCGATTCTTATTAGGTACGTGTGTATACAAGAGATGAGATTATTGAAAGGTTATTATGCATTGGGCCTAAAGGTAATTAACGGCCAATATATAGGCAAAACGGTCTTATAGTTACGCCAAAAGCCTAAAAACTAAATCCAGTTTAAGGGATTTTGTAACTGAGAATCTTTGACACAAGAGTAGAGCCTATTGCTTGAAATAGGTTTCATAAGCAAAAGTCTTATGAAAAAAAAAACAAAAAAAAAACATATCACTAATCTCCAAGGGACTGTGTTATGGCCCAGATTTATACAAGACAGTTAAGAAACAAAATCAGGGTATGGTGTCAGGGAGTAAAATGAGCAACCGCTGATACACAGCAAGCTGGTCCTCGAAGTATCTTTTTTTTTTGTTTCTTTCATATTTACACAACTCCAGATGGAAGGCGAAGAGCAAGCTGGCCTCCAAAAACACTGCAGGAGAAATACATTGTGGCAGAGAAGAATAAGCGAAAAAGAGCAAGAGGAGGTTTGCAGAGGAAGAAAAGGAGACAACCTTATAACGTAGTAGTAACAGAAATCTGCCAAGATGAATGTTTGGACGATTTCTGAGATGAGAACCATCGACGGCCATAGTCCGTAACCCAGTGCTACAAGCAGGCGTCCCCTCGTGTCCACAACCTGTAAGACCCAGTGGGCACAGCTAAGGAATCTGGCTACTCCAAGTGCAAAAACATAATGAGCCGTGAAGGGTTCCACAATCTGAATGAACCAAACAAACAGTAACACATGAGAGGGATTCATATCATTACACTTGTCTTGTTTTAGTTCCTTGTCAAGTAGCCAAAGCGGCCTGTTTAACCTTATAAAACGTATACATACCTTTGTGTTCTGCATCACTCTTAACTGTGGCAGCACTGAAACGGCTTCCAGGTAAACACAGAAGGCCCATGATATCCTGTTCAATATATTGTGTGAAGTTGATGGATGAATCAATACAGCCAACACAGCACAGGGCACCAGCTGCAAATATGATAAAAAAACAAAAAAAAATCAATATCTTCTGAATCCTCAAGCTAGTGATGATACCAAGACCATGTTCTGCTGTCCAGATTCACTACTAGCTTATTTCACAAGCCATATAGCAAGTGTCCAAAGAGTGTTGTTAATAAACAAGACTTTTAGCAAGCACGCAGCCTATTTATAGAGACGACTTACGACATAATAGAGGGCAACGTTGTCCTTGTCGTCCATGTAGCTAGGCCTTAGCTTAAAACGGATCATAAAGATAACCCACAGAGTTGTTCCCAAAGTCGCCAAATCCAGGATTGTGTGTATGTCATATTCCATCACAAAGCTGCAATACAGCCTTACACCTAGAAATATCGCCGTTAGCTCCTGAGATTTCAGTGACAATCCTGCCCAAAAAACAAAAAAAATAAATGAAGAGAAACCAATCTCTTTAAATAATCTGTAATGAGAGGATGCATTGCTCTCATTCAACTATCTAAGTTACCGATTGCAAAATCCTATCAACTGAATCAATTCTAGATCAAAACCAAGTCAAAGCTAGTAGTTACCCTCGCAGGTTTTCTCTTTGATGAGTTTGTAGATAAGAAGAGAGATCCCAATGGAGTGAACAGCTTCGGCGGCGACGAAGAGATTGTCGTGATCGTGAACGATGAATCTGAGCAGAACGAGAGCCGCCATGCCAGAGACCACAGCAAGGAAAGCCTTCACCTTTGGAGGCTGCCTCTTCACCCATCTCGACACCGCCTGGATCGGAGCCTTCATGCTCGACGATGACGATTGCTCGATTTCTCGGTAAACTCACCGGACTCCGACGGAAAGAGTTTTACAGGTAAATCCGTAAATATCACAGATATTCGAATATCCACAATTAAATGATGCTCTGTTGGGCCTGTGTCACCCCTTCTTTTAGGCCCGTAAACGTATTCTATTCTCTAATTGTGGAATAAATATTTCGAGATTTTATTAGGATTTTCTTGTTATATATTCACAAATATGTAGTTGTATGATTAAAATAGCCAATATATGAAGCTTTCATCTATGCTTGAACATAAATTAATGGGGTCGTTAAAATAATCAATATTGCTGTATATACAGAAAAAAGATCCAAGATGTGAAATTCCTAAAATTGATATACATTAGGCAGGAGGGACATATAAAATAAAAGTTGTCTATTATCTGAGATGAGTGGAGCAACGTGAAGTGACTGTCTCTTTCCTAGTAGGCCACTGAGATAAGCCCTCCTTGCTTTCATTTCCTAACCACCAATCACTTATATTTCACTCAAATCCTTGCCATTTTCAAGATCTGCCTATTTTTCGATCCATTTCAGTTTCATTAGACTCGCTAGTAGTCTTTGTTTCTCAATTAAACACATAGTTATTTGAATTGATATGAATCCATCTTTATAAGTTACAAAGAAAATTACTGTGGAAATAAATAGATACAACAATTTGTTTAACTATCATGTGTAGCATATTGTTTGTGTGGTACGGTAACGAAACCAGATGCTTAATTAGATGAGTTTTAGCACGAATATTTAGATTGTTGATTGTACATAGTTCGGCACGAACATAATTAGACAAATTTCAAGGCTAATTCACATATATATATACACATGTAAATATCATTCACTAACCCACACTAGTATAGTACTAATGGTTTTCTAAAATAGGGTGTATCATGATGGTCCATGGACACAATACTTTCGATTAGTGTACCTAACAAACTATTATCTCTCTCGCTCTCTTTGTTTTATTATCTTCCATGTGTCATAAAAGCATTTCCTAAATCGCCAACCATCAACACAAACTAGAGCAATCTCAAAAAAAAAAAAAAAAAAAAAAAAAAAAAAAAAAAAAAAAGTGGGCGATGCATTACCACGGGTGCTGCTGCGGACGGTGCAGAGTGTCGACGTCTCCTTTGCCGGTAATTGTCTTGATCGCGGTGGCGCTCCTCCTATTAGCGCTCTCCTCCGCCGTGAAAGTAGAGATCGCTGTCTCCACAGGCGAAGATATCCTGAGCTGGCTCCTCCTCGCCGCTGTTCCTTTGGCTCTGCTATTCGCCGTGCGGTGTCTCTCTTCCCTGGATACTTCGAAGCGATCCATCCACTACTGTCCCTGTGGCCGCTGGAAATGCGTTTGCTACTACTAGTTTGACCGCGGTTAGTGTTGCGTTTACGTTTATGTAAATCGATTATTTCGTTTTCTAGGTATTGTTGTTGATGTCAACATGAAGCATATATGAGGCGTGATCATCACTTTTGTGTGCGTTGTAGATTTAAGAACGTGATCGGCTAAAGAAAATTATCAATTTTAGCACTGGTTTTCTCTTTTCTTTGTATCATATATTTTATATTTGTGTGTGATCTGGATATAGCGAATATCTTTTCCTTAAAATTCTGAAAGTTGTAGCCAAACAAATACTAGCTTCTTCCAAAATGGCTCGATCTTAATTCTTAAAGACTTAAACGATTGAAAAGTACATGGAAATGAATTGTAAATGTAAAAATCCGTTTTGAACTTTGGACTGGTGAATGTTCTTTAAATGGTTTTTTATATAGGAAATGATAGTATAGAAAAATGATCTGAAATTCGACTAGTTCACTTTACATTGGGGGAAAAGCCGTGAAATCACTGTTTGTTTTGCTATTTTTGTGACTATCATGTAGATGACCAATAAGAATTTAAGAGGTTGGAGTAAAGAGGTCAAATTAGCTCTATAATGGGGTATTTTATCTCTCTAGGGATGCTTTTGGGGAGTAATTCTCAATAAATTTTTGTATTTCAATTTTTCAGTGAATACATTGAAGAGAAAATTGAATTTTTGATCTGGAAGTCGATCTGGGGCAAGTGTTCGGATCTATTATGACATATCCCTATCAAATGACTTATGTCATCTTTGAATTTGGTGTTGCTTATTGAGGAGGTGATTAATGAAAACAATCAAAGCAAATGGAAAAAGAAGGATAGCTGATGATGACACTCCACCTACGATTAATTTAATTGTATAGGTGTAGGAGCCCATTACGAAAGATAAAGCAACATAAAAAAAAAATCATACTACTTAATTACAACTGCCAATCCTCTCTATCCACGTTAGCGTTACCAAGAAAATGTAAATACTCATCTTCGATCGTTTTCTGGAGTATAAAAATAATAATCATAACTCTTTCCGATACATGGAGACAATGAATCAAGTAAAAGAGTAAAGATAAAATCATATACTATAACTTCAAGACATGAGAAACCGAGCTCAGTATATATCTATAGTTTTTTAAAGATACCTCTCTCTCTCTCTGTATTCAATCTTGAATGTGTCGGTCAAAACATATACTAATATTTTGCTTAACCTAAAGGCCATTTCTCTAAGTTTGCATAAAAGCAGGAGCAAGAAAGAAAGTTACGAGAGCCTTCTCTCATCAAGTCATCAATAATCAATTAACCACCAACATGGCGTATGGAGACACAAGATCAGGACCGTCCTTCTTGGACTCATTCTCGCTCTCGCCTCTACCGTTCCCGGTCCTTCTAATCCTAGCCGTGGCTTCCATCTTCCTAATGACGTCATGGTACTGGAGCTTCGAAGAAGCAGCCGAATCCGCCGGGGAGCAGATGAACCTTGCTCTTCTCTTGATCCCTCTGCTTCTCATAGTCTTGGTCCGGTGGCTATCTTCCATGGAGAACCCGGACGCGTTTCTCGGAGTGTTCTCGAGCCGTCGTCAGATTTACAGGAGTCCCGGCGCCGGAGATGAGGGTGGAAGCTCGCCTTGGGGAGTGGCGGCGGTGATAGTGCTCTTGCTTGTTTTGCTAAACTATCAGTCGAGTTTCTCGGAGATGTGGTTTGGTTGATAGGCTTGTCTTTGTCGTCTAGCGTTAATGTAAAAATGATTTGGGATATTTTAGGCTATCTTGTTGTTGTTATTGATCAGGACATTATCACTTAACTTACTTATTACGAGGTTGAAGGATCTCGTGAGTTGTGTTATTCGATTTCTATCTTCTCTCTTGTTTACACGTGATGATCATATCGTTTGATTAACGTCACCGCAGATTTTAAAAGGCTATATATAGCCTATAGAGATTCAAAATGAAATGAAAATTGAATATATGAGAATATGATGGAAATGTTAGTCACTTCTGATCGAGAGCTCCCTCTGTCATCGGCGCTTCTGCCAGTTAGGACCTTTTGGCGTGTTGGAAAGCTGACATTTTGGAGTTGTTAGATAGTTTGCGTTTCTTCAGGGAAGAGAAGTTTCAAGTCTCTTGGACCGTAGTCTGGTTGTGCATCTACGGTGAGGGTGAAGCTTTTTTAAGGTGCTCTAGAAGTTTGAAACAGGTTTCAGCAGTGCATTAGTGGGAGTTGGTGTGTTCTTCATTTCAGTTTAACTTCTTAATTCCTTTTCTTCTTCTTCTTTAGTTCCATAGTTTTAGTTAGTTCCCTGTGTGGGCTTAGATTCCTTGTGTGGGCTCAGTTTCCGGTGTTTTGTTTTCACCGGCTTTCTTCCGGAGTATCTTCGTTTCGTTCGGCTTAGTATTTTATCGTGATTATTCTGGTTATGTAAGGTTGATGGTGTCTAACACCTTGTATCTCTCTCATTTCAATATAATTCTAGACGACAAAAAAAGAGAATATGATGGAAATGAGCTATGATCATTTTGTAAGAAACCCGCATTTATCATGCATTCATACCCCACCCACGAGAGTTGTCAAACTCCATCTCTTATCTTACAAAAAATAAATGAAAATTTCGATCGTTTTTGTTAGTTAATTAGTGCATGATGATAATATGAAATTACCGCATGATATTCCGTATTCGTATTCGTATAAACGAATGATATTATAGGCTTTAGAGGGTAATTATGTAACTCTAATCAAACAAATGACACATGAAGAGAGCAATGTCACGTCCGCAACAAACAATATAAAAAGGATCTCCAATCGAGATAATCCAAGTCGCCACAATATTAGTAGACTTTTAGCATTAATCTCTATATATAGTGCTATAACATTAGCATGAAGCTAGTAATTATGCTACTAATGCCACCATTTGCTTTAGTCGATGGAAAACTTAGACCATTGTAAAATAAGAGGAAAAAAAGACTTGAAAATGATTAAGAAAGTATAGAGCAAGAGATGATGAGATGAGAGCAAACATGATTTAGAGGGCTTTGATTTGGGTCGCTCGAAAGTTAAAGATTGGATTTGGGCATCTGAGTATCACGCGTCTGGAGAGGCGCGTGGTAGAAAAGATAAACTTACGATGCCTGTTGGGAGAGAAAGACAAGAATACCCTGGGGAGTCAGAAACACAGGAGCACCACACCAACCCTCATCGCCTTCTATCTGCTGCTGCTGAGACTGTAACTCTCGTCTCCATCGCCTTTTTTTTTTCCACTCACTACACGCCAAACCCCTACTACCTTCTCTCTCTCTCTCTCTCTCTCCATGGCGACCTCTCTCACTGCTCAAATCTCCGGTGGCACGCAGCCCTCTGCCCCTTCCTTCTCCGGCCTCCGCCGCATTTGTCCCAAGCTCGACGCCGCCGTCTCTTTCTCCCACCAGTCCTTCCTCAACCGCGTCAGTTCCCCTATCCGCCTCGTTTCTACCTCGCACCGGTCTCCCCGAGGCGTTGTTGCCATGGCCGGATCCGGAAAGGTGCTCCCTGCTCTGTTTTATTCCAACGAATGTTATTCCTTTTAGTCTCTAATCGTATCTTTGGATTAGAAAGCATCTTCATTTGTTTCAATGCTTAGCTTTGGTTTCTCGAATCTTAATTCTCTTACATTTGATTCAATGCTTAGCTTTGGTTTCTCGAGAGACGATTGCTTTAGTTTAGTTTGCTACAAATGTTGTTCATTGCTAGATTCATGATTTAGACTCTTGTTCCATATCTTGATCATCGAATCAAACACTTACTTGGATCCTCTCTCCCTCTCTCTCTCTCTCTCTCTCTATGTTGCAGTTTTTCGTTGGAGGGAACTGGAAGTGTGTAAGTACAATTTCCAAATCAATCGGAATCATCCTTTTTTCTTCTTATCTATATCTTCTCTTGTCTCTGCTGAAAGTAATGTCTCTTGTTTGCTAGAACGGGACTAAGGACTCCATCGCCAAGCTTGTCTCTGATCTCAACACTGCAACCTTGGAAGCTGACGTAGGTGAGATGCTCGACTTTCTGATTTGAAAATAGACTCTAGGAAGTCCTGTCATCGCTAGATGACATAAACTTGTTTTGAAACATCCTCACGCTGACATTTGCTTCTTAAATTATGTGTAGATATTGTGGTGTCACCACCATTTGTGTACATCGACCAAGTCAAATCTTCGTTGACAGACCGTATCGAAGTATCTGGTCAGAACTCTTGGGTTGGCAAAGGTGGAGCCTTCACTGGTGAAATCAGGTGAGCAGACTCCTCTCTTATTCACTTATACAAATATTTGTGCTTTGCAACTAATCCCTCCTTAAACACTTTCCAGCTCATATATATATATATATATATATATATATATATTTACATTAAAGACCTTTTTCTCAACTTTACAGCGTGGAGCAGCTTAAGGACCTGGGCTGCAAGTGGGTCATTCTTGGGCATTCTGAAAGGAGACATGTCATCGGAGAAAAGGATGAGGTCTGTTTATCAATACAACAATGTATGTGACTCGTTACTTAATATACAAGCACAGTTTGTGAATTCATGTTTGCTCTCTTGTCTCAATACACAAGCACAGTTTATCGGGAAGAAAGCTGCTTACGCGTTGAGTGAGGGTCTTGGAGTAATTGCTTGTATCGGGGAAAAGCTAGAAGAGAGAGAAGCAGGCAAGACATTTGATGTTTGCTTCGACCAACTCAAGGCCTTTGCTGGTAACACTCTCCTATCTTTTTTCCTGTCTCATATTTGAAAACCATGTCTAAAAGCCTGTAACTTATTTGGTGTGTGTTTTCAGATGCTGTGCCTAGCTGGGACAACGTAGTGGTTGCATACGAGCCTGTGTGGGCGATTGGAACTGGTAAAGTTGCGTCGCCTCAGCAAGCACAGGAAGTCCATGTGGCTGTCCGCGGTTGGCTCAAGAAGAATGTCTCTGAAGAAGTCGCTTCCAAAACCAGAATCATCTACGGAGGTATGTTAATGCTAGTTTAGTTTAGTTTAGTTTAGTTGCCCATAAAATCAAACTCTGTGCTGATGATTTATTTCATGCTTAATTGCCAGGTTCTGTCAATGGAGGCAACTGCGCAGAGCTTGCCAAAGAAGAAGACATTGATGGATTTCTTGTCGGTGGTGCCTCCTTGAAGGTAAAAACTAAAGTTTAGACCTTTTGTGGATATTGTATTGTATTCTTGTTGATGAATACAGCTTGACTCATATCATATATACCCCACCTGTGTTGCTGGCTTTAGGGTCCTGAGTTTGCGACCATTGTGAACTCAGTCACGTCCAAGAAAGTGGCTGCTTGATTGGGAACAGCTTGGGACGGAAGTCGCACATGTCTCTGTGGAACAGATGAAATGAGAAATAAAAGGGAGGCTTGCGCGACATTGTTGTTGTTGTCTTCTTACTTCTTCTTGAACTAATAATGAAAAACAAAAAAATTGAACAATGAGTTCTGGTTTGAAGAGTGTTCGACTCTGCAACAGAGAGAGAGATAGAAAGGGTTTCGATTAAAGTCTTTGTTGTAACTTTGAAAGTTATTATACTATTTTTACTCGAAGTAAAGCTCAATTCAAGAGTCTATTCTTCTGTATAATCTTATAAATTTATCATGCCACACTCAAAATTCGAACCAGTTGGCTAACGTCTGCTTCTTCTTCTTGTTACATATAGAGAGGACTGATAACAGTAAAGGGAAGATTCTAGTATAAGTTAAAGTCGTTTCATATGAGGAGAGTAATTATGACAGAGAAAGAAGAGAAAGAAGAGAAAGATTGTCTAAATAGTACAATGCTGGAACAAAAAAAAGAACAAGTAACGTTTAAGAAGCCTAAAACTTGGAAACTCTTTCAAAACGCCAAAGGCCGAGTCTATAGAAAAACTGCAAGGAGCAAGGAAAGCTCCTTTTAGTTCTTCTTGTTCTTCGATTTCCCAGACAATGTCTTGCCCAAATGAGTTCCCTGAAGGCACAACATAACACACATTTCAATCATTCAGATTATTCAATAATCACAAGGAAGAGGAAAGAAGCGTAGAAAGAGAGAGAGAGAGAGAGGAGCGAACCTCGAGCCATTCGTCGAGTGATGCGTCGGTAGACCTGGTTCCTACTTCCACCTTGGACACCTTTTTGGTTTTCTGGGAAAAGAGGAGAATTATCAAATGAGATATTAACCTTGATAATACAGGGACTAACAGGAAAGAAAGAGAGAGAGATGCGATGGTTTACCTTGGTGAGACGCTGTACTTGGCTGTATGCCCATAGACCGAGGAGGAGGAGGAGAGCAATTCCGAGTGTTAGAAGGAAGACAGATTCGCCGCTGAGAAGACCTCCGGATTCGACTACCTCTATGGTTCCATTGTAAAACACACTCTGGTATGGCTTCCCTTCCACGTCGTAGATGACGTAACCCACCAGATCAAATGCTCCAGGCTGTGCAACACAACAACACGCAAATGAGATCAGACTTTTTTTTTGTTGAGTTTTTCCCGATTACACTTGTTTTTAGCATGTCTTATTGTTTATTGTGGGATATATGTGTGTGTACCTGCAGGTACTGGCTGACTGCAAAGATGTAGGGGAATGTTGCCTGAAGAGACGTTGGGATGGACGCATTGTTGAATCTCTGCAATTGTAAGGCAGCAAGCCAACATCAGAAGACACTTTCACGTATAAAATCAAAACAAATACATAGACAAAAAAAAAAAAAAAAAAAAAAAAAAGTGTTTTAAGTGCAGAACAACATACCATCATGGTAAGATTCTGAACCAACAACTTGTGATCATAAGGAAGATGAACGCTGGCCCTAATTCCCATCACACCAATGCTGGATTTCCCTGTTATGTCACAGCAGCCATTGTTGGAGATATTTAGATACAACCAAAAGAAAAATCCAAAAGAGATGGCTAAAAGATATAAAAAGTACCATCATTTTTGAGACCAACAAGGAGCTCAGTCTCTTCTCCAGCTGGAACCACTGCAGGAAGGAGCTCAGGGAATTATCATTAAGGAATGGATTTACTGTATGTAGTAAGCATGTGAAGAAGAAGGAATTAGAAAGAATCCCTTACATTTGGCACTGTTTTTGGGGAAGACACAAACAGTCTCAACTCCTGGAGCTGAGGTCAAGTTCACATCCAAATCTTGGTCATCTTCCTCAACACCAGAATCACTGTGTTCTCCGATAACATCGTCTACAAGACTGGAATGATCCTCGGCATCCGATTGACATCTAGCAACTGTTGCAAATAAAGGGATAACAAATACCTCATCAGGTCACTTTTACGACGTTATTATCAATCATCCAAGCATCACATTTTTTCAAAGGCTGACATATGCAAGAACATTCGCTTTGAAAGCGTTAACAAAGACCAAGGCCGTGTGAATATCAAATATAAAGACATGCACGCAAATCAATTACTTGGCACACTTGTCGCGAAAATGATTTGAAAGGGATCAAAAAAGGATCCAAAGATTTGATGTTTTGCAACCACATTGCTCCCAAAAACGACAGAGGGTTGTCGCGAGCTAAAATTTCACTCGGATCCGTAACTAAGGAACGTAAATGAAGAGATCCTATCGTAAACCAGATCGAAACCAGCGATCAAACATGAAATCCAATCCGAAACAGTAAACTAGGAAAATGGCGACGACTCAAGACGGATCTAGATCTATAAACTAGAGAAAATCAATACAAAATCCAAAAAGAGAGATAGGGTTGAGAGGAGACCTTGGAGCAGAGGAGAAGCAAGGAGAAGGAGAGCGAGGAACAAAACCCTAAGATTCATCATCGCTTTTTGTTTTCTGGTCAACGAATTTGAGGAAGATATTAGTGTTCTCGTCGATGCTATTTATGCTTGCTCTGCTTCTTTCTCTAACCAAAAACAATTAAAAGTTAAAAAAAAAATCATAGCCATAGAAAGTCCAAAACGACACCGTTTTGTCTGGTCTCTCATTTGATTTTGTTGCCATATAAACTTCTACACACATACTCTTATGTCACAAATTAACAATTTTATCAACATCTCTTCTTTAACTTATCATATGAAAAATCACAAAATATATGGCAAAAAAAGTAATGAAATCACAAAATGAGAGTTGTTTCTTGATCTATTGTATTTGCATCTTGTCTTTTGTTCAGCCTATGATCCGGATCGTTATGAGACCTTTAAATCAATCAATCAATCAAGTATGGTTTGATCAAAAAAATAAAATAAAGACAGACACAAGTTAAAGAAAATTTCAAACAATTATTATTCCCATGACTTTAAGAGATAGAAGAAGAAAAAAGAGTAATGATAGATAGAGGAATTTGACAATGATAATTAGAAGAATAAAGGATTAAAAAAACAAATTCCATGAACATTCCACTACTAGTGGTACAAGTACATCAAATCTGATAAACCACATGACAAAGAGATCCATCAAAAAGCATCTTCTCTGCTCCAAAATCAATCCCCATGGACTGTGTACCGTTCCCACTTCTTTGTCGGGTCGTAAATCTGCACAAAGATAATCGTAAATTAGATATGCTTAAAGAGATTTAATAACATTTCAAAAGTGTAGAGTAGATTGATAAAGCACCTCCCATCTGGAGGCAGGGAAGATATGCTTGTTCTTCTCGTACCAATGCCTCTCCACAACTTTACCCGCGTGCGACTTCAATCACAACAAGACATTTTTACAAACCAGCACTTGTCATTTCTCATTTCTCATCATCAAACATGTGCAGGGAGAAACATACCTCGTCTTTCTCTATCGTAGCATCTGCGATTGTTCTCACGTCTTCGTGCACATCAAAGTGAAACAGCTGCATGTTACCAAACAGGAGTGCATGAGCATTTCTAAATTAAAACATGATGATGAGTTCCCGGGAAAATGTAGACAAGGCATACCGGGCCACTCTTCCCCCTAGCTTTGTTAATGATGAGCTCGTAGAAACTGTGTTGCTGCATCAAAAATATGTTATCGTTACACCCAATCAAGGGAGAATCACTTTGGTGACAAGTGTGTAGAGGCTAGAGAGGGTTGTCTCTTACGTGTGGGATAATAAGATCTTCCTTTACATAAAGCAAATTCTCAACGGAGGCCGTCCGTATCTCCCTGAAGTCAGGTGCAAGCTGCTGCTGAACTGCCCTTAGAAAATTCCCAATTGGATCACCCTTCCGCACCTGTCAACACACCGTCTCATTTACCGTAAGTAAGTGTATGATCAGCCTCTAGCTCAAACAGCAAGACAAACATGTAGTAGCATGTGCTTGCCTGGATAACTCGCCTGTGTCCGGTCCCATCCCAGTAACTGTAAGTAATCTGAAGAGGCTCGTCTGAGAAAATCACACACACAAAAGAAACAGTTAGAGAATCTTCCTAGGATTACTTGCTGAAACAAGAAGCAACTGTGGAAAGTGGACAAACTTTTAATCTGCTCTTGGTCACGAAGCCACTGCTTCTTCAGCCTTTCACGTTCAGCTTGTTCCTCCGCCTCCCGCTCACTGAAACAGCAACCTCAAAACGCCACAGCGTAAGTTAAGACTTGCTGAGCAACATGATGAGAAAGTGAAGATAAAAGTAAATAAGAGAGCAAGAGATCACCTGTCAGGCAGGAAATTAGTTTCCACTGAGGGGTCCTTGCCAAGTTTACTGCACCGTACGTTCATTGTCTCACAAGTCTCTGCGTAAATATGATACTAGTTACCAAATATGCCAAGTCAATACTAGGACACAATAAGATGAGACTTGTCTGAAATTCCTATGCCCGCAAGCTCAAAAGCTCCAATTCAATCTAAGTCCCATCTAAAAGAATGGTAAATCAATCCACTTACTGTTGTCTTCATCCTCTTCATCACTGCCATTCTCAATATCTTCAGCAAAAGATAAGCGGGAGGATCCCTTAATCTTTCTCTTCTTGCTACGCTTTTGTTGTTGAAGCTCCTCTTCCCTGTAGTTTACAAACAAACGCGATCAAATAAATACAAAAAAAAAAAAAAAAAAAAACAAGTATGAAGAAGAATGGACCTAAAAAAGCAAACTCACTCTTGCTGTAGCTTCTGTAGTTTTTCCTTCTCTTCTTCCTCGAACTTATTACGAATATTAACCCTCTACAAACACCACGGACACGATTAACACTTCATAATCTAAGATGCCACTGTTAAAATCCAAAGTTAAGAGTGGAGAGTCATAGAAGCCATTTACCTTCTCCACATATTCCTCTCTTGTAACTAATCCGACTGTTTCCTTCTTGAAAGCAGTGTCAAGAATCTAAAGCCAAGAAGAAGAAAAAACAAACAACTATGTTAAATAAAGAAAACATTTCCTCAGTGCCAACCACTGAAACTTGGTTGATGAATACACAGCTGCAGATCTCTCAAGTAAAGATGTTCTAATTTGGTTCTGCGAATGGTCACAATAACTACTGGCCCTTGTAATCATGATAAACCTTACTTAAATCTCCTAAATTCCCTAAATCAGAGATTTCTGCAAAATTGTATTTTCTCGAGAAAAACAAATCAGAGAACAAAGCTAGAAAATCGAAGAAACAAGTCTATAGTTCGTGATCACATGGGACCTTGAAAAAAGGTAAAAGATGAAAATAATTTGGTCGAACCTCACAAGAGCTGCTGCCGAATTGGAGAAGACCGGATTGCTCCTGGCCGGAGGCAGTCTTGCTCTTCAGCTCCTGGATTTTCCGGCGCTCAGCCTCTCTTTGCTTCTGCAGCCGCCGTATCCTCACCGCATCTTGAGCCGTACCAACGTAGCCGTCTCCCATACCCGACATCTTCTCCCGCTTCAACGAGGAAATCACAAGATACTTCCGACCACCGCTATTGAAGAATCGCAATCAACGCTAATTTTATGCAGAAACAACAAAAAAACGCTTCTGTTCCTTTTGGGCTTTAAATGGGCCTTACAATAATAATATCGGGCCATATTTTGGGTATAGTTGAGGACACTAGACACACGACGGTCCACAATAAAGCTTCCAGAGGAGAGATATTTTTCTTACGTGACTTCATTGATTGCCTCAACTGAACACTTTCGGGCTGATGATTTGTCTCTATTGAAGATTCTTTTCACAAACATGGAATCAAAGTACCAGTTGGGTTTGAGATACACTAATCATGTCACAATCTCCTTTTTGTGTCACTACTAATAACCAAACATTATAAATGCCAATCCTAATCAATGAGCTAATGGGTTGTCCCCCTTCTTAACAGTATTTGGAAACCCTATACCATCCACAATGTTATGCTATTTATTAAACCCCATCAATGTCATACACAAGACTCTACTTCTTTACTCTACTAAGTCACTTTAGAGTTTAGACTAGCTATATATATGAAATATGTCTAGCTAGCTTGTTCTGTTGGAGGCTAATAAGTTTTGCATTATATCGTCGAAAATAATAGTAGACCATGCGGGTACGTTACAATATATATAGACAATACAAAGTATTTTGTGTATATATGGATGTATATGAAGTGGTTGAGAGGATATATATAATATAGGTGGGAGGAAGAATAACATGGCGGCAATGCATATGAGCTGGCTTTTCCTCTTACATACAAGAATTGTGGTCGAGGGGCCTTGCCAGCTACCAAAGACATTAACAAGTTATGTCATAAATTAGCGGTTCACTTGTAACCAATAACTGTGCTTCCATTATTAGTGTATTACAAATTAATTTCATCTCAAACTAGTTTTGCTACATTTGTTACTTAGATCATGCGCTCTGCATGCCGTACTTTTAGCCCTAGTGGTAACAACATGATTTTTTTTTTGTTCAAGCATTTGCTATATGGACGTACGTCCAACTACATTATTCGCATTTAATTTACATCTCAATTATACTCTGTCAAATAATTAGGTACTTGTATAATATATGTAAACTTTATAATCCTGTTTAACCTAGTGATCGACTTTTACTAACTACACACATTTTAGATCTTAACAATGTTTACAGAAGTTTAGGTGACTGGTTATAGAACACATTATTGATATAGTAGATGTTATTTAGAAGTCCGTTTTTTTCCTTTTGGGATAATCATCAACAAATTGTTGATTGTTCATAGAAATAGAATCATCGGGTTATAACATATAAGAATCAAATAGGTTACATGATCGACCTTTCTGACATCTATTGCTCAAACTTAGTTACGATTTCGTTTATGTTAGTTACTATGAACAATAGTATAAAACTGTTTCTTTTCAAATTCTCCACATATTTTGGTGATGAGGATAAAGTGGAGGCATGCGTGAACTCTCCCTATCTGGTTTTTGTTGTTGCTGTTGGTAACAATAATGCTAACGCTCTCATGTGATACGCTTTAATTTGGGGTCGGTGGTACGTAGACACAATTATATACTCTCATTTATTCATTTACGTACTTAATTATATATGGTTTTTGTATATATTTAGGTGCTCCGGATCAGTTATATGAAAAAATAAAATCATGACCTAAAGCCTAGTTATTTGATTTTTGTTTTTTTTAAAGAGAATACTTAAAACTCGATCTCGAACCAACACCAAAATTGAGTAGAAAAACTTACTAAATCCATTTATAATTTATAGTTCAGTACTTCAGTTTATGTTGTGTCTAAATATGAAAAAAGTTGAACCGAAATCATAATTGAGACATTATTAATTACTAGTATATACAAGTATAAAAATTAAGATAAATAAAAAGAAGAAAAAAAAACTCGTAGATTCACGTGGCTACGGTATACCACCAAGTATTTGAATCTAGAGTGTCATGTTAGGAAAATAATAAGCCCTAAGAGACTATAAATATAGACGAGTGGCAATAGTACGTAGAATCATCATATCCTCTTTTCTCTTCTCTAAAATAACACATCTCTTCAACAAGAATCCGATGAGGATATTACCGGTAAGCGGAGGAGGTGCTTTCTGCCTCCTGCTTGTGTTTGTTCTCTGTACGGCGGCCCATTCTCTCGGCCGTGACATCGATGTAGTTGGCTATGCCGAAAGCAGCAAGATCAAGGACCACCGTGCATTCTCAGGTAATAATATCAAAGCTCCATCTTGTTTTTTTTTTTTTTTTTTTTTTTTTTTTTTTATGGTGAGTTAGAGTGCATGCCACTAATTTCTCGGTCAATAAATGTTCCTTTTTTGGTCAATTTATACAATTCATTGTTTATGCATGATTGCATGGTAATGGAATAACACTTTTCTTATAGTTCAAATCCCTTTTTTTCGTTTCATTGTGTGAAAGTTTGACACTTCATCTAAGTAAACGTTCTTGTTTGACCGATGATGGTAATCAGGACTTGGAGTAACTATAGAATGCAAAGCGGCCGAGACAAAAGGGCAGTTTATTAAAAGAGGAAGCGGCGAAGTTGACGAAACAGGAAAGTTTAGTCTCAATATACCTCATGACATTGTTGGAGAAGACGGAAAGCTAAAAGAAGCTTGTTATGCTAAGCTTCACAGCGCTTCCGGAAACCCTTGCCCGACCCACGATGGCCTCGAAGCCTCTAAGATCGTGTTTTTATCGAACACCGGAGAAAAACACGTTTTGGGTCTCAAACAAAATCTGAAGTTCTCGCCAGAAGTTTGCGTCTCAAACTTCTTTTGGCATATGCCAAAGTTTTCTTTGCCTCATCTGCCACCCTTTCCTAAGATCAAAAAGCCTTGTCCCCCAAAGATAAACCTTCCACCATTCCTTCCAATTTACAAGCCACCGGTCGTGATCCCCAAGAAACCGTGTCCACCAAAGATCTCACACAAGCCTATCTACAAGCCTGTGCCAATCTATAAGCCACCGGTACCTATCTACAAACCTCCGGTGCCTATTTACAAGCCACCCGTTGTGATTCCAAAGAAGCCATGTCCACCACTTCCCAAGCCGATCTACAAGCCCCCTGTGCCTATCTACAAACCGATATACAAGCCGCCGGTGGTGATCCCGAAGATACCGTGTCCGCCTAAAGCTCCAGTGCCTATCTACAAACCGATATACAAGCCTCCAGTACCCATCTACAAACCGATATACAAGCCTCCAGTACCCATCTACAAGCCGCCGGTGGTGATCCCAAAGAAGCCGTGTCCACCACTTCCCAAGCTTCCGCCTTTTCCACCTAAATACATTCCACACCCTAAGTTCGGGAAATGGCCTCCTTTCCCTTCTCATCCTTGACGGATACACATTTATCATCCATCTTTCTTTCTTTGCTTAATTATTATTATTTGTTTTTAAGAGAAGTGAGTGATGCTAAAAAAAGAGTAGTCCTTTGTTTGCTTTGTTGAATTCAATTCTGTGTAGATGTTTGATGCATGTTTCTCTATCATTACATTCCAGCTGAGCCAATAAATAGTTGTATTTTTTATTGTTAACTAAAATCTATACGTGGTCTCTTTTCTATGATTATACAAGGGGACAAATGGTTCTATAGTTTTGGGTATAATTTAATTGTTTTGTCAAAAAAACAAAGCAAAGGGAAACAGTAACACCACACTCTGTACACGAGCTACAAGCCTATTGAAGATTTATGGGCTTTATTTGAAAAGGTCTAACGGTCTATAGTGAGGCCCATTCTGACTATAAATGTGTAAAACTAACTCTGTTTATTGATTAGTTTCTTGTGACACAATATTTTTCATCATCCTAAGAATCGAGAATCGACAATATTTATATTTCCTGGAATCTCCAATGGAAATGGAATTACAAGGGAAAAATTGTAACAACATCAGAACTAGAAAATTGACAATATTTCCAGTTTCCTGAAATCTCTAACGGAAGGAAATGGAAAGAAAAAAGTAAAGGGAGGTTTTGTAAATGGAAATAAATTTTGTGGAAAGGCACGTGTCGCGCTTTGATAAGGATACTATAGAGCGTTTACCGTGGTCAAACGCAACTAACCATGGTTAAAATCATTGAAAACCATGGAGATCTCTACACGTGTCTCACTCAATCCAAGATATTATTTTCTCGCGGATGCGGATAATCGGCTAATCGCTTCCTTGCTCCTCATATCGCTCTATAAATATCCTCTAACAGCTTCTCAGAATATTTAGGCATTGATTCTCAGATCGACGACGACGACGACGACAATGGCGCATCCTAAAGTTTTCTTCGACATGACCATCGATGGACAACCGGCGGGACGGATCGTGATGGAGTTGTACACCGACAAGACTCCGAAGACGGCTGATAACTTCCGAGCTCTGTGCACCGGCGAGAAAGGCGTCGGACGCAGCGGGAAGCCGCTCCACTTCAAGGGATCTTCGTTTCACCGCGTGATCCCTAATTTCATGTGCCAGGGCGGAGATTTCACCGTCGGGAACGGGACGGGAGGCGAATCGATCTACGGAGAGAAGTTCGCGGACGAGAACTTCGAGAGGAAGCACACCGGAGCTGGTATTCTGTCGATGGCGAACGCGGGTCCCAACACGAACGGATCTCAGTTTTTCATCTGCACCGTCAAGACTGACTGGCTCGACGGGAAGCACGTCGTGTTTGGTCAGGTGACCGAAGGCCTGGACGTCGTCAAGGCCATCGACAAGATCGGATCATCCTCTGGAAAGCCGACGAAGCCGGTGGTTATCGCCGATTGCGGTCAAATCTCTTAGATTCTAGGAGGGTTAGTTGCGGCGGTTTGTTGCTCTTGAGTAGCTTTTTCTTCTTCTTAGTAGCTGCTAATGCTATGGACTGTTTTCTGGGTTTATGCCTTTTCATCTTTTCCTAATTAACCACCCTTAAATCTTAATAATGATAACAACATCTTTTATTTCCTTTTCTTTCTGCTCTTTTACAAAAAAAAAGTTTGGCGTTTTGTCCAGTAAAAACAAAATCAAAAGTGATTAATTTAAACGCATATTCTATAGGCCATTCCTTAAACGCTCATTGGCTTATGTCACCAGACAAACTATAACGCCTAACGTATGAAATATAAATATTCCCAAGTGTTGTGAATTTGTGATAGGCCTCTTGAGTATAAACAAATCTTGTTGCCTTGTTGGGGATATTAAAGATTCAAATTTCAGTTGAAGTTAAATTAACATTCCAGGAGGTAATGCTGCAGCCCTTAAGATGCGCATGTGCTTATGTTGAATTAACTAAATTATGATGACTGTATATGATTTTCTTCACAATAAAAAAATGGAGAGCTCAGGCAATTGGAAGAGAAAACGTGTGAAAGTCAGATTGGACCAGCTCTTTGATTTTTCATCAACTGTCACACTCTTCACAATCACAGAGTCACAGTATATATTGTTTTTTCGTTTGATTGAATCGATTTTAACCGTTGTTTCATTTTGTAATTAATGTAGTTATTAGGTAAGAAATGGTAGTATATGAGACAAACAAAAAATTACACAATTGACCAAATACTGTGTAGATAGAATGAGAAGCCGATGGCTATAACGAAAGTGAAAGCAGCCTCTTGTAAAGAGTTATTTATGGTGAGAGGCATTTTTTTGAGTTTTGTAACAGAAAAAGGCACTTTGCGTTGCACGGGCATTTTTTTTAGTTTGTTGCGTTAGTAAACCCAAAATAGCCCTCGGTAACTCATTTTTTTTATCCCTCTTCAGTTAAAAACAGCGATACTTTTCTGGGTTAATAGTTTTTCGGTTTTTTCTGAAAATCATTTGGCACCGCCGTGACTGTGTTTGAGTTTTGGTCGGTGACTTTGTCCAGATTTTCCGACGAAGGTGATTTGTATGGTGAATTACGGATTTACTTTTTTTTCTCTGTGGACTGCTCGAAGGTGAGAGTTATGCTAAGTTTTGTCGATTAGAAACGATAGTGACATGGGGTAAAGATGTGTGAAACTATAGTTAATAGCAAAGAATATAAAGCCATTACGCGAACTTCGAACTACTTTAATGGGCATAGGATTCATGAAGAGATCTTCAAATATGTGCTGCTCGCATCGAATTTTGCAGTCGATAGCTATATTTGTTGTTGTTATCGCTGGACTAGATCTGAAAACTCGAAATTAAGATCTGAAGAGTCCCGATAAAAAATAATAATGTACGATGAACTGGATTTGGTTTTTTATCGGTGATAATTGACCATAATTTTGTGGTGAATATGGATGAATGGTCGTTATTTGGTATTGCGGCAGATATTTTTTGGGGTTCGATGTGGATAAAGAGAAGTGAAACTCATTACTTATAGATGGAAATGTAAGTATGGATAGTTTAACGTGGACGCATGATTCGTTGGGCATAAACAGTATTACGATTAACACACCGCAATTTCATGTGGATGTATCTATATGGATATAAGATAGTGGATGCTTACCAACTAAGCCAACATTTTCTCATGTTTTTGGCTCTCTGTTAAAGTAAAAGTCGATGTTGGTGTGTCGGAGGAAGAAACATGTAGGTGGGAGGAGGCAACTGAGACTTCAATCTTGTGGACCACAAAATGTGGACGTAAATGGAGAGAATAAAAGAGAAATGGTTTGTATACATTTCTTTTGGCTTTTTACTTAAAATTAAGTATTCATAAGTAGATAGTGTTCTTTGTTCTTTCAACCTTGGATTGATTTCATTCAAATTGAATCAAGCTTCATACAATCAATAGCGATCATAGCTTCATACAAAAAGTCGTTCGAATTGAATCAAAGCTTCATACAATCAAGAGAGATGATAGAAATCTAAATCTAATTCTAATTAATGGAAAAACAAAAACTGCTTAGTGTTGCCATGATTGGAATGACTCTTTTCATAGTTTGTGATTTGTAATTCTTTCAACTTGAACATCTTAGGTGTAATAATTTCTTCATCTCTATCACTCTGCAAAATGTAGATGTTATATACCAGTGTGGATATCGAAACATGGACACATAGCGATGGATAAAAGACTAATGAAACATCACTGCAAAAAAAAAAATGCATAGAAAGAGTCGTGTGGATATCAATTCATGGATACTAAAAAAGAGCAAGCTGGTATGGATGCATGTGTGTTGACGGAATTCTCAGATGGTCAGACCCATTTTGATATATAAAACATTTAACTAATATTAATATAACATCTGGACATTATTTGGATATTTATCCATATGGATACAACATTATGGAGCTAGATGATTACCAATGAGTTAGAATGAAGCTGCCATCTTAGAAAGCCATCACTTCAGCATACTTGTCCTAAAAAACTGAAGACTTGTAACAAGGAGAGTCACTCCCTGAAAATCTGAAGACACAAACAAAAAAAGCATATAACTCTATGTCAGAATAAAAGGTTTACCAGAAAAAATCATATTCTCATCAATCAATAATCACAAAAGGTTTACCAGAAAAAAAAATTGAATAAAATATGGTCTCATTTGAATTTACCTGAAAAAGTCACAAAAGTTTCCAACTCAAAGGCAAAGAAATCACATGAGTGTGAGGTTTGGTGTTCCAAATGCAAGCTTTGTCTCATTAGAATTCCAAGCCATCGAATGTACCTTTCCATCCAAAAAGTTCCCCCTATGTTTAAAATGAACAAAACAAGGTATGATTTGAAAATTCAAAACATTAGATTGCGGGCGAGACACAATAAAATGGACAGATTGGGAGTGGATGATATGAACATAGACTTACCAACCAGAGATATGATTTATTTCTGAATACAAAGTAGATGGACACGAAAAAATGGATGAGTTTGTAGTCATGACATAAACGTATCCTCATGGATATGTGGTTATGGATATTAATGTGATGGACAACTTGTCAATGAGACAACTAATCTACGTATCTCTATAGTGAAGAAAATTGAAGATATCTCAAGGAAATAAGAATCGCATCATACAACTAACAAGGTTGAGCAGCTTAACAACAAAGCTAAAAGCTTCACTCGAATATTGGATCGTTGTATGGTTCACGAGCCTTGGAACGATCGAGTTAATAACAACATGAAATTAGGCAATTTGCTTTAACCAAAGAAGGGTGTCTAAACCACATAGCTAAAAGCAACTTCTTAACTCAAAAATATAATCATATATAGATCCTAGTGCAAAGGTGACAAGCCAACAGAAACATCGGATTCACATCACACCTGGGCATAGTTTGATGGTTGATCAATTTATAAAAATGTATCCATATGAATACATATAGGTGGATCAATGCATGAATGGATGGTTGTCTATGGATAGCACTGGTATGGAGCAAGGCAAATTCTACATGGATACAATTATCCATATGGACGTGTATGTGTGAAGGTAAGCGTGGATAGATATTATTGATCCCAGAATCATCAGATCGTAGCAGTAAACTATATTTAGCTATGGACATGGTATCCAGATGGACATTAGAATGTGGATGATCATAGCAGCATGAGATGTACAAATGAATAACAATATTAAAAAATTCGATAATCCATATGTATCAATCTTCATGGACAAGTTGTAATGGATATTGTAGTTCTAAAACTAGGCAACCTGTTTATAATGTTTCTTATGGTCTTCAGATGTATGGACACACTTTTGTGAACAAAATAGACACAACTAGGTAAATTAAGTGCAAGCAATTTAAAAGCTAGATGGATTCTATACACAGTCTCGTGGACATAATGGAATGTACAACTAGCTAACAATATTGCCAACACCTTTGAAATACAAGAGAGTAAAATTGAGACCGAGAAGTCTTAGTTTCAGTCTAAAAGAATCAAAGACTCATTGTAAGGAAAAAAATAGAACTAGTAGATGATATGATTTAATTCAGGAGGCTACTTACGGACAGTGTGACAACGAAGAAGAAGAGACCGGAGAAGAAGGTGGAAATGAAAAAAAAAGTGCAGACGAAAAGAGACCATTGCAGGAGAACGAAGAACAAGGTGCAGACGAAGAGAGACCATTGCAGGAGATCTGAGGTGGCTCTCTTACTCTTCCGTTATAGTTGAAAAAAATTCTGCAAAATAGTTGAGAAATTGAAATCAAAACCAGTGATAGAATTTTACAAGTCGATTTGGAAACTGTGCCACACGACTCTGATATCAAGAGATAAACAAACTTAAAGAAGGAGAATCAGATATTATAGAACATAGATAAATGAATTCTTCAAAAATCAAAAGATGCAATCAAGTTCTTCCAAATCTCAGATGAATAATCTCAGAATCAGCCTATTAATTTTCAGACACTAAATATAAAAATAAGATCCTCCTAAAAGCTTCAAATTTCCAACACAAAAAGCTACAAAATTGTAAACGTTTGTATAGAGAACAAATGCGTTGATGAGAAAACTAAATTTTCGGCTCATAGATCGTTGTAATAAAGTTTCAGTAAAGTTTCCGTTCACAAATTAAAACCCTTTAGGAGAGACTCAGTTCACAACAAATGATTTTATACCTTTTTGGCCTCACACAGGAACATATTTGGATTAAGGTGAGAAGTGGAGGGATCTATGGCCTTCGACGGTAACGATTACGGGGACGTTAGAGTTTTTAATCATCAATAAACTCAGAACAGATTGATGGAGGGGAAATTTATTGTGGAAGAATGATGAAGACCGTGTGAAAACTCAAGGAACCTAGATTTTCTTTGATGTTTGTGGTCGGCGAATCAAATCCCCTGCAAGGTTTTCTCGCCGGAAAAATAGAGTTGTATCGGAGAAAAAATAAGAGTTGTCGGTGTAAAAATTTAAAGAAGTAAAAAAATAAGTTTTACTGAGAACAGATTTATGCTGAGAAAGGGTATATTCGTCAATCCATCTGATGGAAGTGCACCATAAGTTGGAAGTGCTTTTTGTGTTAATGGGAAAGTCATAAATAACTCTCTTGTAAATAAACCTAACACGCGTACCGGACCCGGTTAGGTCCCGGCAAGGCGACGAAGTTTCCTGAGCTGTCGTCACGCGAGAGGGAAAAAGAGTTCGAACCAGATCTCTCTCTCTCTTCCTCTCCTTCTTCTTCTTCTTCTTCTTCTTCTCTCTCTCTCTCTCTCTCTCTCATTTTGAATTCAGCAAATCGCAGAAGTCGTGTGAGACGGCCGCGTTGCATCGGACCACTTGTGCGATTCTCTTTCGTCATCAAAATTCTTTCTCTCTTTATTAGCAAGAGCCATCCTTGGTTCAAAATTTCCATTTCCTTCTATTGCCGCCGGATAATCGCGATTGATATTGATCGGAGAACATCCCTGATACCTGATAGAGATTCTGAGGGGATAGGATTGTCGTAGCTGTGTTGGGCGAGCGTGATTGACTATAATTTTCTTCGGATTCGATAGACAAATTTAGGGTTGGGGGTGGAAGTTTGAGGGTGTTGGCTGGATAGGATGGAGACGGACAATGGCAAGGGCTTGATACTAGCTGTGGCGTCTAGTATTTTCATTGGTTCCAGCTTCATTTTGAAGAAGAAAGGTCTCAAGCGAGCTGGCGCTAATGGAACTCGAGCAGGTCCTTTCTTCTTACTAATCTTCTTTTGAACCTGCTCTCTCCTCAATTCCGTCTTTTAGGTGCTTCGATTTTGAAGTCCCCTTTCGTTAATCTACGAAAAATTGTGTCTTGTGCGTTTTATAGAGCTTTGCTATTCCATTTACAGTTTTTTCGTTGCCTTGTTTAATCCAGAAATGTAACATCTTTCCCTCAGTTTTCCTTAATTTATGTAAACAATCTAGACCTTCTTTGACTCTTATCTTTAGTTTGATAAGAAACCCCAAAAAAAAACTGACATGGAAGTGGGGATTCACTTGATGATGATGCAATTGCAGGGTATGGAGGTTATACATACTTATTAGAGCCTCTTTGGTGGGCGGGCATGGTGACAAGTGAGTTCTTCCATTTCTTAGTTTACTCTGTCTTATCATTACAAGGTCGCATACTCTCTTTCTAAACAAGATTCTGTCAAATGTCTAGTGATTGTTGGAGAAGCCGCCAACTTTGTGGCATACATTTATGCACCAGCTGTACTCGTCACTCCTCTTGGTGCTTTAAGTATAATCATCAGGTATGTCATGACTTTGCTCGTTTCAACACATCTCTGCAGTGACTTGTGATATTCTCTGACCAACCTCTCATTTTCACCCATTTTGTAGTGCTGTTTTAGCACATTTCCTGTTGAAGGAAAAAATCAAGAAAATGGGGGTTCTGGGATGTGTGTCTTGCATCGTGGGGTCTGTTGTTATTGTCATTCACGCACCTCAGGAGCAGACTCCTAATTCCGTTGAAGAAATATGGATTCTCGCTACTCAGCCAGGTCTCTCTCTCTTTCTCCCTCCCTCGCAGTCTCGCACACACTTTAATTCATGGTTATGCCTTCTCTTCTGTGTGGCTGTTTATCTGAGATATACAATTTTCTTTTCTTGTCATGTATGAAACAGCTTTTCTAACCTACGTAGCCGTAACCATGTCGATTGTCCTTGCTTTAATTCTGCACTTTGAACCTCTGTGCGGCCAAACAAACATTCTGGTTTACATTGGAATCTGTTCGTTAATGGGCGCTCTTACTGTAAGTTGCTTCATCTGAGCTTCTTGGATTTCATTTTGAGCTCTGTTTCTAGTTTCTTGTGCTCTCATATATAGCTCTACTAATCTGTTTTCTGAAACTTGCAATGTTATAAACAGGTAATGAGCATAAAGGCTATTGGAATTGCGATAAAATTAACAATAGAGGGAGTAAGCCAGATCGGGTATCCACAGACCTGGCTTTTTTTCATGGTTGCAGTGACCTGTGTTGTTACACAATTGATATACCTGAACAAGGTAAGCTCTCTTTTCTTTGGAAAGCTCTAACTATCTTCTGGAGTCGATAGGCTAGTCTGCGAGTTATGTCGTTTGTTAGTGCCACCACTAGATCATCCCTCAGTTTGACTAAGCCTTGAGTGTTTACCCAGATTCTGCCACATCTGTAACATTGAAGTTGTCCTTTTTTTCAGGAAACCTAGGAAGTCTAGAACTATACTTGGCATTGCTGATGATACTTTTACATATTTTGTTCTAGATCATCTTGTACAGAGTTATACTTTAAGGGTGCCGTCTGATTGAAACATTTTGGGCTGTGATTGGAATTGGATACTAATAGTGATAGGGATGTATTAATTGGCAGGCGTTGGACACATTCAATGCAGCGATTGTTTCTCCAGTGTACTATGTAATGTTCACAACCCTCACAATTGTTGCCAGTGCAATAATGTTTAAGGTAGGCATAACTTAACTACATAGCTGTTCAGATCCTCAATTCTGTTTTCAGGAATTGGTTTATAGGGAAACACACTAAACATGCTTATGACAGGACTGGTCTGGGCAAGACGCAGCCAGCGTAGCCTCAGAGATTTGTGGATTCATCACAGTGCTCACAGGCACAATGATACTCCACGGCACCAAGGAAGAGGAACAACAACAACAAGCTTCTTCAGGTAAGGAGAAGAAAAAACTCTTAAACATTTTCTTTCTTTTGCATCAATTTTTTGTTGTTCTTGGGGGTGGGGATTAAACGCAATGCAGAATTGATATTTGGGTCTGCAGAAAGAGTAAGATGGTATGAGTCAAGAAAGAGCACGAACGAAGAACATCTGATAAGTCTGTACAGTCCTGAATACTAGGAAGAAGGAACAAGCCTCGGGATCGGATTGGAAATTTGGAATGGATGTCTGTCTGGTTCCTTGTGGTGTCTTGTTAGTTTTGTATTGTTTGTAATTTTGTATAGACAAGAAGAAAGGTTTGTCAAATGAAACTCTACAATTATTTTTTTAGTTGGGAGCTCTGTTTCTCTCTCTTGTTAGTGCAGCACAGGACAGGGTCTTCTTGTGTGGACTTTTGTCCCAATTTTACTGTTATACAATCACTCACTATATATGTATTTTGACTTTTCTAGATATATACTGCATTTGGAAACTAAAATGACAACGGATTTTATTCCCAAACAGTCAGATTTATTTCCTATATACATTACATGTCAAAACTAAAAGGATTATATATGAGATGGAGGCTTTGTAGTTTGTAGTGTAGAGGAAAGAAGAAGAAGAAGAAGAAGAAGAAGAAGAAGAAGAAGAAGAATGGGGAAGAAAATAGGAATCGTAGCGTTTACTCTTGAGCTCTGCATCACCTTGGCACTGTGCGAGTATTACTCAAAAACGCATCCCGTGTCACCCAAACAACAAGTCGTCACCAATCTCCATTTCTTCTTTCACGACACTCTCACCTCTCCCAACGCATCTGCCGTCCTCATCGCCAAGCCCACTCTCACCGGAGACGACTCCTCTTCTCCGTCGCCCTTCGGCTCTCTTTTGGCCACCGACGATCCTCTCACCCTCGGACCCGACCCCAACTCCGAGCTGATAGGAAACGCCAGAGGGATGTACGTCTCCTCCGGGAAACATGTCCCTACCTTGACTATGTACGTCGACTTCGGATTCACCTCCGGGAAGTTCAACGGCAGCTCTATCACCGTGTTTTCGAGGAATCCCATAATGGACAAGGAGAGGGAGCTTGCGGTTGTGGGCGGTCGTGGACGGTTTAGGATGGCCACAGGAGTGGCTCTTCTCAATACTTATTCCGTTAACTTGACCAATGGTGATGCCATTGTTGAGTACAATGTCACTGTCTATCACTATTAACTTGTATTCACAAACCCAACCGAGATCGAGTAATAAGTGATTGAGACTTCTATGTCATAAGGATGATTAGTATAATGTAATAATTGTTTATGCGATGATCTAATGTGATATCTCACTTGGGTGAATTGTTTTGGACTTTGAAACATGTCCATGCCTTTGATATGCGGTATCCATCTCTCTTGGATGAATGTTGTGTTTCGAACTTACTTACATGTGATATATATCATATTCATACGTTAATTTTGGATATAAAGCCTTTGAAAAATAAAAATATAAAATGAAGTAGTATTATTCGATTTCATACAATATTTTTTTAAACGGAATTTTTAATTCATTTGATCAATATATACTAGATAGTTTGTACTTTGTAGCTGGAACTGGAAGGTTAGAAAAATGAAATATACAAACGGGGAAAGTTTCCTTTTGATAAAAAGAACTGAAGATTGATTTGGACTAGTCCAACAAACGTGTGGTTTTTCAATCACCAATCTCTCACAAAAGAATAGACATACATAACCAAATAAGTAAAATTAACAAAACACGTCTAATTAGTCTCTTACTCTCTTTCCTAAGAGGTGAAAACCTACACCCGTGATTATTTCCTTAATGGCATATATGTTAACTTAGATTCATAGTTGACACCAATGAAATGTTATATTCATAGTTTCATTCATCTAGACAGAGCTACACTTGCGTAGATGATAAGATACAATACCAATTCGGTCGCGTATAAAATACTAGCTAGTTTGATACGAAGTTCATATACATTGTAAAAAAATTATAGACGATGAGATACAAAAATACAAATCCTCATCATCAATGCTTATATTATATTGATGCAGAGAGAGTTGTAAGGTTTGTTTATCAATGTAATAACACAGAGTTACTTTATTCAAACAATGAAATTATTAGGTGAACCATTTACGCCACCACATTGCTGACTTTGTCCTTCTGTAGGTTTGTTGAACCAACTTGGACTGTGAGTGAGTCGTGGAAATAGAAATTTGGCGTATATCTATAAATAGACTTATTCCATGGCACTAAGAACTCATGCTTACTTACACAATACACAAACAAAACATTATAAAAAAGGGAACAATATTAAGAAGTAAGGACAAGACGATAGACATATATGGCAAAAGCAGAAGAGATGTCAAGAATGTTGCTGATTCTGTTGATAGCGATACTGCCACTTGCTGCTCATGGATCAAGATTGTACAGCTGGGCTAATCGTCTTGAGGAATCAGGGAAGGACAAGGTTACGAACCTTCAGTTCTATTTCCACGACACCTTGAGCGGCAAGAATCCGACCGCCGTCAAGGTGGCTCAGGCGGCCGATACCGACAAATCCCCGACGCTGTTCGGTGCCACGTTCATGGTCGACGATGCTCTCACCGAGACAGCCGATCCCAAATCCAAGCTCGTGGGCCGGGCCCAAGGCCTTTACGGTTCTTCATGTACGTACACATAGATTGCTTGTTTCATACGGATACAGGAATGAATAAACCAGTTTTGTACAAGCACAAACCAATTTTGATAGCTTTGGCATTTATTTTTGGGACAGGTAAAGAAGAGTTAGCTCTGATAATGGCGATGAGCTTCTCTTTTGAGGACGGTCCGTACAAGGACAGCACCATTAGCATGATCGGAAAGAATTCGGCGATGAACCCTATTCGAGAAATGCCTATTGTTGGTGGCACGGGGATATTCAGGATGGCTCGTGGCTACGCTATTGCACAGACCAATTGGTTCGATCCAAAGACCGGTGATGCCATCGTTGGCTATAACGTTACTGTTGTTCACTAAAAAATATCTGTTTCATATTAAAACGGCGACATTTTAGCTATGCCTAGCTACATGTAACATTTTTAAGTGCATTTCTCTGCTTCTTTGGACGACGATGAGAATAAATAACATGAATTTTCCATCAATACAAAAATGAAAATATGTACACTGTACTTTGCCTTTACAACGTTGAGAGAGATTTTTAAAAAGTCTTAACTGAAAATGGGCTGAAAACCTAAAGCCCAAATGTGAAGAAAGGATTGTCACTGTAATTGTGTGATCCAACAATACCAAAAACCAAAATCCGGTTTTCTAACCGATCCCCGACGGCGGAAGAATTGGCATATGATTTCTTACCGGCGAATCTCGCCGGCGCTAATCTTTTCAAACTTGTGTTCGCCGGGATCAGGTCAAACAAGGAGTGAAGTCTCCTCCCATGGTGGTTTCTCCCTCCAATGCCCATCAGTAACCCTAGGAAACGGCCCATCTGTGTCGCCCGTTCGTTTCTGAGGAGCCACGCCCACGCCCACGCCCACGCCACGAAAGGAGACCTCTCTCAGGCGGTGTCTCGTCTCGAGTCCTTAACACAGCAAGGGATTCGCTTACCCTTCGAAGTCCTAGCTTCGCTGCTTCAGCAGTGCGGAGACACGAGGTCTCTGAAACAAGGCAGATGGATTCATCGTCACTTGAAGATTACTGGATTCAAGCGACCCAACACGCTCTTGTCGAATCATTTGATCGGAATGTACATGAAATGCGGTAAACCCATCGACGCGTGTAGAGTGTTTGATACAATGCATTTCAGGAACTTGTATTCGTGGAACAATATGATCTCTGGCTATGTCAAATCAGGGATGCTGCTGCGTGCACGCTTCATGTTCGATACTATGCCCGAGCGGGATGTCGTCTCCTGGAACACGATGGTCATTGGCTACGCTCAGAATGGGAGTCTCCGCGAAGCCCTGTGGTTCTATAGAGAGCTGAGGAGATCCGGAATCAAGTACAACGAGTTCAGCTTCGCAGGGATCTTGACGGCGTGTGTGAAATCGAAGGAGCTCCAGCTCAATCGGCAAGCTCACGGGCAGGTTCTGGTTGCTGGGTTTCTGTCAAATGTGGTGCTTTCGTGTTCTATCATCGATGCTTATGCAAAATGTGGTCAGATGGAGTGCGCTAGAAGATGTTTTGATGAGATGGCAGTGAAGGATATTCATATTTGGACCACTCTCATCTCCGGATACGCCAAACTGGGCGATATGGAAGCAGCTGACAAGTTATTCAGTGAGATGCCAGAGAAGAATCCAGTTTCTTGGACCGCATTAATTGCTGGATATGTTAGACAAGGTTCAGGGGACCAAGCCCTTGACTTGTTCAGAAAAATGATTGCTTTGAGGGTTAAACCAGAGCAGTTTACTTTCAGCAGCTGCCTCTGTGCCTCTGCCACCATTGCATCTCTTATACACGGGAGGCAGATTCATGGCTACATGGTCCGTACGAATGTTAGTCCCAATCCTATTGTTATCAGTTCTTTGATCGATATGTACTCAAAATCAGGGAGTTTACAAGCCAGCGAGCGGGTTTTCAGTATTTGCGGTGACAAGCGAGACTGCGTTCTGTGGAACACGATGATTTCTGCATTGGCGCAGCACGGGCTTGGCCACAAGGCCTTGCGCATGCTTGATGACATGATCAAAACCAGAGTCCAGCCAAACAGGACGACTCTGGTTGTGATTCTCAATGCGTGCAGTCACTCGGGTCTGGTAAAGGAAGGAGTGAGGTGGTTTGAGTCAATGACTGTTGAGCACGGGATCGTTCCCGACCAAGAACATTACGCATGTCTGATAGATCTCCTAGGTCGTGCCGGTTGTTTTAAAGAATTGATGAGCAGGATCGAGGCAATGCCTTTTAAACCGGACGAGCATATCTGGAATGCAATCCTAGGAGTATCCAGAATCCATGGAAATGTAGAACTGGGAAAGAAAGCGGCGGAAGAGCTGATCAAACTGGATCCTGAGTCATCTGCGCCATACATATTGCTATCGAGCATTTACGCAGATCATGGGAAGTGGGAATCAGTGGAGGAGCTGAGAGGGGTTATGAAGAAGAGAAGCGTGAATAAAGAGAAAGCTGTTAGTTGGATTGAAATCGACAAGAAAGTTGAAACTTTCACAGTCTCAGACGGGTCGCATCCTCGTAAAGAAGAGATATACTCAGTTTTGCATAATCTGGCTGCGCTAATGGAAGAAGAAGCTTCAAGAACATGAGACAGTAACATACAAGAAGATGCATCAAAAGGTTTTTCTGGAAATTTTATTCCCAGGATTGTACACTGTTTTAAGCCTGCAAAAAGCAGGGATTTATACGTGTTGTGATGATTTCGTTTTTAGCTTCAGAAGTTTTGTCAGTGTAGCAGCAGAGCTAAAAAAAACTAGAGCCTTCTAATTCTTTGTTTTTTTTTTGCTTCTTCCTAACGTAGTGTTTAATAAAGATGCAAAATCAAATAGATTGATTTGTTGTACCAGAGTTATTACAATGCAACGGAGATGGCAGGCTGCCAAGAGAAAAGGACAACCCAACAACCAATATTTATGATGTATCTCCATAAAAATTATGTGTAAATTCCGGTTCTGTCTGGTTAAACCGGCGACTAAGTTTTGTGCATCAAAGAGAAGCTCTAATAGGCACCAAGTCCTGCTGTTTAAAGCTTTCGCAGCATCTTATGTCGTCTTTATACACCCTTTGTGTGTTGTATCTAAGACAGAACCACCACTTTGCTAAGTATCCACATGACCAAAGAGAACTCAAATGCAAAGAGCGTATGGAGCAATCCTCTATCGAGTGCATATCCATACAGCGTAATCCCCTTGTTGTTATGTCGCAGGTATTCCACTGCAACAAACTCCAATCAATTTGGCAACTTTATTTTCAGAAGAAAAGAATGCAATTCTGAATGTAACGCACCTAGAGCTTGCCTAGCCTGGAAGAAGGAAGATAAGTCCAGTGACGACGACACATTGATGTATACGTTGTCGGATGAGTCAGTGTCACTCTCTGTCGAGGCTGCTTCAGAAGCACATGTCAAAGTCATGTGCCACCTCGTTGCAATGCATACTACTCCTTGGGCTCTGTGTGTGATTCTTGCAGCACCCAACAAGCACAAGAAGAACCCACAGAGCTGGACTGCAGAGCATACCTTGAGATATACAAGAACATACAGTATATGAGGCATTAGAGCAGAGCGTTGAAACTAGACAAGAGAATTATTCACAGCAAAGCTTTAGAGATTTATTTACCACCAAATCACCAGAGTTGAGGAAACTCTTGTCAGACTTTGAGGCAAGAACCAATAGTAAGGCCACAAACTGACTGGTACTTATCACAACAAAGGACGCGATGATGAAGAACCTGTACCTGTGGCTTGTAGCCGACAACTGTTTCTTGATCCTCTTGTGCTCCTTACATACATCTTCTACGGTGTCCGAGCCACACCTATGGAACATCTTGTGCAACCCTCGGAACCTCAGTATCAGCAGCTCACAGGTCAACCGGAACAGGACACAGACGAGCAAGAACACTCCTGTCCGGTAAACCCATGAAAGTAAGACGAGCAAGAACATCACAAAGTTCAATACAGCACAAGATGACTCTATGAAAGGAAATGATACTTCGGCTGAGGAGAAAAATATGCTTTTATGCACAAGCTCTATAAGGAAAGAAGGTAAGAGTATGAAGGCCAGGCAACGCAGGGCTTTGTCGAGTTCATGCGAATAGCCAAGCTTCACCATGGTAGAATCATCAAGAAACAGAAGCTCTCTGAGACTAAATATCCTAAAGAAACATAGTAGAGTCAAGAAACTAATCACGGCCAGTCCAGACTCTGGGAATTGGACAAGCACATTGAATGATTTGGTGTCTATAACTGGTGAAGGCGGGGTTCTAGTAGTTTTTATGGACAGACAACTTATGAGGGGGACTAGTAAAGTGAAGACTACAAACATCAAAAAGGAAACAGATTTACTAGAAGAGGAGGAGTGGTCCATAGCACACCACTTGAGGAGAAGACGGAAGTTGCGCAGATCATCAGATAGCAATGATTTTGGAGCTTGTAAAGGTGTGTTTGAGTGGATAGAGAGAAAGTATTCATCTTCACAAGGATTCATATTTCTTCAGATGAAACAAAGTGTTGAGAGATAACCAAAGTTATGTATAGAAGGTCACTGCGAAGAGAGAAAGTGACAACTCAAAATAACTAAACCACATGCAATGCAAGATATGTATAGGTAATTGGTATCAGTATTACATTTTTCATCACAAGCGATGGTTGATCAACCAAAAGAGAGAAAAGCAAAAGTAGCTTGCTTTATCCCGTGAAGTGTAGAACTCCCTCTCTCTCTCTTTCTCTCTTCTCTCCTGCTTTTGGCTAATCCAACTTGGCTCGCTCTGTATATCTTTCCGCGCAAGGTAAGCCTTTTCAAGTCTTGTTTAATTACGGTTGAGATACACAAGCGGTCTGCTATACAACACTTTTCATCCCCAAGAAGATTCGTTGATAAATTTGGATGAACACGTGTGTCTGAGATTCGAAGCTATATCTTCATATAGTTTTGCCAGTACCTCTGGGACTGGGTTTTACCTACAAAATTTGGATTTCATACTTTCTTCCAACGTACCCAAAACCAATGAGAACAACCCTGCAGATGCAAAAAAGTTTTAATGAAACCAAAGAACAGAGACAATGCTTTTGCAGATTCATGAATGTTGAAGTGGAGATTTGGGGGAACCTAGCACAAAACTGACTAACCTGTGAGGGGACTATCTTTCTGCTGCAATGATCCTTTTATAAGCAATGTTCCTGGCATCTGCTGGAACACCTGTACCAGAAATTTCTCCATCATACACCAATTGACAAAGCAAAGGCAATCTTCAGGGATATACGCTAAATCAAATCCAAACAAACCAAGATGCGGAAAGATAGGTCATCTTGAGGGACTTGCAAACTGGAGCCATCCGGTGTCTGTTTTTCAGGCCCTGGGCTTCCTACACTATCCACATCTCTAAGGCTAATCTTTGTGATTGTGTTGCACTGGTCACTGGATGTAACAATCTGTATAACAATACAAGGGAAACTCTGTTGAGCTTGAGATACTGCAGAAACAAGATTGGATGGCAAGACAACACGATACACAAGTAGTGCACTTACGTCAACAGAAAATGCAGAAGAGTTCAATTTACATGAGGCGCCGAAGCTCTTGAAGAATTCCTCAACCGATTGCAGCACATCTATGGCACTATACTGCCGTTTGATGCCCTAGAAAACACAAACTCACAATGATGGATGCAAGGCTCGACTAAAGCAAGAGACATATCATATTTGAAAGTGAAAGCTTCATTACCTCAAGCATAAAAGAAAGGACGCTCTTTTTGGCAACAGGGGGTGCTACAATCTTCCTAACTGTGGGCATGAAGGACCAAGCGATGCCCCAACGGGATGTTTGGCCTTGGAGAAATTCAGTGGATTTTACAACTGTAACCCCTGCTTCCCAAAGCTTAGATGTCAAGAGTTTGAGGTTAGCTTTCTTTCCAAGCATTGAAGTGTACCACCTGATACAAAACATGATCGCAAAAGATAAGTCCTTGTGCGTGAAAACCCAGAATGTGGAAGATGTAACAACAATATACCTGAATCTTTGCCTGAGAAGAGTGCTGTCTTGGATGATACGGGTCACAAAAGCTTGCTCTCCACCATTACAAACCATCTCCTGAGGAGTTCCACCGCATGAGGTTTTAGGGTTAAGGCCTGCTTCCTCAAAGGTTTCAAAAAACGGAGGATTGGACATACAGAAGTCGAACGTTTCATCTTCCTTGACAAGACCGACTAGTATAGCTGGCTCCGTATAGCTCTTGTTGTCATTGTCAAGATGCTCTGACTGAACCGTGGGGGAAAATCCGGCTTCCTCGGGTATTATGGTGTGACTAGAGTACTTGTCACTCTCGCCATTTACAACCTCGAAGGAGCAGTGTGGAAGAATATTAGAGTCTCTGATCTCGATAAGGTCCGAAATATGGGGATTACTTTGAACATTCTTCTCTGCCCATTCAAGAGCTACAGCAGTAACATCTGCGTACAAGAACAGCACTGCTTTAGTGCTTACCCAATTGAGAATGTACGTAATGCAAATGGAGTAAGATGAAGAAGAAGAAGAAGAAGAAGAAGAAGAAGAAGAAGAAGAAGAAGAAGAAGAAGAAACCTGAGCCAACAAAAGTCCAGCCAAAGAGGGAAGCACCGAGGAGAGGATAAATGCAATTGGCCCCTGTGCCTATGTCAAAGCCCTTTACTTTGCTTCCTTGGCCACCGACGAGCTCAGAGGACAAGAGATCATTGATCCAATGAATGTAATTCGATCTATTGGGAACTGTTGGGCAAAGCTGCCCGTCCGGAATCCACCTAGAATGATAGAGCTTTTTTTTTTTTTTTTAACATGATGATGGATAATTCTCAGTCAAGGAAAAACATTCAATTGAAGATAAAACAAAAATTACCAGTTGAGGCCGTGGTCATGTACAAGGAGGGTACGAGTGAGCTCTCGGGTGGCGTTGTAATCGGTCCAGTCGATCCGGGCTCGTGCGCCGGAGAAGAAAACAAAGGGCTTGAACGAAGGGTAAAGAGACGCCAGCAAGGCAAAATCCGGTGGATTGTCCGAGTACTTGTTCCTGGGATGGTTGGTGGATCCAGGTTCGGACCTAGCTCTCTTCTTCCCGTTCCGCATCGGAATTACGCCAACAGATAAGCACTAGACCGCCGGGAAAGAGGTTTAGATAAAAACACGGCGGTGAATTAAAAAGACGACCATTCCTTTTGCAAAATGACCAACTATAGCCTCTGGCTGATTTAGCGGCTTTCGATTATGCATTCCGCAAGCGACGTCGTTTGATTGGTAGAAGAAAAGTACATTTTGGTCTTGTTTTTTTTGTGTAACCTTTTGTAATGTCTGTGTAGCCAAAATACATTTTGAGATTGTTGCTCTTCTTTTTAGAGTTTTGACACACACGAATTCATGATATTACTACTGTTACCCATCTTTTGAAAAGATGTTACTCTTTTAACATTTTTGTGATTCCTCTTTCTGATGAAATGTTTTGCTTTTATCCAATTAAAGGTTTCAATGTATTCTTAATTTTGTTTGTTTTGCTACAAAATTTGACAAATCGTCACAACTTAATTATCCAATACTTTGACTAATTATGTAACCGATATCCAATACTTTGACAAATCGTCACAACTTAATTATAACCAGTATTCAATAGTTTACAGTCTTAAAACCAATATTCAATACTAGTTAACATTCAACTCAGATTACAACTTTATAGAAACTGCTAACAAAGCTCTTATGATCGAATTCCCATTTGCATTTCCATATTCATCTTCAATCTGGCAGGACATTTATGAGCTCAATCCCTTCTTTGTAGTATCGATAGATAGAATCATAAATGGTCCAGATAAACTTATGTTCTAAAACTCGTTAGGCGGTACTAGGGCGCTTCGTCTCCTTCTAGCGAGTTTTTTAAAAGTCGGAAATAAATCGGAGAGTACTCGGAAATTAATTTTAAGTACATTTTTATATATTTCCAACATTTTTAATTTTTTATATATAATACATCAACATGAAAATCATATACTACATTATTACCAAATAACATTTTTTTTTATATATAATACATCAATATAAAAGTCATATACTACATTTTTAAGGTTTCATGTTGAATGAAAAGTGCTTTTACACACTTTGGACGAATTAGGGCTAATTGTGAACAAAAATCAAACTTTAGCCCACTAGATTTTAACATTTATAAAAATGTGAATATCAAAGTACAGTCAACGGTTGACCATATCTTTACTCGGTTTTTAAAAAGTCGGAACGGCAACCTTCTTCTGACGGTTTTAGAACCGAGTACTTGGCAAGTCGCCGACTTTTAGAACACAACTACTAAGAGACAGTTAATGAGTAAATGCACAATACATTAACTGATCTCTTCTTTTCATTGAGATATTTTCAGTAACACTAAAAATTTCGGAATGGATATATTTTTGGTTAGAAATTCTGAGTCCTTATCTGCAATAAAAGAAGCATTGACATGTCCCATCGTCATGTTGGACTATGAGCGTTACGCTTTTTGACTAGTCTTTTGAGGCTTTGACTGAAAATAATACAACAACTATGGCGCTAATCTGTAAATTTTAATTTTATTGGTACCAGAACGAACAATAAAAGAAAAACAAACGGCACGTAGTTTGCGTTCCCAAAAAGGTGGGACTAATCAAAATATCTGCTGACGTCCGTCAACTTTAATGTTGACTGACCAGAAAATTAAATTAATATATTTCCCATACTGCCCTTTAGTCTGTTAGATCTTTCCGGGAGAAGAGGATAAGCTTTAATCGAATTTCCTAAATTTTTAATACTCTAAAAACTGAACCAGAGATCTCAATCTGACGGCTGAGAACCATCCTGCAAAGCATCCCCAACCGTCCAGATCGAAGCTGGACCAGCGCTTCCTTTAGTTTCCCGAAAAGGAAAAAATAATACAATCTCCAACATTTTAAGGCTGGCCCATTTTTCAGACTTTCCCATTCCCTTTTCCTTATTTTTAACTGTTTTTGTATTAACAACAGCTCACAATTCACAAATTCATTCGTTTACCATACAAAATTTTACAAATAATTCGTTAGAAAGAGTCAACTAATCATGCAAGAAAATCGAAAAATAGATATGAATAACGAATGGAATATGGAAATACGTATATTTTTCTAAAAGTTTAAAAAAAGAAAATGGAAGAAATGGGAATATGGAAAGAGATTTTTTTTAAATGGGAATAAAAATAAAATCAGACGTGGCAGTGATACCCTTTGCACACATCTGCTGCAGATATAAGCAGCGTCTGCACCACTCCAAGGAAGATATAGAGAGAGAGATCTGATCGGTGATTTTGTTCGTTGAGAGAGAGAGAGAGAGAGAGAGAGAGAGAGATTTGATCAGAATGAGCGGTAGTGGCGAGAGACGTAAGGGGTCGGTGAAGTGGTTCGACACCCAGAAGGGGTTCGGCTTCATTACACCCGACGACGGCGGTGACGATCTCTTCGTTCACCAGTCCTCCATCAGATCTGAGGGATTTCGCAGCCTTGCCGCTGAGGAATCTGTCGAGTTCGAGGTCGAGTCCGACAACAACGGCCGTCCCAAGGCTGTCGATGTCTCTGGACCCGACGGCGCTCCCGTTCTCGGAAATACCGGTGGCGGTTCCTCTGGGGGACGCGGTGGTTTTGGCGGTGGAAGAGGTGGGGGACGTGGTGGTGGCGACCGTGGTTACAGCAGTGGAGGAGGCGGTGGTTACGGTGGTAGAAGCGGCGGTGGCCGTGGAGGTGGTGGTGGCGATGGCACTTGCTTCAAGTGCCAGGAGCCAGGTCACATGGCGAGAGACTGTCCTCAAGGTGGTGGAGGCTACGGAGGAGGTGGCGGCGGCGGTAGAGGTGGTGGTGGCTTGAGCTGCTACAGCTGTGGAGAGTCGGGCCATTTTGCAAGGGATTGCACAAGCGGCGGTCGTTGAAGCAAACAAGACGTGGAAGGGTAAATCAGTCATCTCACAAATGAAATCGATCCCCTTTTCGCAACCTATTATCTATCTTTTCTTTTTAAATCTTGTGTTGGTGTTTTCGGATTATTAGGACTTTTGTGGGTTATGGTGATGGTGCTTGTGATTGATATTGCAAATTTATCAAACTTTTGATCATGTTTGTACAATGCTCTTGCTCCATTTCAAGCCTTGATACATGTCTCTTCTCTTTTGAGCCTTGTTATGATCATTTAAAGTTTCGTATGTTGAATCGTTGGATCCTTGAAAGTTTGACGCGTCTCTGTCTCTCCCAAGTTGTTGTTTGATATGGTTTTGGTGTCTTAAGATGGCAACGGATAAACATTTTTTGTTGTTATTGTGAAAGTTTTGGCGATATTCCTAAAGTTTGGTTTTTTGTTTGATTTCCAAAGATGATAGACAATAAAATTCGACAAGCAAATTGAACACCCAAAACACTAGGATGGCGATCATAGTAGATCTAAAAACGAATCCAAATCTCGAAACCTTTGTGATCTTCCATGGAAAACTCCACAACTTTCGTGTCTTCTGATAGACTCATCTCTTGGACGATTGCTACTTAAAACTCTAAAGGCCACGAGTGTGATTGCCGTGAGGATGGCTGATCGGAGGAGGAGAGGCCATTACAGGGAGAGGGCACTGGTAACATTTGGTGAAGATGCCAAAAGTGTCGATCTGGTGAACAAAATTGATCATACTGGCCCACCCACCGAACCCGAATCCAACGATGAAAACCCACACCACGATGAAGGCGTTGATGGTGAAAGCCCCAGTCCATCGGCCCAGAAACCTGGGAGGCTGCTCGACGGCGTTCTCGCGTGCGGCGGAGGAGCGGAAGGTGAAGATGTGAGCAAGGGCAGGGATGATGTAGACGGTGAAGCTGACGAGGAGAGACCCGACAGTGGAGTTGATGGGACCGAAGAAAGGGAAAATGATGGCGAGAAACCAGATGGGAATAACGACGGGAAGCCTGGCGGCGGCTCGTTTACACATGCTGCGGCACTCATGCATCCCAATGAGCTTCTCCCAGACGAAGTAGAGCGGCGTGCAAGCGAACCCAAAGGTGATGAACTGGTGGATGAGCATGAGCACCACGGCAAAGTCACGGTATAGGTTCTTCGGGAGGAGAGCGAATGCGTTGGAATGGTTTAGAAGCAGATCGCCAAACGCCCAATAAACAGCAGAGGCAGAAGGCAGCGTCAGCGTCAGGACGTAGAGAGTCGCAAAGAGGTATATCGACTTGAACTTCTGCGGCTTCCACATGGCATGCATTATCTCTCTGCCACCCACCAACAAACGTAACACACAATTCAATTCAATCTAATCGAACAATGAAAGGGACTGATGAGTGATGAAGGGGTTAAAAGGGTAAAAAAAAGAAGGACATACACAGTAACAGCATGTCCTCCGAACGTGTAAAGAATGTTTGTGGCCCCTGTGAAGTAGAGTACCAGCTTGCTTGGCCCCGCATGCTTCACTCCTTCTACCTATAGTTTTTTTTTACATTTATTTATTTACACATGAAAACATTGTAGGATATATACGCATGATTTATCCATAGTCTTACTAACTCAATTCGTTTTTAAACAAATTCATGTCTGACACCAATGTATAGCAAAGTGGTCCCAGACACATGTTGCTTGAAACAGAAGGGCCAAAAGACACAAGCAAGAAGACAAGTTTGTTGATGTTTTTGAGTCCCCTTAAGCCCCAACAACACCAGCTAACTCTAATTAAATTAGACAAAAGAAAAGAAAAGGATCGATCTCATTCATTACCTGGCCATGGAGGATTGAGGCGATGGTAAGGTACCAAGCAGTGTAAGTGGTCATCAAGAGTCCAAGAAAGGACCAGATCCTGTAGTTGTGGAAGGAAGGAATGAAGACTGTGGTTGCACAACATGCCCCAAATATGTATGTCCATGTCCTCTTGTCCAGATTGTCATTTATGTAATATATGTTGCTGCATCAATATCACTCTCATCATCAGTTTTAAGATATATGCTAATTAATCGGCTTCCTCATGAATTATATAGTTAGTTAGTACCTGGCACAGGCTATGAGTTGGATGACAGATCCAAAGAGAAGGAAAGTGCAGTTAAAAGCCAAGCCAACATTCCTCCAATGCTTCCCAAGCAATCCATCAAGAACCTCAAACCACTGGATAACATGGTTTCTGAAGTTAACTTTCTCTCTCTCCTTCCTGGTTCTGTATTCAACATAGAGAATGCTGATGAGGTAAGCTGTCCAGCTACCCAAGAGCCCATAGAAGAGCTGAAACAGGATCCCTGAGAGCATCCCCAGCTGTGAAAACGAGTACGGCAGTGTCAACAGCACTTGCGCCACCTACCAAATTGTAAAAAACACACATTCAATTCATCAACTACTTACAAAAAGAGAGAGAGAGAGAGATAGAGAGATAGGTAAGTTTCTCATTAAAGATTAATCTACCTGGTTGGAAGCGCAGCTGAACCAAGCATCATAGGCAGAGCCTCCATGCCAGAACATGTTGGAAAGCTTTGATTTCATATCCGAAGCTTTGCCATCTCTCTCCATCTCCACATAGTTCCCCACAACAACCGTCTCTACTGCTTTCTCATGACCGTTCTCCATCTCTCTCTCTCTCTCTCTCACACTCTCTCTCTCTCTGTCTTTGAGTTGCAATATTAGCAGTGAGTGAGTTAAAAGAGAGAATATAAATAGAAAGAAAAGGGAGAATAGAAGAGTGTGATTGTGTGTAAACAGAGAGGGAGACACGGAAGTAGTTTTTCAAGGCAAGAGGATGATGAGCAAAGCCCAAGCACCTCCCTTTGTTTTCTTGATAGCTACTTGTGAGAGTTTTTGTTTCGGGAGTGACGCACATATACTCTGTAACTATCAAATACTCTCCCATATACTACTATCTATTAAAGTGTATATTTATTTATTGTAACCAGTATATCATCCAACCTAACAAAAATTCTTTTGTTACCACCCATATTACTGTTATTTATTTATATTCATGAAAAGTTGTTAGGTTCCATTCAATTCTATCTTACCACCCATACAAATTGAGTAGCTTCAAAGGGTCGTTCTGGAAATCCTGAAAATGATTTAAAATCAGGTTTATAATGCCTGACAAAAATTTCTAATAAAACGAAAAGAATTGAAAGAATGATGCCACAAGTCGGAACCACACTGTCACACTAAGCTATGGTTCCATTAGAGAGAAAACAAAAAAAAAAAAAAAAAAAAAAAACTTTGTTTTGAGCCGGCTAATTATAATACTCGTGTAATTATATGTACTAAGTCTATGTTCAAGTACTGGTTTTGTTGTTTATTTCAACGTCTAAGTACTGTTTTGTTGTTTTGAGTTGATCAAGAAATTGGCGTAATTAATCACATGGTTTAGCGGCGAGTCACGTTTTGCCCGCACGAGTTAGCTAACGTTTATCGAGCAAATTATTCGATTACAATTTTAAAGCTATTCGTTAAATTTAAACATTTTCACTTGGCTTTAAAGCTGCGTATACGATATGTTTAAAATAAATGCTCTCCAGCATGAATTTAATTGTCTCGTACCAAATGATATGAATGAAATTTGTATATTTTTTTGTTTCTTTAAAAAGTACTACTTCGAATTCGTTGATAAGAAGACAAAACTTTGGAAGAAAAATTGGTATATAGTACGTTAATATTCGTCCCATGATTCGAACAAACATTGTAAATCTCGATGTTGCACTTGTATTTATTGATCTAGATTTTCTTTTGCTACCCGTTTGATGATTTTAATAGGGATACTGCCTCTGCACTACAAGTCTACAAGACTACACAGCTGTAAATAATTGACTGTCAAAAACTAAAAGGACAATGGCCTTTCTTCAATGCTAGAACAAAAACATGAAACACTAAAGAAAACTTTATTATCTCTTTTTCTTTTGTAATATTATGAATCGTATCTAGTGACTGATAGAAATAGATGAATTTCTGCACATCTCGGAAAAAAAAAAAGGAACATATAAGTCTGTACGCCTACAATTAAGGGAAATCAGGTTCAGTAATCTCTTTTGTTCAAGTACCATTTCCTGATTATGTATTAACAGAATACAGTAGTTTTCTGCTTTTTTATTTTGGAAGATATTATAGCTCATAATTAAATATCTTGATGATAATACGAACTATATGTGAGTTATAAATTTAGAAAATTGTATAAAGTTATAATGGTTATCTTACTTATGTTCATGTACGAATGAAAATAACAAGAAGCATAGATAATTGGGATTTTTTTTTTTCTTTTCAAATTGGGATAAATTTATACTCCTATAAGATAAATGTAGATAGGATAAAAGAAAAATAAAAGAGAGAATATAAGAAAGTAGACCGAATCATTGCAAGAAAACAAGCGTGGTCGCTTTTATAATAAGAAGAGAGCTCGCTTTTATCACATGCCCATTCCCCTCTCTGAAATTTGAGCTCTCTTTCTTAAGTATTATTCTCATTTTAAACTCTTTTTCTATTTTCCATAAACTTAAACCTATATGCATAGTCATAGATCTCATAAATTTTATCTATAGTGCACATCACAGGTCCTTGAAGTGATTATGCCTTTTTTCTTATTACTCACAGAATTTTACTTAATATTGATGTAAGAATCTATAGTTCTGCATTATTCACCAGTCAGAATAAATATATTTTATGTCAAATACTACTAACTAAAGTCAAAATATATAAAACCCAAGCTAATCGTGTTATAGTAGTATGATTGGCGTTATAGCCACATTTTTCACTTAGTGCACTGCTGATTATAATGAAACTGAGTTGAAACCCAAAAGTTAGTTAGAAGTCGATTAATTTGCTAAGTGTTGCATGTTATGAATCAGTGAGGGTACCTAATATCTTATATTCTACGAGAGGAATGCTTGATATTGATCTGTCTCTCGTTTCATTGACGAGAGCATATTAGTAACTGCTTAAGGCAAACCAATACAAACAAGTAGACAACCACAAAACAAAGCCAAATATAGTTATTTATTATATCATATGGTCTCAAAAACAGACATATTTTGTTTGTTAATGCGTATAATATTTGTGTTCTCTTGCAAATGCATTGACCCCAAGACAAAATATTTACACGAAAACATTTATTTTTTCTTTCTTTTTGGTCTAATACGAAAACAGTTTAAATCTAAGTCCACTGTCTTTTTCCAAGTGAACGTTGTTTCTTTCTTTAGATTCTCCTCATCAGTCTGAGTAATAAGACTAAGAACAAAAATATTTTACTTTTTGTGTGCTGTTTGTTCATTAATTTAGGTATTAACCTTTTCATGACCTCACTGAGGTGCTTTTCTGATGCTATATTATGCAAGACTAAAAATCTCGAAAATTGTTAATTCATGGTACACAATTAATAGATATATAATCATGATGGTGATTTATAATGCACTGTAATCATCATATGTAACAAATAATTTGAATTTAGAGTCACTTGTTGCATCATTTCGTATACATTTAGACATATTTACTGTTTGCGACCCTATCATCATAGTATATCATAATGAGTTTATCTTTTCAATAATTATAATAGAATAAAACAAATATACAATTGTTAGAAATAATGACAAAAGAGCATGCATGATTCTTTTACCTCTTATTTTACTAAAAAGATAATCTACCAACGGAAAAATATATTTTCTGTATGTGTATTTGTAAGTATGTGTATTACTGTATTTTCATGATAATTATTGAAACATGGTATAATTTCACAAGTATATAGAGTAATGTGGATTGTAAGTAAAACGAGGGTACGCGTTGAGTGTAAGGGCAAATGCCTAAGCCACGCTTTCATCTTTGTTTTCTGCTCGAAGTTATTAATGCTTTTAAGAGATAGAGAGGACAATCTCAAATTAACATTAACACTCTTTTTTCTGCTCTCTCGGTCTCCTTCGTCATAAATATATATATTTAATCCCTTTCCTGCTTTCCCCGTTTTTATTCATTGCGTAAACTATTCATAAAGCTGGGCATTTTTTGTAGCTGATAAATGATAAAAAAGAGCCGAGTATAAGTCTTTTTTTATTGTTGCGAGTATAGAGTATAGACAAAGGAAAAGAGATTATGTTAACAGTAAATATGAACATGACTTTACAAGTTTGTTTCTCTTTTGGTCTGAAACTGATTAGACCTGGTCAAACCAAAAGCTCCTTTTAATCAAAATTTTGAGCCGATAGAGATGTTGTTAATATTGCCTCCTGTGCCACGCCTTTTAGCACTTACCATAAAGATGAAGACAGAGAACAACATATGTTCCATCATAATTTTAGATTCCCATTGTTTGTCATCAACTACAATCATTTTCGGTTGCCTTTGTGTCCTCTTTATTACCAGACAATTTTCAGAGAAGATTAAACAACAAGCATTTGAATTAAAATAGTTTCTTTTTTCTTTTTTTTTCTTGTCTCTACTCACAGTTTCTGTGGGAAAAGAACTTCACACAGTTACAATAGCTCGTAGAAATGAGCCCAACCACGATAAAGGAGATCAATAAAAAGAAAAAAAGAAACTATATAACGATAAAGGAGATCAATAAATAGTTTCAAATGTTTCAAATGTTTTCTTTCATTTTGCATCAAACCGGAATATTTAGAAAGTGTTTAGTGGATAACAAACCCGACCGGTTTAGTTATCGTTTGGGCGGAACTTGCAAGCAATCTTGAGTTCCTCAGAGGGTTTATCGCCGGCGAATCCAGAGTCAACCCAAGCCGAGTAGCCTCCTCCCATGTTAGCCACATGCTCGTACCCCTGCGGAGTATATACATGCATAACCTAAGTATATGGTGTATTTTTGTATAGACACTACACTTAATATAGACTCGACTCACCGCATTGAGAAGGTCAACACAAGCACGACTACCTCTTCCTCCAGCGTTACAAGCCTTCACCGTATAATTCATTATAGTATGAGCCAATGGTTTAACTAAAATCTAAATTCTAACGTTTGATCATTAAGAGAAAATAATACTCAAAATCAGTGTTAGATTCTAACCACTATCATATGTTCATCTTTCTTGCAAACCGATGCCACTTGGGTAAGGAATTCAGGATTTAAAACCCTACCTACAAACCGTACACAATCTAAGTTTTTGATTATTATTAAAAGAAAAAATGGAATTGATTGCAAAACACCTTCTTCTGTTTTGAACATATAAGGAATGTTCAAGGCATCCTCGACGTGGCTCTTGGCGAATTCTTCATTAGTTCTACAATCACCGATAAAGATCAATAGAATTTTATATACACACATTTAAGCAGATCATATATCAACATGTTTGCTAGAAGGACGCTTCAAAGGAAATTATAATTTTTTTTTTATTCACCTAACATCGAGATATCGATGACCGACACTAAGCAAACCTTTTGCTGTATAAACATCAACAGTCTCAACATCTCCAACTCTGTACCCAAAAAAAGATCGACAATAGAAACCTTATAGATTTGAACATATACATAACGGTATAATTTAGTATTTATAATTTTTTCTTCTCACGTCTTGGTGTTTGTTTCCTCCATGAGAAAGCCTTAAAGAGATGCCTGATTTGATCTTCTTCTCTTCTTGTTCGTCTTCTGATATGATAAATTAAGGTCGACGAGTAGTATATGTATAGAACTTTCAATTATTCAACTTGATCATATATTTATTAATTAAATCAAATTTCAACTGTATAAGAATTAACATGTTAGTTGACAATCTATTATTTTATCATTTATTGGTGGTGAAACTTGAAGGAAAAGAAAGTGGATTGATGATAAAATCAGTTTATTAGTTACAAAATGTCACTCATAACATACTGTTTTTTTCGTGCTGGCAACTCGTAATGGTTTCAATACTTATACTGTCTCGTCTCTGGTCAAATTATTTAATTTTAATTCCAAGATGCGGATCTCACGATTGATGTATCAATATGTTTGAGTCTTTTTTGTTTTCGTCTGAAGTTATATTTGGATTGATCATCAAAAGAGTATACAAGGCCAAAAACAGAGGACCATATTTTGGAGTCATTAAGGTTCTAAAAAACAAAAATCTATTGAGAGTATCCAAAATCACGGGCTTAACCGTAAAAGGCCCCATTCGTTAGGCCCATAAGACCTTTGATGCTCATTAAACAGAGTGTCAAGCTCATCAATCTTATTCAAATTAGTATAAGTAGCATTTCATTTAATTTGTTAGATGTTAGTCTGAATTTTTAACTGTAATAACTAAAAAAAAAGGTAGAGTAGTAGAAAGAGATGATCTCATATATTCCGATTCATATTCAACAAGCTCGTGAGACCCAAGATAGGAGAATTGGTGTTATTATTTGCCAAACCCAAACCTATAAAATCGTATTCGGTGCTGACGTCACTACTGTCGCAGCTATCTCCAACTACGTAGTCGTAGCATCTCAATCTTTCGCTTAAGCATTCCGTGCCGTTCTTCGACCCCAACAAGCTTCCGTTTCCGGAGCTTTGAGGATCATCACAAGTAAGACTGATTCTTAGCTCTAGATTGATCATATCTGGAAACATTTCCTCAACCGGGCACTCTCTTTTCTCCTCACTCCACGTGAAAAACGTCCCAACTTCAACTTTCTCTGGCTTTTTCGCCATGAAAGAGAAATTTTCTTGGGGAGAAGAAGAAGAAGCAGAAGAAGTTGGAGACGAAGAAGTGAAGGAAATGTTGAAGGTGTTAGTGTTAGGGTCTAAGTGGGTAGACTTAGAATGGTGAGAAGCTGAATCTTGGAGCATGAATGGTCTATGTGTGGTGGGATCGATTCCTCTGCTTATAAGCTTTCTTCTTATGTGAGTGTTCCAATAATTCTTGATCTCGTTATCGGTTCTTCCTGGTAATCTCCCAGCTATAACTGACCATCTGTCCACAATGAATATATAAGAACTTCAGTGAATAGTGAATATTTCTTACCGTTGCCTCTTTGAGTTGTATTGTATGATATATACGTCGAGAGTAAATGAGTCATGGCTTAATTATTACTTGTTGCCAAGAAGGCTGTGGAAGTGGATGATGAGCTGGTCTTCTTCCTCGGTGAAGCTGCCTCGTTTGAGGTCAGGTCGGAGGTAATTGATCCACCGGAGACGGCAGCTCTTTCCGCAACGGAGAAGTCCGGCGGCTTTAGGAAGGGATCTCCAGCAACCTTCGCCGTGAGTATTGATGTAAGCTTTGAGCCTTTCGTCTTCTTCTTTCGTCCATGCTCCTTTGTTCGTGTGAGCTTTCTCACAACATGGAGATCTTCCCATCTTTATTGAGGAATGATGATTGATGAACCTTCAAAGATTCGAGTTATATATATATCCCTAATATATTAAAAGAGAAAACACTATAAAATAAACCTTTGTCTCATGTGTTATTAACAGAAATGCATGCTGATGTGTCAACACCAGGTTCACTTTCAAGGTTAGTTTTAATTAAGACAAACATTACTAGACTAATTACATGTTATGCCATTCATATTTGGTTAGAGAATGAAATATATATGATTAATTTAGTCAGAAAAATAATTATTAATGAAAATTATTTTCTTTCAGTTTCCTTATTTGGTAATGACGAAAATTTATTTATTAGTCAATCAATCAGTAAAATATGGAAAGTTTTATTCAATTGTATTATATTAATTGTTTAAAAATTAATTTATTCATCTATCATTTTTGTTTAGCTTTACTTTCAAGAATAAATTATATCATCACATCAAAATATTTAAAAAAGAAGCAAATCTCTAAAAATATCTCTAAAAATGTCCCACATGATTATATTTTGGGATAATAGTTCAAAAACCTATTATAAAATAGGATCCAAATAATGATCAACCATAATCACAAATAGGAAAGAAAAATTTACCATGTTTGGAAATCTTTAAAATTTCTTTTATTCGATTTAATTTGATTCTTTAATTGAATTAAATAATTAAATCGTATTTTGGTTTGATCAAAATTTTAAACGTAATAAATTCTAATAACTTATCATATAAGTTAAATTATTTTAGTTATTTAAAATTGATAAAAACATAAAATATATATGCCATTTTATATTTATCAAAATATAAAATTATTTTAAATGTATTAAAATTTAATATATATGTGGGTTCGGAAAGGGAGAAACTGTTGTTAAAGCAAATGTTAGATTACCACACTGTAAACGATGACAAAAATCAAACCAGGCTAAAAAAATATGCATCACTCAAAATTTCGTCTAATGTAAATTGACATTTTTTTAATTGTCTAACACTCTATGTTCCTAAAATTGTATGTAAATAGACATCTTTTAATAAAATCAAATTGAGAAAATATCACCCGTGCAAGGCGCGGGTCAAACTCTAGTACAGTAGAAACTTTATAAATTAATACTCGATAAATTCATAATCACGATAAATTAATAAAATCTCTCGGTCCCGAATCGGGCTAATGTAAAATATGACACAATTCGATAAAATAATAAGATAATAACATTTTTAAAACTCCTATGTAAAATATGGTCCCAATAATATCATAAATTAATAATTATCATATAAAAAAATATAAATATATAGAAATAAGTTAACCTACTAGAATATAAATGTAATGTAAGTTGTTTGCTTTTTTTTTTTAAAGTTGAATGCCTTTTGTAGTTAGTCTCTAAAATTTCTTACAACATCAAAAAAATTTAGTGTTGTATTTTTGAATTGCATCCAAAAACTATGAAGAGTTCTAGACACGATAATTGTCTTTTTATGCTTAACGGCATCTAAAGGTATTATAACAAAATGACAAGTACCAAAAAATGTAAAGTAAATATAGAAATATAAAAGAAAAAAGTTAAACAAATTTACCTTCAGAGAGAAATTTCTTATTTGATATAAATGAAAATTGAGAAGTTTCTTGTCATTATTTTTAATTTTTGTTTAGTCAAAATCGTTAAATTAATAACTCTATAAATTAATAAAATATCAAAGTCCCAACATTATTAATTTATAGAGTTTCTACTGTATGTATTAAAACTGTTTTAACATATTGACCTAGTTATTGCTAGAGAGAGATGAGAGTTTGATACGTAATTGCTTCTAGATGATAGATAGGTAGAGACAGAGACAGAGAGTGAGTGCTTCTAGATGTGAGTTGGTGGGAATGGGATATCCATCATGAAAGAGTGTTTGGTGCCTTGCCTTCTTTCTTTTTTTGGACTATAAGTTAAACATCTTTAATTTTTTTTATGTCATTTATGCTTTTATCTTTCTTATTCAATTAAAGTATTATAAATTGTTATTTACGGAAGAAAATTAAACCATAAACAAATAAAGAGGTCCATACTGATCAGTAGTATGTAGATGTTCCATTGGTATGCTGACTAGGCACTGATGTATGTATCAAAACTCACACCTTCTATTATCTTTAACGAAAGGTTTGTAGTGATTATCCTTATTTTGGATAATTAGTTAAAATGTGGAGGTAGGTGTAAAGTTAAATGAGTGATTTTGAGAAATTGTGTATGCAGGTCAACGAAAAGCTGTAAGGTTATATTCTAATGGACTGCCAATGATTATTATTCATATTCTTATTATCTTATACATGCACCAAAAAAATGCTGATGAAACCCTAATACACTTGTAGACTTAATAGTTTAACATTTTTGCAAAATAACAACCACGTCGTGTCTATAAGAATTGTATATTATAGATAGGTCATACAATGGATATGAAATTTTTGTAAGTGCTAAAAAAAGATACTACAAGTATTATCAAATAAAAAAACAAACATATTGTCTTCTAGAAACCTTGTCTTAGTGGTGTTATTTATTATTCCCTAACCAACTTTTCATACGTTTTTTTTATAATCTAGATTTGAAAAGCAAGACTTTAGATTATTTGTTAGGTTAGATAGTGAAAACTATGTAATATAATAACACCAACAGAGGATTGATTGTCTTTTGTTATTATATTATGACATCGAGAATTTTAGTTGTACAAATTTGATTAATCAATGTGTTACAAAGAATAATCGTGTAAATGTAATTTCAAACATGCAAAACATGTAGAACTTTATAATGTTGCATAAACTCCAACTCCAACTAGAAACAAAATTCACATATGTTTGAAAGCATATGCAATGTGTTGCGACTTGATTGTGTCGCATATAAGTTGTTTTGATCCCTTGAACTTGAAGTATTTCAAGAAAAAAAAACTTGGAAACTATTTGGAAGTCTGAAAGTTATTCGCGTGAAGCATATATGCGAGTTGTTGGAAAAAGAGTAGTTCGTATGGAAATTAAAAGAAAATGAGAGTTGTTGCGTTTCTTTAGTTATGCCCATTGGTGGACAATCCCTTCCATAATCCGTATTAGGCTTCTAGAAGCTTAGCTTAAAAGACTTGTCACATTTGGAACATATAAATGAATCACCAAACTTGATTGATGCCGACTACGAATTGTACTATAATCACTTAATTAGTCATTTTATTGATCTGTTCTTACCACACAGCCACTAATTTGTGTGTTTGTCTTTAGTTGTGTTGTGTGTATAGCATTCAACATAGTGTAATCATCTAAGTGACTTAAACCTTCATAACGAAATAGCGTAATTATATAGTACTGAGTTGCTATTTGAGAGTAGATGGTTTGAGACGACCATTTGCGTTTGTCTTCGTTAGCGCAAGTGGCAAAGCTATATTTTCAGAATGTTTTTGATTTCTTGCAAAGAGTTAAGAGAAGGCTTAATATAATGGACCCATTGACAGAAGAAAAAGACAGCAATGCACGATGATATAATTGCTAATTAGCACTACCAATTTGTCATTTTGTCGACCAGCCAGAAAAAAATATCCAAAAGGAAAGAGTAAGATATTGTATTACTTGGGTCGTGATGTAGTTGCTCACGTTACATGTTTTTGTTGTTGTTGGTTTTCTGTTTTCTCCCCTTAATTATTTGCCATAGGATATCAAATATTTTCAGAATCAAGATTACTAATAAAAGAAATCAAGTGGAAACATAAGAGTGTCACACAAGAAGGGAGACGTCGAATCGAAATACACAAGAATCCAACTCAATAAAAAGGGGACTTTGCAAATCTGATGTTGGTTTTTAAAGAGTTAAAAGCCCAATTTTGTACAACAACAACAACACAAGAGTTTTTTCTTTTAACAAGATCAAACCAAACCAAACCAAACCAATATCTCTCTTGGATCAAGAGGCAGTTCGCCACTCAAGCTCGATTTGGATCTTTCCGTTCTTAGAATCGATAAGGTGAAACTTCTGATTCATCCTTTTGTTGTTCACCACGTCCACCACCGGAATATCCACGTACCCCAGCGTTTCCTGCCCCATTTAACAGCACTTATAGTTTCAGCTATTTACCATGAGAATAACATTTGGTTTCGTTTCGTTTCGTTACGAGTGTGATTACCTTGGGATGCAAGAGACCTATCCTGGAAGAGGTGCTCAGCACTTCGACGTGCAGCTTCTCGCGGACTGGAGGCTCCTCGAGCATGAAGGAGAACTCCTCTTCCCACCTCGGGTCTCTGTTCTTCTTCACGTGCTTTGTTTTCCTCTCCTCCCCTTTGAAATAGATGCGTACGTATGGATTGGTATGGTGCTTTCCTTCAACATCCTCAGCCGAATGCACTATCACCACAAGCATTCCTCCAGCCGCCGGTGTCCCTTCCGGAGCCTTCTGCACGGACTGTGATTCTTCAAAGCCTTTCGGCATCTCTTCCTCCGTGAATGGCTTATACAAGAGCTCCACCTCCAGCTTCCCCCTGAACTTGTCAGGCTGCCCTTCTTCCCCGCCATCCAGAGTCTTACGCAGTTCCAAGGTGAAGCTCTTGTGTTCCTCAGGCACCATCTCCTTCAGCGCTAGTACATTCATTCCCATCTTATCGTGCTTCCCAACCTGCATTCATTCGAATAGACAAAACATCAGCACGCAGATATCCTTACACATCCCTGTCGTCACTCGGGGATAGTTTCTTTACCTGTTCCCAGTCATACACATTGAACTCTAGAATCTGAGTCTGGGGGTCTCTGACCGAGAATTTGAACTCCTCATTCCATTCAGGGTTCAAATTCTTGTGTTTTACAGTTGTCTTCTTAGACGGAACCTTATCTTCTGAGAGCTTGATCTTCACGTATGGGTCTGCCCCACCCATTAGATCTTTTTTCCTCAGCCCAACAGCCCTCACCACTTTCACATGCACGATTCCAACTGGCCTTCTAAACGCTCTGCACATTATAATTTAAGATTTTGCTTAGCAACAATGAAGGTCTTAACCCATGGATCGATTTTATTCACAAGGAAAAACGCATACTTTGCAGGGTCAAGGATTGGAACTACAAGGGTCTTCGGCCAGAGATACATGTTTGCAACTTGATCCTTGATTTGCTCCTGAAACAGCCATGGAACAGCAATTGATAATTTGATCCAGCAGAAACGTAAGAGCTAAAAGACCAAACTACTTCCACCAAGTAAGATATTGAATCTCCAGATACATAGCTAAACGGCCACACAAGTCTGCTCTAACTGCCTTACAAGTTGGAAACAAATCTCTTCATAAAACTAGAAGCCTAGAGTGAGCAATTCCTACGATGATCAATCACACCGTCCCCCTCACAAATCAATTCCTGAGTCAAACAAGTCAGGAATATGAATGATGTAAAGAAAGATATTAAACCTGGACAAATCTGTAGAGGCCAGGGATTGACATAAGATCTGCTCCACCAAGTTTCAGCCCAAAATCAACGTGTGGCTGCCATAGTAGCAAGGAATGGTTAACAACACACGATGTGAAAACCGAAATGGACAGCTATACAACAAAATGACATTATAAAGAAAAGGGGTGAATCACAGACCTTCTCCATAAGAGACACGTAGATACTGGCAAAACAGGGGAAACTTGGGACTAATGGCTTAAGAGTGATACGAGGCTGAGCAAAAACTTGCAGATCGACCACCTGAGAAAATTTCCTTGGTAAGTAACAAAAAAGGGGAAATCATTATATGTTGCAGTAGCAGGAGGATGTCTTTTTACCTGAACTGTTGCCTTGAACCCAAATGCCTTGATGGCAACCAAGATATTGGGATTTGCGGCCCATTTCAGGCATGGTTCCATGATCAACTCTTTCTCATCCGTGAGATAAACTTTCATCCCTGCGAAGAGAAGAATGATGAAGAATAAATTCATAGTCATCCTTAGCATGTGGTCTTAATATGAGAGAGGGTAAACAAACCTTGAAATGTAGGGGGCAAAGAACCAAGTGTAAGAGTTTCAAATTCAACAGAGTCAATCTTGTACTTGGGTATCTGCTCTTCGATAATCGGCTTTGCTATGTTCTTTGCGGTCTTACAGATGGCCTAGATAGATAAAACTAAACAAGGTAAGAAGAGACTGAAAAAAAAGAATAGAAGATGAGGAGGAGCAAGTCAAGTGTCAAGGTATGCAAACATGACAAACCTTGTCAAGATAAGGCCACATGTACTCGATAAATCTGTTAATCCAGTCCACCTGGTTCATAAGAAGAAATCATACATGAGGCAAGACAAGTCTATTGACATGAGGACTAGTGGAGTAGTGAGATGAGAGGATTGTAAAAGGCATATCATAATCACATACACGATCGAAGTCTGGATTTTTCACCCAAGGCGGAATCTCTGGAAGCATCCGTAGCATAGACTTGGGATCTTGATCAGCTATGGAACGAATTTGAGGATCCTACAAGTGAAATTAACCGTACCACCAGGAATCAGTGTAGAGACAGATTTCTGACAAGTAAAATGAAAGTTGTCGAATCTTAAATCCTAGAGACAAGTGAGTAACAGATAAGAGTCCATTTCTGCTAATCCTAATGTAGCTTATGGAAGATAGTGAAAAGGCAGAAACGAACCTTGACATGGTTGGGCTGCAGGTAGACGAATAGAAAGTAACCGATAACAAGTCCCATGGAAATCCCAACTCCAAATCCGCAAAACCCTAGAACAGTGCTGAAGAAACCCATCCTGAGTCTGACTGATTGTTTTCCCCCTTACGTTTCAGATCCAACAAATTCTTCTCACTCTCAGCAACCGGAATAATTACCAAGAGATTTCTCGGGAGAAATTATTCAGATCACGAAAAGTCGGCGTCGGAGCTCAAACCTTCCGAGACGGAGCTCAAGGTCAGAGTCGTCGGTCCTCGCAAGCGATCTGGGAAGGAATTACAGATGACAGCTTAGGATTGACTAATCGGAAGAGACGAAGGAGCACTGAGGGAGAGCCATGGACGTGGAGAAGGGTGGAGATGAACAGATGTCGTGAGAATCGTGAAGCGCAGGAGGCAAGCAATGTGTGTGTGCTAATCGCTAGAGACACGGATGAGAGATTTCTGATTACACAACGCTCTCTCTCTCTCTCTCTCTCTTCCTTCTCTCTCTTTCTTTTTTAAAATTATTATTAGTAAAACTATTTGTCTCTAATCTAATCCCTTTTAACTAACAAAAGTTGAGCAATTATTTTTCTATCCTCTATTCGAATCAGAACTTCTTCTCTTTGGGGCAAACTAATCTCTTTCGTGATTTTACGTTTCTCTTTGATTTACTATAATAATCCAAGAAATTCTCATTCCCTCTCACCCCATAACTTTATACTTTGAATATGTTTAGATAATTAGATCCTATCACAGTAATATAAATAGCAAGTAATTCGGGAATATTTTGGTTATTTTCTAGTTTTTAATAGGATAAAACACGTAAACATAATATAAAAGTTATAAATTGATTTGTGAATTGGGCCACATAAGGAAAAGTCTTGAAACGGAAGGGTATGGACTGAAATAAAAATGATGAGTAGTAAGCATCCGATATTGGGCCATGATTTGTGGGCCCGTCGACGGGAGCCCATGAAAAAAAGACGTGTGAGTGGAGAGGGTAGGACCACGTAGAGACAAATTGGGATGCCGCCGACAGTCTGAGTCAATAATATTCCACGTGGAGGTGGGACCCAACCAGAACAAGGAGCGGCGTCGTATTTGCGTTTGGGCGGCAAGGAAGAAATGAGTCTCTCTCGTCTCCCGCCCACCCAAATTTGCTCAAACAAGAGAGATGAGAGATTAGCGACTAGAGAGATGTTGTTGTCTTCTTCATTGAAATTGAATCGAGAAAGTTGAAATTAGGAAATGGAAAAGAAGAATGAGGAGGAGCAAGAGGATTTGGAACTGCTGCTGTCTCTGGACGAGAGAGTTGTGGAAACTCCTCCCGGTTCTCCTTGTGCTCCACCCGGTCAGCCTCCCTAATCTTCACTTTTTTTTTTTTGTTTTTTTTGTAGATTTAGTTCCGATCTCTGTTTTTATGTTTCGATCAATCAATAATATATGGGATGGGTGCATATCCTGATTTCATCCCATTCGATCGAATTTCTGTAAAGTAAGTAATTAGGTGCTTTTTTGTTCTCTTGTCGTCTCCAAATCCAAATGACCTGATCGGATGATGATGTATGTGCAGTGTATCTGACGGATGATGAATCCCCGAAGAAGCGTAAGGGTCACTCGGACTTGTCTGACTTCAGAAGCGTTGTTCAAGATTGCCTCGACTATGACCCTAAACCTAAACCTAAACCTAAACCACTCCCCAAAAGCACTAATCTTAAAGGCTCTACTACTCTCAATGACATTGAAAAGTTTTCTGGATTGCGCTTAAGGTAGAATGCCCAATGTGTATATAGTATAACTGTATATAGTCGCAGATTGATGCCTCATTATTTTTCAAGCTCATAATTATCCAATCTTTTTTTTTTTTTTTTTTTTTTTTTTTCTTCTAGGAATCAGTTACTCAGCCCTGCAGAGATTAGTGATCGCTTTTCAGACATTCGTTTCGTTCGACTCCCAACTATCAAGTAAGTAAACCAATCCGCATTCCACCACTTACTTTACAGATAGTTAAATGCTGAAACGAGAGTGTTTGTAAATGGTGAGAGTAGGAACTTGCTAATGGGAGACAAACTCTCTGGCTGCTGGGCCACAGTGGGAGTGCTCACAGAGAAAGGACAGCCCCGAACGAGCTCCATAGGGCAGCCTTATGCCATCTGGAAAATCGGTTGCTTAAATGACAACACTGTCTCCTTGTTCTTGTTCGGCGATGCTTATAAGCAATTTCTCTCAGAAATGGCAGGAACTGTTTTCGGTCTCTTCAACTCCTTACTTCGCAAGGACAATGCGGTAAGCTTATATGATATATAGCATCGCATCCATCAGCTTTGTCTCATGTGTGTTGACTGATCATGACTTAACTAGCTCTCCTTTTTGGTTTGTGGCAGGGACGTGACTTCTCATTAAGTGTCAACTCTGGTAAACAAATGCTCAAACTGGGAGTTTCGGCTGATTATGGAGTCTGCACTGCCAAGCGGAAAGACGGAACCACTTGTACATCTGTTGTCAACAAGTAAGTGCCCAATGCTTCTCATCACGGTCTCTCTCTATCAGTCTATGTATATTTTGAGTCACAAGTTTTAATCTGGTTTCAGGCGCCAAGGAGCTGTTTGCAAGATTCACAAATTGGTAATGCCTTGCTCTTCTTCTCTCGAGTCAATGTGGCCAACCCTTTTTTCCTAAATAACTATGGATTTTGCACAGAATGCATCAGACAGATTTGCGACAACCAGAACTGAACTCAAAGGCGGGTATGTACATGTAACATGTTGATGCTGTGTTTCTTCATAGGTTTAGAGTGGGAGATTTGAATGAATCTTGGGATTGTTTTATTTTATGTAATTCAGGAATTTGAGAACGGCTTTCAGAGATCAAAGATCACAGGGGATTTACACAGTTGAGCCACCAGCTGATAGGACCGGGAACAAAAAGGCTACACAGCCTGTCCGAGTACTCTCAGTGGAAGGCCTCCGAAAGGCTCTTAGGTTGGAAACTCCCCAACAAGTTTTTTTGTTTCTATAAGTTTTATCAGAAACTGGCTTTTCAGAATATGCTTTATGTATTGGTGAACAATGCAGTAGCGCTGATAAAGTGACGCCAAACGTACACTCACAAGGATTACGTTTCCTGAATGAGATGGCCAGTATGCTTCTTTCTCTTATTACTGGTTTTCTTTTTTAAAGAGACTGTAAGAAGCAATGTGACTGATCTTGGACTGACAGGACAAACGGCTTTGAAGAACGCCAACAAGAAACCTGAAGCTGTGAATAAGCCTGTGGAGAAGAGGTGAGTTGCTGTTATCTTGCTGACTTGTGCTTATGTAAAAAATGTATCTCAGAGGAGATGTTCTTGATTGTTTCCCTTACAGGAAAGCAGGGGCAAAAGAAACTCAAGTAAAGGGTACGGGTGAGCCCAAGAGGAAGAGAACAGATACAAAGGAAACTCCAGAGATTGCCACCGGGAAAATGATGGTCCTAGATTATTGCAGCTCCGACGAAGACTGAGTCCTTAAGAAGTTCTCTCAGGCTCTAAACCCAGTGTGGAGCATCTGGAGCTCGAGATAGATAACAGAGTATTTGTTCTTCTCAACTCAAGACTAGGCTTGAAAGTTGAAACCTGTAAAACAAAACATATATGTAACGTTCTTTTTCGTTTTGTATTCTTTGAAATGACCTTCATGGTCGTTAATTTGGGAATCCGATCAACATATCCATGTAACGCCTAGAGCGCGTTTTAGAATACTAATCGAAAGAGATCAAACTGTTAACATTTTTTTTGAGATTTGCGTAGTAAGCGACAAATAATAACTACATATCATAGACTTCGTAACTAACATAAGATCAAAAGTGTAGCTTAAAAAGGTTGCATGAAAAGATAGAAACAAATGGTTGATTTGATTTAGTTACGATTGAAATATAGGAGAGGGAGGGAGGCAAGGTAGTCGGCATTGTCCTCCTCCCATTGCTGGAACCCCGCCTCCACCAACTCCACCGTCGCACGTGACAGCTCCTCTGCCTTAATGTCCGCCTCCACCGACATTCGCCGCACTTGCTCCCTCAGCTCCGCAAACCCCTCTACGTCCTCTCCTCTTATCATCCGTCTCTTCTTTTCCCCTTCTTGGAAGATGAAATAGGTCTCGTGAGGCTTCTCCGCTGTAACCTTGGCTTCTTTGGCGGTTTCTTGGATCCCAAGGCAGGTTTCACGGAGCTGGTCGGCTGTGATTTTCACTTCTTTCGCGGTTTCTTGGACAGCAAGGTAGGTCTCATGTAGTTGCTCGGCTATAGATTTCACATCTTTGTTAAAATCTTGTCTGCAAACTTTGATAACCTCGTAGAGTTTAGATTTCAGGTCATCTCGGAGCTCTGCCCAGATCTCATCAGCATTGAGGTGCATGTTGTCTCTCAGAGTTCCAGGCTGTGACTGTGAGGAGATCATATTCTCCACAACATCCACTTGTGTCATCATCTTCTTCCCATCATCACGAAACTCTCCCCACTCTTTTCTAAGAGTTTCAAGACCTGACTGGAGCATGTGCTCCATCGTCTTCTTCCCATCTTCTACTAACTCCTTCACCTTCTCCATTTCCTTGCTCGCATCACCTTCGATCTCAAGTTAATCAGAGAGACGTACATTAGCATATATAATTGCGTAAAAGAAACGATAGCAACAATAGCTAGCTAGGGTTAGATCATAAATATATATATATATATATAATCACCCGTGGATATCGGAGTCTCACCATTCTGAGATTGAGGAGGTACGGCTTGACGAGATCTAAGGAGGTGGTCGACGATGTAGACGGAGTGGACCACGACAGAGAGAAAAACAGTGAAACGCCAAAGGAAGGCAATTTCAAAGCCTTGAGCCAATAGTTTAGAATACTCAAGGCCTAGGTAAAACGTGGAGCGGTCCAATAGAAACAGCCAGAATCCTCCCATACCCTAATCAAACAGATCAACATGTGACAGAGTCTTCATTATATTGTACTAACTATTAGTTAAGAAGAGATAATTATATGTAGACTTACAGAGACTCCAACGGAAGAGAGTTTAGGACAGTAGAAGAAGAAGGTTAATGCGAAAAGAGTAGTGGATAAAGTGAGAAAGAGGATGAGATCTACGACGTATGTGGGGAAGACGACAAGTAGAAGGAGAAGCAAACGCTCTGCCCAAAACAAACCATTTGTTACCATTCTCCTCTCATCTCCTTCCACACTATTCATCTCTAGCATTGTAACTAAAAGAGTACTTCTCTGTTTTCTCTTGTTATGTGGGTATAAATTTGGGATACAAATATATATTACGAGCAAAAAAAAGTTCCAAGATCTAGAAGAATCCTACCTAACCTTACTCCTATAAATTTGGGATTTTAGAATATAGGATTTGGGGTTTTTCTAGATATATTTTTATAACAAAGTTTGATAATATTATATCAGCTTTCCCAAAAAAAACAGATAACACACGTACACCGCTGTCTAGATTTTGTGAATTAGATATGAAAACTGTAGATTCTATACATGTAAGAGTAAGGAAACTGAATCACTTTGACTCACTCAATCACGCTACATATCTCACGAACGGTCTAATATTAATTGTGTATATTGTCTTACCTTCTTTGTTCCATCTCGGTGTATATAAAAACAGAGCATTACTATCCTAAAAGAGTTTTTATGAAGAGCATTATGCAGGAGGTTGTCTTGTCAATCATAACATGTTAAACAAAAAAAATCTGGAGACGATAAATTGGTTGGTCACAGACTCACAACTCACAGGATGCCTTGAAGAAGAGATTTTCCCTGAAATTTGTCGACCTTGGAACTCAGAAAGGCCAAGCTGTTGTCGAGCCTGGCTCTTCTCATATCGAGTTTACCCATCTTCCCAGCCATCTCCGTCATTCTCTCTCTCAACTCCTTCAACTTCTTCTCCTTCTCCCTCAGCTCTTTCCACTGTTTCTCCATTTCTTGTCTCGCAAGCAACACATCCCCCTCCCACACCTCCTTCTCAGTTATGCTCATCTTGTGCTGATCGTAATGCTTCACCGCCTCGACTATTTCCTCGAGGACGGGCTTAAGCCAACTTGCTTTGATTTTCACGGACTCAACATCTTTAACAATCGCTAGCATTTCCGCCACGCGGCTCTCCTTGAGATGCTTCAGGGGTGTGCTCTGGAGTTCGAGGACCACGGAGGCAAGCAGGTCGAGGTAGTAGGATCGCGTGGCAAGCGAATGTAGCTTCGAAGCGGATGCAATGTCACCGTGCTTTTCGAGGATGAGCTCAAGAGTGGCCGACACGCTCGCTCTGACCTTGTAGTCTCCCACCGAAACGTAAGACTCAGATAGAATGGACGTCTTCTCGTCCCTTGTTACATTCTTCTTAACTATTATTCCTTTCATGCGGGAGATTTCTGAGAGACTGAAGTCTTCTGATTCATCTGGAGGCTGCTTGTTTTGCGTATCTTGTTCGCTCCGTGATTTACCGGATTTGTGATGAATGGGCTGCAAGAAACCATATACAAGAACATTTGTGTCAATACCAGCTCTTTGCTGATTGCTGAACATTTGTGAAATGTACATGAAAGATATACATACCGTGTTGCTTCCAGATTTCGGTGTGATTTCAGGATAAAACCGTAAAGAGTTATAGTCGTGATCATCCACAAATGAAAATGTATCATCATCTGAGCTTGCTAACTCATCCAGTTGATCAAAATGTTCTTCCTGTTTTGAGGGTGTTTCATATCCGCGGCGACTAGGCTGAGGTAAGACGCCAAAACTGTCATTATCATGTGCTGAAATATGAAGATATATTGTAGTGAAAAGGTAGAGATCTCTGTACCGTAATGGGTTTAGAGTGTGGCCTCTCTTGAGGTGATAAAATAAGTTCTGGATAGAGAACAACTGATTCATCGTCCTTGTCAAGGTAGACCGATTCAGCTTTGTTCCCAAGATATTTGTAGGCTTGATGAGATGATATCTGACCCATTTTAAAGGATGTTTGTGAGTTATTTTCTCTGTGACCAGGTGACCTTTCTCTATAGACCGCATTATTCAGCCTGCTTTCATGTATTCTTGGCCTTGTTTCAACTGTTGGAAGATCAACACTGTCAAGGGATCTGTGGGATATGGGCTGAGTTTGTGGGATCCTAGGACTGGGCTCAGGCGTCTTGGACCGCAGTTTTGGAGTTGTTGACAATGGTTCAAAGTAGGTAGGCCGAGGCTCTGGGGTCATGGGCCTAGTCCTCGGCCTAGTATCAGAGTTGTTGGACCGTCGTTGAGGAGTCCTAGGCCTAGTTGCTAGTGAAGAATGGTCATCTTGGTGCAGCCATGGTCTATTATCAGAGCGGTGTTGAGGTGTGCGGGGCATATGCTGAGGAGTCCTTAGAGGGTGTTCAGGGGTCTTAGGCTGAGCTCCCAAGGGCCTTGGTGACATGTCATCATCCTCACCTCCACGCTGATCAGTCTGGCAGGAATACCAACATATGAGTGAGTCTCAAGGAAACAAACGAGAGAGAGAGAGAGCGAGAGAGAGGCCTAGCTAATTCTTGACAAGAATGAACCTTACCCTTCTTGGAAAATAGTCTCCCCCTGAATATCCAGCCAGAGAAGGCGACATGAGGAGCGATTCCACATTGTTTGCAGGCTCCTTCTTGAGTTGGGACGGGGGTCCATTTAGCAGGGAAAGATGGCTGAAGAAGATCCCATTGGTGTGCTCATTGGAGGAAGGTGAATTCTCTGGTTCAACCTTCTTCTTGGCGAAGTAGCTGTGCAGAGGTGATCTGCTTCCAGTAGCGGGACTGCCTGGAGGCGTGTCCCTGCTTGGAGTTCTCTTACCAAAACCTGACACATAAACATGTTTACAGAATTCTTGATGACACAACAAGTTTGACTCAATAAGTAAACAGAATAAAATATATATATTCATACCAAAGAGTTTCTTCTCCTTCTTTTGGACATTTCCGGAGTTTAATCTCTGGATACAGAGAGAAGTACACTCATGAAAAGGATTGTCTGCGTTGGAGCAACCTGGAACTACTTTTCCAGACACCAATTCCATCTCACAAACTTGAAAAAATGCAACACTCTATAAGATCTCTTTAACTAATTATACGGAACCAAAAGATAAAAGAAAAGAAAAAGTGGTCGTCAGATCCATTGAAAAAGGAGACGACACCCGCCAGAGGAGGGAGTCAACATGAAAATGATTGATATAGTATATGGTGCAAATTTACAGATAATGATTGATGTTTTTCTTTCTCTTAATTATGTTTATACATGGACAGGGGATTGACCATCTTCCATGAGTGGGACTCAAACATGAAACAACAACAATATTTCAGATCGACTGTGATGTTCATCTGTTGCAAAACATGTGTGTTTCCAGGCCACAAGACAATCAAAAATGTTTTGGTGAAAGATCACATATATACTGATATTACATGCAAGTGTATAAGTAAAGAAATGGGTCAACTGAGAGATAGATGGATGGATGGATTGATACCTGAGAGTTACTGAAGAAGAAATGAATGATTATTTATCTTAGAGACTTGTAGATAGAGATAAAGAGAAAGAACGTTGTGTGTGTATATATATACATACTCTAGTAGTATCATTAATATCTATGGATTGATTGGGTGGTTCCTTGTATTATTCTGCAGCTTCGTTGACTTTGACTGCCACTAAAATCCTAAAAAAAGTTTCAGCCTGGTGACTTCGTCAATTCGCCATTTCTTAAAAAAAAAAAAAAAGTTAGATTGTATAAAGATTTCTGGTCAAAGTACAATGGACTGAAGAGGTCTAAGCAGAAGAAGAATCAAAGATTGAAACCCACGAAACTTCAATTTTCAGATTTCAACTTTATTATTTGAACATATATGGGTTTGTTATGAGCTTATGATTAAGGAACAAATAAGGTAAAGTTGATATTTTCCGATTAGAGGAAGAAAATGCTAATGCATGTACTGTAATTTGGCAAAGAAAGGTCCGTCGCATTCATTTCTTCTTGGGCTTTCAAAAAATTTGCTCTCTTATTCTCATCCCATAGCCCATTTAGCCCATTAAGTTGTCGTTCGTACCAAATCAATTCGTATATATCTGATTTCAAAGTATACGATACGCTCATTATTGTATTTCATGGTAGTGATTTGCTCCTCGTAATCGATTTAGACCTCGACAAGAACAGCTTCGCCGTCGAATTTAGCGACCTTGCCCTGGTACAGCTCCAGATTCTTCTTCACTCGCGATTCCTTCATCTCTAGCTTCCCCAGCCTACCCGCCATCGCCGTCACTCTCTCTCTACACTCCTTGGTCTCCTTCTCTCTCTTCCTCAGCTCCTCTCTCAGCTCCTCCATCTCCGCTTTCCCCTCTGTCATACCATTATTGCACTCCTCTTTCTCCATCTTCGCCAATTCGTACTGCCCGAAGCATTCCACTGCCTCCGCGAGCTCCTTGACTGCTGTTTTGAGCCACGATACGTCTATTTTGACCGAATCCATGTCCTTGACCACCGCCTCTATCTCCGCCACGCGCGTCTTCGTCAGATCCCTCAGCGCCGTCGATTTCAGCTCCATCACTGCTCCGGCTAAGGATTCCAGGTAAAACGACCTTGTTGACGTGGATTGCAGCTTCGAGGAGGCGGCGATGTCTCCGTGTTTGTCGAGGATCGCCTTGAGCGTGGCGGAGACGCTCTGCCGCACCTTGTAATTGGCCACGGAGACGTAAGCCGACTGCATCTCTTCCTTGCTGGCCTCGAAGCTCTCGAGTCCGCGCATTTTGGCGATCTCCTGGAGCGAGAAGCTCACAGACTCGTCCGCCAGCTCCGGCGGCTCGAACTGCCCGTCTTGCTCGTAGGTCTCGGCCGCGGTAATCTGGTACTTGTAGTGAACCGGCTGCAATAAGGCATTTGGAGTTTAAAAAGCATTTCTTCATACACTGTTTTGGTAAAAGGATGAGAAAGAAAAAAGACTGCACCGTGCTGCTCCCGGAGACGCCCCTGGAACGATAACCAGCAGCAATCTCTGGGAAGAGGTAGGTGGAGTGGTTGTCTTCGTCATCGCTGGATGAGTAGAATGGTGGTGGTGGAGTTGCTCCTTGGACAGGACTCATGGGAGGGCTGTTACGCGGTGTCACGTCTGCATCTGCCTCGTACATGCCCTCAAAATGATCTTTCCGGTTGCCGTATCTCCGAGGCTGAAACTAACAAGAACAAAATCTGCGAATGGTTAACAAAGGCGTTATAAGGAGAGTCTGGCTTACGGGTACCCACCTCTGTGTGTGGCGATGGAGAGCGGCTTCTGGATGGACGAAACGGGCTTGAAGTTACATTGCCCTCTGCCTCATACCTTTCTCTACTATAGTCTCTCCCTCGATCATGATCACGCTGCTGCAAGTAGAAAGTAGAAAGTAGAAAGAGATGTGGTTTTGGTTCTGAGTGTAAAAACGCAAAGATCCAGAATCAGTACCGTCTTGTTGTGTGGAGCTGGAGAGCGGCTTCTGGAGGGGTGAAATGGGCTCACACTGGCCTCTGCCTCATACATTCTCTCGTACAGCTCTCTGCTAAAGTCGGAAGACCTCCTACGGCGATCAGGCTGCACTCCCAGACCAAAAACAATACGAAACCGAATCAGCAGAATGCCAAAACCAGAGATGAGAGTGCGGAGTGAGGAGTGAGGAGTGAGTACCGTGCGGGTTCTGGTAGATCGAAAGGGGCTCAAAGAGGCGTTGCTCCTCGGGGTCACGTCGGCATCAGGATCATAAGACACAGAATTGACTAACATTGGAAACCCATTTGACAGATTTAATGAAACAGAGAACACAAGAAAGAAAGTTTGGATTTTTAATTAAACCCAACAAAAAAGTTGAGGGCTTTTCTAACTTACATCGGGTGTGCTTCGTGGGTAATGTATGGAGCCAGAGAAGAGGATTCGTCTCTGTCCGTTAATGAGAAGAGCTTTCCGGTCATAAGTAACACCACATTGGACAAATCCAAAGCCTATAACCAAAAACCCTAAACAGAGCCAGAGAATCACTCGAGAAGCAGAATCTCCAGTCCCCATCTCCCACATTAACTTTCTTCACAAGTCCTCACAGAGAGAGAAAAGGAAGGAAGAGTTGTAAGCTTCTTCTGCTGTTTCTGAAACAGTGAAAGAAGAGGTTTTGAGGAGAGAGAAGGAAGAAGAGGAAGACGAAGAGGAAAGGAAGAGAGGACGAAGAGGTTTTATTACACTTCACAAGTGTCTACTAGCATCACAACTACGTGGCTGTGAGCTACCGACGCTTTCCCACCAATTTTTATGCATTTATTAAATTGCTTTATTACTATTTTATAAACGGAATCAAATAAAAAAAGAGAGTCAGTAATTATGAAAATAGGGAAAAAAGGAAAAAAGAGGCACGTTGATTGAATTAAAGCAGCTAATCACGCTATTTTTTTCAGTTGAGGTTTTTTCTTCATTTATTTGTTTGATAATCTTAAAAATATGTCAAAATATGTGTGTGGATATTGAAATATAGATGTTGAAATGTTAGTGTGTGTGTGTGCGAATATTGGTGTGGGTTTGATTTCTTGATTAGTAGATGTTGAAATTTGATTTGATGATTTAAAGTAATAATAAGAAAACAAAAGATAGTACGGCTGGTACATTGATTTAGTGTTGATCAGTCGTCGCAATATGGATTCACATCGTACATGTGTCTTCCACTTCCAAATCACAGTGTACCTGTCATCTACATATGTACAGACTTGTAGCTTATTAAATTCATCCATTAAAGTTTTTCCAACGAATATCTCTTGTAGTTTTGTGGTCTTTCGTGTAATCGTATCCGAATGTAAGCTTGTAAATGACTTTGTAAGTTTGAGGGAGTTTACTGGTTTAGTGTGTGGTCTATTATCATCGTTTGTTTGTAAACATATATAACATCATAAAATTGAAAGATCCAACGGCTTAAGCAAAGCTCAGTGCGTTATAAATTTGTTGGATTTGTTATATTTTACAGTTTTTTCTTGGTAAAAGTTTCCTTGAAAATCAGTTAGATATATATCTTGGGTTCTTGGATCCGATGAGAGTTCAAATCCATCAGCCTACTTGAGATTAGTTAAGGATGCTTCCTTAATCAAGGATTTAGCAGTAAGACACTGACTGTTTAATTAAGTAATCACGTAAACATGTGTGTGATTGCGCTATTTTCTGTTCAGATGGTAAAGTTCCAATTTTATCACCCACCGACACCGACAGTAGTCTGCGTTAATGGGTTTGACTCGTGATTGCTTAGGTTGACTAGGGGTATTTTAGGAACTTCATAAATAATTGTGAACCAGAATAATGGAAAGAAAATAAAGAGAAGTGACACTGAGAACACTCTCAGAACGTACGGTCCGACATATACAACTTTCACTTAAGCTATCTCTTTTATTATTCTAAAACTGTTTTAAATAATGGCTTTGTTTTTGAGTTCTGGTCAGATTTGTAATCAGATGCGATTCGATAGAATCAACCAGCTTTTCTGATGCTCGGAGATATCTAATTTTCTTGTTGAATCGTGCTATTGTAAATTCTATTTAATCATGTCAATTATTTTTCTTTCGTATACCATCATGTCAAATCAAATTATATACTGTTTTGAAACTCATAAATTGTAGCTACATTTTTGCATTCTTTCCATAAGTTTGTATAAGGTCATTAGAACTGAATTTGAATACTGTAGTAACTATGATCGTGTAACTTATTCAATTTCATTGTGTATGTATATGACACATTTGAGATCGTTGATTTTTCAATTTATTTATTTGTATATAATGCGATACAATAACGAATAATAGAGATTTTTAATTATTAGTGGACCTAAGTGGTCAAAATAAAGTCTCGACATAAAGATAGTTAACTAATTAATCTATTTAAATCCTGATTTTCAGTCATCAAATAAATCTGAATGTCAAGATTTCCAGGTCTTGGTGTCCCCATAGGATGATTAACTATAAGAATTTGAGAGACTAAGGATTTGTATTAAACCTTAAGTGATCTAATTAATGTTCCGACGGCGTGAAGTGCGGAAAAGAAG